ATATTTTCTTCTTAAAATAATTTAAAAATATTACAATTTTCCTATTACTGTATGGGAAGTTTGTATTTTTACTTAACGCTCCGTGCTTATTTTCTTACAAAATACTTTAATGACTTTTTTCTATTTTAGTCCTGGGAGTGTCTTTTGAGCTGCACTGACCGCTCTCTGTAATGTTGATTTCAAAATCATCTACCCTACTCACTTGTGTGTATGTTTATTTTTGTAATGAATTATGAAATTATTTCTACCTTTTATAGCTGTTTTGTCCGCTATTACTATTGCAAGAAGAATTTAAAAAAAACGACTTTCTGTGAACTTTTAAATGACTTTTCGTTTCGAATTTTTGCGCGAGCTTTTTAACCGCTATCACGCAATAGACAGTCCATTAGTAAAATTTAAGTTCGAGTCACTTGTGGAAATATACAGCCCTATCCACAAAGAAAAAAAAAGTCTATTGTCAATGTTCACACGGCAAACGTGTCTGCCTTAACAACCCATGGGCTATTCAACCGTGACGGCGGAGCGTCCTTCCCAAAGAATTTTCACATCTTCTTTCTTTGAACAACGGCCGGCAGCCAACCTTGGACCGAAACTGATTATCATATAACGTGGAAATTATAATTATTATTATATTATTAAACCGTTATATTGATAGGATGCAACACATATTACAACAATGACACGATCCGCGAGAAGTACATGTGTGTCAAGGCCTCGAGATCTCATTCATGAATTATAATAATATTTCATACCAGCATCATAATATAATATCGTTGGTCTTTATGAACAGTATAATAATTGTTTCATTGCGGTATTATATGTATATATTGTTTCATCGTCGTTTATTGGGGCGTTATTATTGCTGGAAAGTTTTAACACTTGTGCGCAAAATATAACAGCTACCGAACGTCAAAAACGGTATTACTATTTTCGTTAACTTACAACACAATTCCTTATAATTTTTAACGTTTCGTAAAGGTTTAATATATTATTGTTAATTGTGTGTGGTCAATTTGAGAAATTCTATCCATTTATACGACCAAGAAACGTATTTTGTAGCGTCAACAAAACGAATCGAAGCGTTTTCGTATTGTACACTTTTTGATATATATATATATATATAATTAATGTCTGAAGAAATCAGAATTAAATGCGCGGGTAGGCCAATGTGATTTTCCATTTGTATACAATAGCATTTGTATAATGTATTCAAAGTGCATTATGCTAAACCCTAATAAATACATCAGACCGCAGTTCTTTATATTATTCTATAGAACTAGGTTAGGCCAACGATAAAGTACTCAACGAGTAACGACACAATATTCTGAACGCTTCTTGATTAAACCTCGTGTTTCTTCTGTGAAAAAGAAAACGTTTAAAGAGAGTAAATTAATAGAAAATATGTTTCACCATGTTTTAAGTGTATAGCATTGATATTGATAATGTCCGTAACTTTTACGCAAATGGTAAGCATAAGCGGTTAGGTTTGTGTTATTTACTGTACAATGTATTTTATTTCAGAATCTGAATAGTATTGGTAGGACGAAAAACTTTATCTAAATTCCATGCAATAACAATTAGGTATGTTTTATTTTGTTCAGAGTTGAATGTATTAAATTCAAACCACGCTAGTGTAATTTATTTTTTAAATTGTGTGTTATTTGATAATATCATACTATACATTTATACGGGTATGTTTGATTTAGGTAGGCGGGCGATCAAACAAAACTCCTACTCGTAAATTAATTGTTCAGACACCCCACCGAGCATTAAACAAAAGTGTGGGTCATAAAGTTCAGGAAAATAGCCATAGGTGTAGTTAAATATAATAATAATAAAAAAAAAATGAAATTGTATTTACTCAGTTCCCTTCTAAATGCACCGGAGGGGACCAATAAGATTTGCGGACAACGGCCTCGGACGATCATTGGACAAGACCGTGTCTCCTCAGACGAATAAACCATAAATATAATATACTGGCATACCAATATTATATTGCCCTAGCTATAGATTTACACTTGATACACGCGATGACCATGGATTACGCGTTTAAGTAAGTATATAACTCGTATTTTTGGGGTATGTTGTGCAAAAATACAATCTGCAATAGTTCCTAACTAATTAGGTCGTTGCAATCGCGTTTCATACGGGAATAGTCTACATTATTTTGCATATAAGAACCTAATATAATTTTTTCTTTGCTCTGTTCTGCAACAGCTACCGATTACTCACGTCCAATGTACCTTGGAAAGAAGGTTATAACTTGGTGCAAAAAAAAAAAAAAATGTAATGAGTTTATCCTATATGTGATTATAACATCACGGGTTCAGCTATAATATACATCCTAGATAATATTATATGTCATTACCCGTTATAATTGAATTGCTAAAAAATCGTATAATCTCTAATATTACACTATGTACATTTTCGCATAACAAATTAGTTTATGAAATTCCCTATAATTACAAAAATTGAAGCAGACCGAGTACTACGCTTCCATCTTATTAAGAAACGATTTTTTTTTGTAATTTCGTCTTGTGAATGGTAACCTACCACACAGAGTATTCCATTTAAATATTACTCGTCCAAATGAAAGTGTGCGATTTTTAATTTCAACGTGAAACCCATGGGAAGGTATTGCGGTTATATGTACAATGTCGCGTTTTCTGTACTAGATTGATCGAGCCCAATTCTTAATACATATTATTATGTGGAAGCGGTATCGCTAAAAGAATATCATCTAGTTAATATGAAATTGTATTCTTAAATTCAAAATAACTCTTCAAAATCAAACGCTATCTTAGTATTGCATCGAATCAAAAATAACACCATATTTGAAAGCGATAAAATCACTTCTCGGAATATTACTTTAGTTGTTATTATAAATCTATGTATTTTACATATTTACATACTTATCAGTTTTGCTTTAAACTTTATGGTATTTGGCAAAATATCAAAAATCGTTTATTTTCTTTTTTATAAAAAAAGTAGTCTGTAAATACGTGAAGAAATTAGCAATAAATTATAACATAACGTACTGTCGTAGTCATCTTTAATAAACATTCTTCATTAACTTTATAAACATATTATAATTGCATAAAGGTAAAATTTACTTGAAAGTTTAGTTTTGTGCCAATTTCTCGAGAAACGCACACTTCAGGAAGATAATATATTACCATAAGTGCATGTGGTATTAAAAAATAAATACCTTCGCATTTTACAGTTTTGTTTTGGTGATTTTTAGTTTTTTAAATTAAATATTAATTATAAATGGTTTGTGTGATATCCCAAAAAGCAAAAGGAAACACTTTTCTTAAATATTTTAATAAAATTGTATTTAAAAAGCTATAATTTTTTTTTTTTTAATTTTAACAATATTATTATTGCAACAATTATTATAAAATAAATTATCGCCTCGTCGACTTACAAACGTGAATATTTTTCCAAACAAATATTACACAATTTTTTTTTTGCAAATATTAATAACACCTACTTTTGAGCGTGGGGTGTGGTTAAAAAGCTGACATATATAATTATAACTATTAAAATTTATCTAATGAGTTCGACAACCGGTTCTCTACTTGGTAGGTATTTTATTTGTCTTGTATAAGTCAAATAGGCAAAGTCGTTTTGCTTTATAGTTTATCCATGTGTATAACATAGAATATAGCATAATAATTTACAAGCCAACCACAAGTTCAAAAAAAATTTTATCCAACAATGTGCTCGCAGCATCGCTAACGTGTTATTATATATTATACTATATTATATCCGTACCATCGCAGTGCCGTATAATTGGCTAACGTTGAAAGTGTACATCGGCTGTTGCTTTATACGATCGCATTATTGAATTAAATTACCTCTTACCCGGTACCTATGCGTGAAAAAAAAACCGAAAATTATATAGACGGTGGTCATGTGTAATAGAAATGTATATTTTAGTTAAAATGAATCTCGGTCGGATTATAGGGCACATATTATAATTGTATAAATACGTTTTGAACACCCACAAAACACACCGTGTTGTTGCCGTGGCCATTTTCGGTCACATGTTTTTGGAAGAAAAAAACATTTTGTACACAAATGTTTTAATTCGAATTACATTTAGACTTCAAACGAGAAAACAAATTAGATACTCAAAAGAATATACACAACGGTATAATACAATGTATGATGTGTAACACGTTTTTGTAGTGTATGTAATTTTTTTTTTCCCCATAACAATTGTTTGTTGAATATAGAATTTTTTTTTTTTGCTCAATTAAACGATAAACACCTTCTGTTCGGCGTCTATTTTATGGCAAGTTGCAAAATGTATTTTATTAGTCCAAGATTGTCCATTAGTGATATTCATTTCATTGTTAACTGTTAGACTAATGTCCTGAAGTGCTCGGTAAAATATCATAATCGTGCGCATGCTGCAGCTGGTACTTACTGTCCTGCTGGTCCATTAATCAACCGGCTCCAAGAATTAAATTCAATTATTTTTTTTTTCGGCTGTTTGCTGTATGCGGTGGCCGACAATCGTCAGACCCACACAATAGCGTACCTGTAAAAAAAAAAATATATATATATATATATCAACAGAGCCACTGTGTGTCCTGAGGGTTTGTGTAGAACGGATTTCGGAGCTCCTGTTTCTTTATTTTGGATGTTTATACGAATAATTGATGTTATCTTTATAAAAGTGCTACATAATATTAAAAAGAAACTATGAAATATTATCACAACCAAACGTTTTGCCACTGTTTAATATAAAAACGTTTATGTACCGTTTTTGTCGAGGCTTGTTGGAAAATACTACAATTATTTATATAAGATTTAAAAAATATTTCATACATGTAATTATCAAATGTATGCCTATTTAACAATTTGTATTTTTGAAACCTTCGTGTATTTGATTTCTTACCGAAATATTGTGTAAAAATAATTGAATATTAAAATTATTTTAAAATTATATTATATATAATTGTTCATTTTTTTTTTTTTTTTTGTTACAGGAAGTTCTGGCCATACTGTTTCAATTATTTGACGAAGACAACGAAAAAGTACTTAAACAAGAGAAATGGATTCAATCGTTAAAAGAGAGACTAATGTGAGTTCATTTATTATTTTCCTATTGCGCCAGACAGAAATGAGTTTTCACTGTGTACTCATTTATATATTATAATATATAGTAACACAAGTGGTAGCCAATAAGTAATATTAGGTAACATTCGTGTAACCTTAAATTATAAACTATAGTTTATTTTTTTTAGTTGTATAATACTTTTAAAATTTTAATTTATTTAAATTAAAAACATAATGTATTATTTTATCATTAAGAAATGCATTAAAATGCGATCAAACTAGTAAAATGAATTAATGAAAATAAATAGTTATTAACTTATGTTAGTGTGAAATAACATGGAATACTTACTAGCTACTACTAATTAACAAAATCTTTTTGTACGAACAAACAACGACTTATATGTACTCATTAAATCTCTATAAGAGTATCTTTTAATTTGTTTAATGTCTCCATAACTAATCAGTCATCTAAATTTAGCGGCGCAATGCTTACTGAACAATATTATAATAAGTACTCACTGTGACACATACAGAAACATTAACATGTTTTATTGTTGGCAATTAGATCAAATTAAATTATTTAAAAATACAAACGTTTTAAACATTACAAAACTATAATAAACATTAAATGCTTACGCATGTTACACGTAGGTGATATTTAAATATGGGTTAAATATTTTAATTATTTTTATAGCTCCTTTCCCTTGTTAAAGTCTCGGAGCCAAATAAATAATGTTTTTAATTAACTTAATTGAGAAGTTTAACCTAGTCATTACTATTACATTAATAGTATAGTTAATTTTTTTTTAACTCGAATCAAAATTTCACGCGCGTTTTCATCCGGTAAAAATCGAAGGATTTTTTATTACAGCTTATACGTTTAAAATACTTATGCATGTAACAAGGTTAAAACAGCTTTAAAAAAATATATTTACATCGAAAGTGTTTTATTAGTCTGTCATAATAAATAATATTTTTTGTTTTGAAGCAATTGCAGTACATTTAAATTAATGTGAACGTATTTAATAAATTAATTATCATCGAGATGAAGCGAATCTCACCATTTACAAATAAGTAAAAGTCATTTGTTTTACTTTTTTCGTTACAATAGCATATTTTGGCGTATTTGACGAACTCATTTGTCCGGACTTAAATTTTTTCCCGGCACGATTGCCAGAGACAGCAGTGTCCACATTAGCATTTGCGGAACTTATCTGCTCGGACTTACGTTTCTTTTCGATACGTTTAGGAGTGACCGCAATAACATTTAACGCCATTGTGGAACTTAATTGTCCGGAGTTACCTTTTCCTCGGACCCGAGTTAGAAAATCATTAGTTGTTCCGACAACAACAACAACCTGTTAAATACATTTTAACAATTTAGCGATAGAATTCAATTTCAAAATCAATTGTACACTTATAAGTTGTCGTCGATGTCACTTTTATATAAACATGGATATGTTATTGGGCTGAGGGGTCATCCCAAAATTCGCGTGGAAAATTCGTATTAGGATTTTAGGATAGGGTTTTTTTAGGAGAAACCGTTTAAAACAAATGTCAATTTCTATGGGAAGTTCGTTGCTCGTGTACCTTCTGTAGAAGAGGGCTTTCCGGCTTTTTAAACACACTATTACAGTTTGTTTCTGGACTTTTGCCGACTTCGGGTTTTGATTCCTTCTCGATGCGAAAATCCGGAGCGACGTACGACACTTGATTTTGCTCACATGCAATCGGAGCCACACTAAACGGGTGGCTATCCATTTTATTCAATCCGGTGTTCTCATCTTTGTCACGAGAGTCGATCATTGTAGGAATGTCTAAATTCAAACTGTTTTCACGTGTAATCGAATTAACGACCAACAGTACAACAGCAGTCGAGTACATTGTAATTGATGAAAAAAAATGAAAAAAACAACAGCAAAAATTAGGCATATAATATAACATACAAATATTTTGTTTTGCACCGAAACGGTTCATACGGATATTATAATTATTACAGTATTAATATCAATAAACCTTTTAAACAGTATTGACCAGCATTAATAATACGTTTTACACTACGAGTTGTGTACTTGATTTTTTATTTTTATAGTTTTAACTTCAAATTTTACTAAGTTGAGGACGAGAAGATGGATGAAATGAAGTATTATTTTTATCTACTACTCAACCGCACTCCACTTCCCGTTCTAAATAATTTTTTAATTTAAAGTAATATTATTCAAAACTGAGTTTGTAAGGTAGTAAACTCTGTAATGCATAGACGATGCATATTTTGGTAAGCTAAGCATTTTGAATAAGCGCATCGCCGCGTCACTTAAGCGTCACAATTTTAACTTAAGTGATATTATATTTATTATTTTTCAATCGCTGTACCTACTTTGGTCCCACTTATTAAAGTGGTTAATTTGTTTACATAGAAAAAACCATGAATATTTGTTTTTCATTTAATTGCGTGGAGTACATGATAGCTTTCAACTAACAAACTATTCAATTGAAATTAAATATTATCGATTGCTTTACTTAAAACATAAAATCGCATTTGCGTTTGTCCTATATTATTTTACAATAATTACCTTCTAAATTTTTTTTTTTTTTTAATATTTATAATTATAATATAAAAGTGAGCGATAAAAATGTTTTAAAAATACTTAACCTCATAAATTAGTTTTAGGCTGTCAAATGCAGTTGTCTAACAGGTAAAATCACATGTCGGCTGTTCGCCAGAAGTATTCTAGCTTTTTATAGCTACAGAACAATGCTCGAGGCTTAACATTATAAATAATAATATTGTTTTGTTTTTATGTCTTTACCATATCTTTATAGTGTTTGAGTATGTATTTGCATAGATGCGTTCACATTTTGTTCTGCAGGCGTGTGGGTACAGTTCTAAACGCAAAACAACGATAAATAAAATATGTAATGTATGCGTGCAAAAAATCGTGATGGTATATAACCGTTGTACTTATACATACACGTATATAATATATAGTGTCATTATTATCATTCGAAAAAGGATTTTATTAAGTTATATATATTTTGTATTTATATGGCGACCAGGCAAGCCGTGGCCCTCCACTGCGATAACTACCTATACAAATACCCGCGGTTGCAACTCGAGTCACGTAGACGGAGTCAACTCGCGATAATCTCCAGGACGAAATGTAAATTCAAAAGCCAATTAAAGTAATTAGGCGTGTGTGTCGTTTATATAATATATATGACCAAGTCGTATGGACGGCTGTGGCGGTTTTATACTGCATCTTGGGTTAATTAAAACAGATGTACTTAACCGAGGGTTGACGGAGTTGCGTGGTCGCGTCCGTTTATCTCTCGGTGTACCTACTCGTATTTATCATTTGAATTTTTCTTCCTTGTGTTACCGTTTCCAATATAATATATTAACTCCGCACAGGCCACAGGCCCGATGCCAGTTATTGCGTCCGATTTAAATAATATATATATAATAATATCTCGTGCACGGACAAACCACCGACGACCGCACGAGCTAACTGTATTTCCATAATAATTGCATTGATCTCGGTTGTCTAAAAAAAAAAAAACCAAAAATGGTTAAAAAAAAATAATAACAATCAATCGTCGTAATAGCCGTTCGAGTCTACTTAAACTCCATCGAGTTCAGCGGCCCAGAAACGTTTTAAAATATATATATACCTGATTAATATAGGAACATATTTTTTTTTGGAATTCTCCTTATTTCGCTGTTATATTTACAACTGTACTATCGCACAGTTTTTCGAGGTGTGTATACGGATATCGTAGACTAAGTATAAAAGCTAAACAAAAAGGATAAACTGAACGTGTAAAGGATTTATCCTAAATGATATACTCAGTTCATTATTCGCTCAAACTGACTGTACAAATATGCTTAGGCGAGAGATGTTATTGAATTTGGTTCGAACGGAACTTTCAGTAGCGTTAAATATAATTTCAAATACTGCTAAAAATACATATTTGGGTCAACTAAAATATTAATTAAATGTTTAACTTATTAATGTCTAACTAAACATTTAGTTGGCCGAGCTATTTATTTAATTATTCCTGCTATAAATGTGTTGTGTATACTTTTTGCCGTGAACGTTGTTAACTATATTTTATAAAATATTTAAAACAAATACAAATGGCGATTTTTTTATTAGCTGAAAGGGTTTTCTATTATTTCACAAACAAAAACCTGATTTTTTGTATTATATTTTAAAATAGCCATAACTGTTACTAAACAAAATGTTGAAAATTCGCCAACGTACAGCCTTAAGGAATATTAAATTCTTCACAAGTTTCACATGAGATATTTTTACTTTAAAACTACCTACTCAAAAGTCTATAAAAACGTAATAAAGTCGTGACTATGTTTTTTTTTTACTTAACAATGTTAAGGTGTGACGCCCTTTTAACGTCTTAACGATGATTTCGCCTATGTGCGTACGCCAAAGCCATAATACATTTTTCTGTTTTTTTACTTGTTTGCTGTATAGTGTTTGAAAATTTGAAAAAATTAGTATAAATCTGAAACACTAGAGATAAAATCAACTATAGCGCTTATATTAAAACGACAAATTATAAATAACTGGAACTGAAATCATATAATTTTTTAAAAAAACTTAAAAGTACAATTAACGTCACGGAAAGAAAATACATTTTTAAAAATAAACAAATAGAAAAAGTTCACCTTTCCCCAGTCAAATTGAGAAAATTACTTTTTGACATTCTATACTTTTCTATTTTAAAATTTAACATAACAATATAATTTTCGTAAATAATCGAATAATTGTAGAATAATAAATGATTTTTAAAAAAAATAATTATCGTTAATAAAACATATCGTTCTTGGGTTCTCAATAGAATGTTTTTCATAATTTTGTGTCCCCAAGACTCTATCTCTGTGGTTGATGGTTGCATGACCAATACAGACAAAGTATATGATTGTTTATGAGGCGACCGATAGTTAACAATGTAGAAAAACGTACCAAACAAAGCTACTTTTTCTGTTGCACACTGTATGGACAATACTGTGGGCACTATGTCCACACGTCTTAACAACTAATCATACTGTATAAGACCTATCAGACCGCTCTTGATTTGTGTCAGAGACTACTGTGCGGTGTTCTCACGGCATTCATCATGACATGTAACCGCAGATGTTTCCCAGATCGGATGTCCAGATCTCTGATGATCACAAATTCTTCGCTTAATGTTTAATTCCCGACACATACGACACGTCTTAACGACGATCATCGATCAAACAAATGATCACGATTGATAATACACTTGAAATATATTTGCAATGTATTTTTTATGGGCGATGTTCATTAGTTTTTTTCAATATCTCTTTTGAAAATCGATGAAAAATTATGAAAATACTGCTGATAGAAAAAGTCGCATTGACAATTAATATTGTACAATCAAAAACTTGTTATTGTTTTACTCAAAATGGGGGTTGGCACTTTTTCCTAACTTTTTTTACAATATAAAATCTAGCCGTGTTCTATGGAAATAAACACTACGATGATTTCAATCCTAAATTAAAAAATCTGAGAAATGATTTATATTAGTTTTTCCAGCGTTTTTTTTTTTTTGCACTTACCCCGCAGTATTTTTTTTTTTTTTTACTAAAAAGATCTACCTGTTGAATATAGCTTCCTTAAAAATATCATTCTGTGTTAACCTTTTTCGGTAAATGTGTACTCAGCGTAAGCACAAAAACTAGTATATTTTTCGATTAAATATGAGAGGAGAAGGGAATATAACCAATTCTTTTATTTTTTACCTTTTGTTTTTTGTTAGGTTACCATTTTTGAAATGTAAACTTTTTTACCTTGGTCATTTTACAATATTGTCAATATTTTTTCCTCTTATTTTATTTTAATAACAATTACAGCCGTCAGCTAATGTACTGTATTTTTATTTTATCACTTTTATTTGATTTAACTATTAAACATACATTTATATTATATAAATATATATTCTATATAGTATATATCCTATATACAAGATCTTGGCGTTTCTCTGAGAAATATTATTCCTTGACCAATCCGTCGCAAGTACTTGTAAAGAATGTACATCGGACGTACACGTCGCGTCGGTTCGCTCGTCTTATAATACATACAACGGTGTATTTATTTATTTTATTTTATTTTAATTATTCGCTCTAATTAGCTGCTATCACGATGGTTTCGAATGCAACCCAAGTGGCGTGGGTCGAACCGGTTGTCGGTTAGGTATTATTGATCACCGTGCAGAGCAATTGCCGCAGTTGCGCCCATTAATCTGCAAATACATATTCAGTAGCCACACAGTCCGGCAAAAAAGGTGCGTTGTGCAGAGAAAGAAAATAATACTTGTACAGAAATAAAGACTTGTAAACTATGTTAAACGCTGTAGAAATTCATTCCATTCCAATTGGCCACCGTTGTAACCGTTCACTCAAACAATAACAATAATAAAAACAAGTAAAAAAAAAAATCCCATAAATCAAAAATTATATTAATTAGCGTTGCTCAGGGCCGAGACGACCGAATTCGATACACTTTTTGCAAATAAATCAAAACCAAGATTAATGATATGTACCGTTCACTATGATCTCATTATTATTACTGTATAATATGAGTATTCTTTCATAACCTAAGCGGTTGGTATATTTTTTTGAACCTCAATAACCGTTTTAGATTTAAAAAAAAATCAATTGTCAAAAAAATGCTGCGTTGTTTAAACGCGTATTTTACCGAGTTGACTTTGGCAAATAAAGTACAATCACTCGAGTAAAACGTTTAGGCAATTGACTTCTAAATATTGTTCAATATATACTATGGTTTCTTAAGATCAAGATATATGAACCAGCAGTTACATCTCAGTAATATAAAATTATTAATGTACAAGAAAAAGTCTTATTTTTCTATAAAATCGGTTCAAATTATTTCACAGATAAATTCCTTAATTAAATTAAGCTTTTAAAAATAATTTATCCGAATCTATTATTTAACACTGTTAATTCCTCATTAAGCAAATAAAATATAACGTATAATTGAACGTCTCGACAATATTATTAGGTATTAAAATATTTTTAAAAAATGTGTTGGCTCAACAAATGAACAACACTATTATTTTTTAATAATACCGACTATGAAGTTTTCAATTCAAACGAAATGTATTCATATTAAACATAGCGGTTTTTTGTCGAGTTTGTGGTAATATTATCCGGTTACTAAAATATGTCTACACGATATTGTATAGGATATCAAATTTTCGCTCTCAATCGGGTCAATAAGTTTTCAAATTCGCTTGATCAACATAATATAAATCAGTCGGCCGTGATAATAGTATAGAAATTCAAAGCATACCACCAGCGCCGTTGTCACACGTCTTGTTCTCAGCATACAATCAAAGATAAAATATCTCTTACACATTATAATATAGCGTAGGTAATGAAAGTCAATAATGTACAATAATCATTGCACGCGTTGTCTCTACCCATCGCACTTAATGACAAGACACCGTGCAAACAATAATAATAATGGTATATATAATATATTATATATGACACCTTGCAAGTCGCAGTACACGAGTAAAACAGGTTTCTTTTGTTTTGGAATTGAGGAGAAAAATCATAGTATTATTATCGCTCCTATCCGTTTTTATCTTCTAATCTGGTCCGGTCGGAAATCAAGTAAGGTATAATATATATCCAATGTATGACTTCCAGGCCGGTGTGTGGCAATCCACTGCATAGACAAGCAGCCACTGTATGGCGCTCCTTATTGAGAAATGACCTCAACGGTGGTGTACACCGTGGACACGCACACAAAATATCATAAGATTAGTAGGCACCCGGTTTTAAGCAATTATTGCCCAACGGACTAGATTACCACCTGAAAAACAACCCAAACGCTATACACCGGGGAACAGACTATTTTAATTCCTTAGGCTATCAAATCGTTTTTTTATTTATTTTTTATATTTTTTTTACAAAACCGTTGTTTACGTTTACTAAAAATCCAGATATCATTGAGCTGTCGGCTAGCAATAATAATAATAATAATAATACTGTTTAAACGCTACTATAATATCTACTCTAATGCGATAGATTTAGTTTAGGTTGGCCGTTTGTTATTAATCGCCGGTATTCGCTCAACGGAGTGAGTGTAATTTAATATCATGTTACGTGACAGCAACACACAGGATTTCGATATTTATCTCAAAACCCACTGGACAATAAATATGCATAACAACCGCAATAATATTATTCAAACACAGTTGACCGGCCACGATCACTCAATAGCTGTTCTTATCAATCATATATCATAGGAAAAGTTTATTACATTCAAAAACTGTACCCGAATATTATACATAGGTACCATGTTTATTTATATTTTTTTAATTTAATATAAATTCTAATAAGTCTGATATAAAACTTAGTTTGATACATTTATTATGCAAACGACTTTTATAACAAAATATAAAGCATAAAAACTGGACTTGAACACCCCACGACGCATTTAATATAAATAGATAATTTATTGAGGTTTGGTAAAAAAAATTATCATTCCTCTCAAAAAAAATCCATATAAAATTTTAATATTGATGAATTATTATTGCAACTTTGTGTTATTATAATATTTTCCTATCAAAATGTAATTTTTATTTAATACAAATATCTTTTTAACTATACAAGCACCGTATGGGGAGTCGATATAATTGTTACTATTGTAACAATGAATTATGCGTATTTTATTTATTTAGGAAAATGCCTTATATTTAATAATCTTATATAATATAATTTTTAATATAGGCGTATTTTAATACTGAGTTGTACAATAATCAGTTAAAATTTATATGTTTTAAGACTAAAATATGTCTTTAAGTAACATATCAATATTACTGTTAGCAGGGATGAAAAACAAGGGGATTTTGCCGAACAGCTAGAAAGTGTAGCGTACGTGCTATGCGGTGACCAAGCCATAAGTCTGTTGAAATTTAATCAAATATTTCAAGCAAAGGGCGTAAGTAATTCAATATTATTATTATATTCTAATTCTTTGAAATCATAATAATAACCGACAACAGGAGTCGTAGTTAAAATGTTAACGGTTTGAATTTCATTTATTTAAATAAACTTTTAGTCTACAACATATTTACAATAATTGTAACTGAACTAAAACAATTAAAAATTAACAACAATTCACAATATGTTATCTTAGTTTAATCTAAAAATTTAAATAAAACCTAAAATAATATTTTAAATGCATACAATTACAAATTGTAAGAAAACTAGTACAAATCAAATTTATCTCCTTAAATCTCAATATTACTCATTTACTTATGATATTATTTTTCTTATAAAAACAAACATGTAATTAAAATTAATAACAGGTTTAGCATTATTAATAATATCCCCGCAGATAAATTTCAATATAAATGTATATGAATATAGTATGTCCAGTATATAATTTAAAAAAAACACAATTTTCTCATTGTGTATTCATTGCAAAACAAGAAGGTCATTAATTCATAATAATTTGTTTACCTAAGCCCTAAGGACATGACTTCGCTATTCGCATATTTTTTCTAGTGATTTTTTTCCGGAGCATTTCTCTATTGTAAAAAAATTGAATAGTCGCATAACCTTTAAAAAAAAAAGGATATGCCTGACCACCTAAAACAAATTTGTTACGGTTTGCGTAATTACTTGAATTTTTTTTTCATACATCCTTCAAACATACACGACTGTCTGTTCTGGTGTAAAATGAGCTGCTTTGATTTGACTTTTATCACAAACGCTTCAATTGTCATATATTTATTTATTATTATTTATTTTCATGTATATAAAATAAGGCCTCGTTCAGTCGTTGTCCCGTGGCCGACATTTGTTGGTAAATTACACAGTACACATAACGTTTTCAATACAATTACTATTAGGAAACTAGACGTGAGGAGGTGTGGTTTTTTTGAAATTTCTTTGTGTGAAAATTTGATGAATTTGAAATTTTTTGTAAGACATTGGTCGTTCTTGATAAAAACATAATATTGTTTAAATTCCAACAATAACCGCTTGTGTCGTTAATTTATTTCCCTACGTTGAAACATTATTGTGTTCTACAGATTAAATGTAGGTACCTTGGAAGTATTTTTTTTTTCGTGGTATACATTTCTTAGTGATCGAGTGTCTGACATGATAGAAATGAAAAAATAAGTTGAACGGTGTTCCAGGCTTGTAACATATTATATTGTACTAATATATATATATATATATACATAATATATTGTAAATACAGTAATAATAATAATATATTATAGCGTCTCGCGTCAACAACAACTTCGGTGCCGGCCACGAAAACGACATTGTCGTACACGATTTTATGGTTGTCCGACGAGATACGACCAATAGGTTTTGTTTCTATATTTTATTGCAAAGGCCCACCCATTTTGCTCGACATGTACAATTTCACGTGTGCGAGTTATGCGAGAAATATATTATTGTACCATAGGGCGTGCGATAGTATAATATGCACAATATAAATATCATGGCCTGCACGATTGTGGATACAGCTAATTAAATAAAATAAAAAACAAAATGTTTAAATCGCATATGTATATCGGTTGGAACTTGGACCGAATAAAATAATAATACGTTGTATGTCACGTTACGAAATCATATGAATAAACGCCATAAACAAAATATGTATCCACTAGAATCTAGATTGATCTACACGTCATATTATATTAGACTGACGTGAGTTTTTAGGTTTAATACATTGCTCGGTAAATTCGAGTGATTTCACAGCTCACTGTTGAGTTATGCTATCAAAAAAAAAAAAAAAAACAAATGATCTAGATAAAATAAAGATAATTGAATACAATGGTATCTAAGTTGTACAGGTGAAAATACAAAACAACATTGTTTTTATCTAGGTACAGATAAAAATTAATTCATTTTTATCTAGATAACGAAAATACAATTGTTTTGCTATATTAATATCAGTTCTTATAACGCAATCGTCGTTTTGCACGTACAACATTATTTTACCAAACCTAATGCCACTATTTAATTTAATATTAATTTTGTAATTATGATTTAAAATTAGTGTTTTTTAACTCTTCTTTTTACTAAAAAATGATATCGAGTATCCGTAGGAAAACAGGTTAGTTGGCTGGTTATTTTTTGGAGTACCTCGAAAAGACGTAAAGTTTCTTTGAAATAATTATCTGCTGTCAAAAAAAAATTAATATTTACTATAGCTAAATGTTCGTGAGCGTGACTATATTATCATATTCATCGACCGACAGTAAAATTGATTTTATTTAATTATTAGCTATACGTTATTTTATTTTAAAACAATTTTAAATTACTTTTGCCATTAATATTTGCTCTAGTAATTATGAATTATACAAATGTTGACAATGTGCTTAAGAATTGGCCTATTCCAAATTGAGGGTCCGTAAGTTCTTTTATAGTCATTCGATCAAGATGACGCTTTAGGTATTTTTTTTATCAAGACATGTCTCCGCTCTGTTACTCTTCGATGATACCTTTTGCCTGTCTCCGACTACGGGACGACGATTTTACCCGAAGACTCGGATAACAAAATATAAAATTATCGCGCTACATTTTAGCTGTTATTTTCAAACGACGCTTTGCAAAAAACAAAATGCATTTCGCTTTGGGAGCGCAGCCCTCGCACATTGTTCTCCGACCAGGTAGATAAGGCACGGTGTCCGAGTATGTGTGTATTATTATCTATATGCGCAAACGGGTATATACTAGATAATTATATAGTTTTTTTCATTTTTTTATTTTTTATCATCACAGTCGGGCTCGGTGCCCGACTGTGTATTATTGTGGAAACGCGGTATAGACAGTGCACTTTTAAAGAAACACCTGCGTGCGGCTCGCTCGAGCCCTAAGATTATTTATTGCGACGATCTCGGGCCCGAGATAAACACGTAAGACGTAAGTACCGTACCCGAGGTATTTCTATTTGTTTCGTTTTTATTATACAAGCGTAAAATATGTACAAGTGTGTACGTACTACGTACTACTTATTAAATTATTATTATTATTATTATGTCTGTGTTTACTCGGCGACCAAGTGCGAGACTTTGGATTTATTTATGACGCCTCCGACAACGATAAATAATTACACCCTCGCCGTAGGTCCGATTCCAAATTGAATACCGGCCACAGCACTTTGTTCAGTCTGAAACAAGCTCAGACGTGCCGATCAAACGGCTCTGGGGACAGCTTACCGAGCATTATTTTTTTTTTAATAAAAAAAAAATTCGCTACCTATCCGTAAGCTCGTTGAATTCGCCAATCCGCCTTAAATTTATTTGATAAGAGCAAATAATTTCACCCGGCTTAAAGTTATAATAATATAATTATATCATATTGAAAATTATGATTATTCTAATTACTGGGGTATTAAACGAATTCAACGAGCCTACTGATTTTTTTTTTACGTTTAAAGTTATAGATAAATGTTACCGGATATGTTTAGGAGTTTTATTAGACCGCGTACCTACTAAGAGACATTCGGTTGTCGTGTGTGTTTTTCAATCGAATTCGGTAAATTCGCGAGCGATGAGTATCCACGAATTTAACGATGTAATGGTTGTGTAAAACCTTTTTTTTTAATTTTTACTTACATAATGCTTAGAAAATCAATTTGACCAAGTTGTGATAATTATTTGAATTATTTTTTTGAAAATTGGGTTAAAAATATTTACAAAGTATATCAATTTAATTTTAATACTTCAATAATTATGAAAGTTAAAAAGAAATAAATCAAACTATATTTTAACTGAAAAAATGTTAACAGAATTATACGTTTATTAATCCTCTAAACTTTAGATTCTAAAGTATTGATAACAATTTTTTTTTTTTTTGCCTGGATAATATGTGGTACTGAATTATTATTAATTTTTTAAACAAGAGCTGTAGTTGTAAAAACGAGGTACGCCTCCTATTAATATTGTTAGATTTCAAATAGTAAAATTAGATATTATGCAATTTCCGCGCTGAGATGGGTTTTCGACACAGATCAGGTACAATCATTTAGTGTTAGTTACGGTATAATGAGATGGAATAGAGACAATACTCTAGGCCATGTTCAGCGCCGAACACATTATTAAAAAAAACCCCGAGGATTTAACATAGAACAGTTTCCATTCCATGAGTTCTAAATAATAGTTAAAATTGTGCAACGTTACACGAGCATCCTAGTCATATCGACATAATACAAAAATGTTGTATGTTACACCATCTAAAACCACGAAAGCAATTATTTTTGTAGTTGTTTGTGTAAACCTATACGTCAATATACATTAAATAGTCGAATCCTTACAAAACTATTATCTGTGAAGCTTCGGGCAATGCGTCTCGCTCGTGTTATTATGTTGTATATGATGAATAGTTAAAAGTGTTGTAAAAATCCTAACCTCTATGAATAATTATTATAATGTAGCAGCTGTTGGAACTGCACTTAAAAGCGAATACTTTAAAATATTCAATTAGGCGCATGCGTTTTTTTTCCAAAAACCCATATAAAATAGTTAGACATTGATTGACAAATTGGAAAATGTTTAATGTTTTTTAACCGATTTTGTGTTTTTTTTTAATTTTCGGTCAACGTAAATGGTAAACAGCTTTAACACGACCGCTCTCATTCTCTGCAAAAGAACACATAACATATACAAAAAATAATAATCCCATTTTAAACGCACATAATATACTACCATAATATAATTGTTAAAAACCATAATAACAACATATTGCTTTAAAGCTATTGACACTAAATACAAAACTATAATAGCCACTAAATTCTGTTATATCATACCATTATTAAAATGATTATCATTTTAGTTAAATTAAATTATTAAATTATAAATGTCGGTTAGAGTATAAACGGTAGATGCTGAGGTGATTGTTGGATAGGCTTTTTACAAATCAGTAGCTCTATGACAAACACTGAAAAGCTGAGAACTAAACCGAAAAACAATATTATAAACGCCACTTCCAAATCTCTTACGGTAAAAACTTTAGATTTTTCATGATCCTTTGGATTCACGAGTCTGTACTCGTTAAAAATATACTTAGTAACGTCGCTGTTCCACTTGGTCACTAATCCGGCTTGATCTATCCACGACAATACCGTGTTAATCCTCTTCTTGTACGGCGAGTGCCTACAAAGTAGATAACTATAATAGGGTTAGGCCGGAACAACGTTTTGTATTGTCCAAAATCGCAATTTAAAAAAAAATAACTACACAGAATTATCTCACATTTTCCATTGTACCAACCTGTGAACAACGTAGGATATATAATATGATATTAAACATTCGTTCATGGTGTGCAACGCACGTGGTCTAGTCTTATTGCCGGAATAAAAAATATCTTTGAAATGTCCAAGGTTGAATACGTTGACACGTTGAAATCCGACGTGATAGCCATCCGAATTTTTCAAATCGACTTGGCTTTCCCATTTTTCGACTCTAGAGGCTAGATTTCGCAGGTTGGGATCATTGGTTAATATTTCTTTAAAGCTTAAACTAAAGGTACGAATCGGTACATCCGACTTTTCCAACTCCTTAAAAGTGTTTAAATCTGGATAGTGCATGGGCGTACTCAAAAACGTCACTAATGACCCCTGAAAATACAAGTGTCGTTTAGTATGAACTATATTTTAATGGCTATGCTTCGGAGGCTTTGGAGTTTGAGGTTTAAAACACAATCATTACCTGAAATGCGTTTAAAATGACAACAGTGTACAGCAAGCAAAACAAAGTCAACATTTTCTGGCCTGATTGGGCAAAAGCCCTGTTAGTAGGTGCCCCGATAAACATTCTGTACAATTCCAGTCCCAAGTTGCATCCTGTAGGTCCGGTGTGAGTTGTGTTCAACGTAGTCCCCGCAAAGTATATCAGCGCAGTCACTATGTATGTAACCGCCATCATTATCCACACTTCGTATTGAAAACTCTTCAATACAGTAATCATTGGTGGCATAACGCCAGCTTTCGGCGCTAGCAAGCATACTTTGTCGTTTGTGATCTGTGAAAGTCAAATTTATAATTTAATTTGATTTCTTCGCCGTTAATTAATTCTCGTGAACCTCTATTTCGAATTTCCACTTAAATAGTTTTATATATAATTCCATCCTCCCCCCCATCGAAAACGATATGGAGAAATTGACAATGTTGTGGATATATTTACATGTCTAGTGAGTTCCCCAACGTAGCAGCCATAGTCCCTAAGAAAATGACCGTTTGCCGTGAGCTCTGCACGACGGTCGACGACAGCCGCCATGGTGCCATAATTCGATCCGTTGTATTTCTTGTTGCCGTAGAAAATTTTGGCGTAATACTTTTCAGTCAAGTAAACCGGAGTGGCGTTCATCGTTTTTGCCAGCACGTTGGCGAAACTACCGTCTATTCCAATGAACGTGCCGTTGCCTTCCCCTCGTATTACAGTAGGCATTCGGACGTTCATCAGCATTCGCAGTGGTCTCCCTTGGAAGTTACTCGTTCGCGACTGTATCAAGTCCGGTATGGTGTGCAAAGACCCAAGCGGTATGTTTGCAAATTCGCTATCATAAAGACGGTTGTCCAGCGGATTATACAACTTCACCGAAGACGGAGTTAACACGATCGTTCTGTAACATCAAATCGAATATGAGTGAGAACATGTTGAAACGGAAAAAGAAAACGTTTTTTGAATATTGTGAAAAAAGTGAACAATAATTGAAGTATGTCATTGCAAATGCGGTATTTCCAAAATTCCTAACTCTGGTAAAATGTGACAAAATGTAAAGTTCCGATTCATATTTTTTTTCACAATGACTAGTTTGAATCTTGAGTACTTTTTCCTTGTCATTTATTATTGACATGAATGTGTCACACAAGTTTAGAGATAAGAGATTAGTAATGGAAGTACCCGGGTCCTATATTTGTATATTAAGACATAACCAAGTTTTTATGTACTTCCGTGCAGTGGAGGTATTAGCATCAAACTAATGTTTTATTTCACAAGACTATAATTGGAAATTTGTTAACACGAGTCAACGGTAGTCCAAAAACTTGTAAAAATAAAAACAATTTTATTTATGAATTCGTTTGGAATTTTAGATTTTCGTTACCCTTATGTCAGTAAATTTATACAGATTATTTTTTAACATTTTCGTAAATAATATGTACACAATTAATGAAGCCTTTGACAAGCACTAACCGATTCCAAGTACAATATATTATGAAATCAACTTAGACGATATTTTACTTGTAAATGGACTCGTTCTGCCAAATGGCGCTAGCAAATTGCCTGGGGTTCCAGTCGAAATGATCGGTCACTATGATGTAATAAGCGTCAGGATTCCAAATCCAACTGAACCGCAGGTCCACAGGTTCGGTCTCGTCGCCTAAAAAGAACACCACGAAGAGCGGAGGCTTTCCGGGGATTGGTCGAGGCTTTTGGCAAGCCGTACTCCCGGCGTCGCCGATGGTCATCAACAAATGATCTATGTCCATCATGTAAACGCTATGCCATTTCTTCTGTAGCTGACGATACAAATCCTCGGGCACGTCAGACCAATTGTAAGCCACCACGAGTACCATAGGCGACGACGGTAAACCGTCAAACGCGATCTGCACCAATTTGTTGATGATTTCGATGGTTCTGTTATCCGATTTCTGTTTCGCAGGACTGTCCTGGTTTTCCGACAATGTCCGTCCGAGTCCATTCCGCCCTGACACTGTTTTCAGCGTCATCAGTAACACCGTTACCGTGGTAATAACCTAGAAATGTTGGTCGATTTGATTAGTTGGCCCCTTCTCCAAAACGTTGTTTATTAGCTCATGTAAAATATATAATAATTAATAACAGAGATGAACCGATCCGTAATCCGTATTTTTGGTGCAGATATTGTAAAGTATAAAACATAATATATTGGGTTAATAAACCTCCTTAACTTCCTAGAGAACGAAGATTGAGCTGACAGGGCCAAAATTATTTACGTCAAAATTCTCCAGATGACGTTAAATTGAAAAATTTAAACAATAAGCGTTTAAAAAATTGTGATAACATTTGGCTTACTTGAAAACAGTTCATAACCATTCTGAACAATATTATGACTAAACTTGTTTGCCAAAAAACTCTATAAATAAGCTTTTGAGTAATTTCAATGCAATTTAATAACAATTGATCATCGTCTTGTAGATTAATTTATAGTTATCTTGGATATAATTTTAGAAAATAAAACTAATATTATTTTACTGATAAAACGATTAAAAAATTATTTTCGAAACTCGATCGTTCATATACCTATAAAATGCAGTGGTTAATAGTGTATACTCGTTAACAATTTTTAAGTCTCACAACGAGAACGCTCGAATCGAATTTTGAGTGACATACAGAATAATGATACAATTAAAGAAAGTTTTTGTAAGTAAGTTGTTATTATTTTGATACACTCGCAATAAAAATACTCAAAAGTTGGGTTAATAACTTATATGAATAATACCAACATGATGACATTTTAAAATGTATTGTAACACCATCAAAACTGTTTTCTTTATAAACAACCGCTTTTATTATTGCCAACCGAATTGACGAATTACATGTTTTTTGTTTATTGTGCGTTTGTCGTTTATTTATTTTACTTTATTGATATATTTAATGGATGATATAACACTGAGAACATTTGAAAATTCATATTTCGCATATTATGCAATATACTTATCATAAATAATTATATTCATGCGTAAAGAATAATGGCATTTAATTATTACTACACTGTTAAAATTATTTTTTGAATAAATTGGACCAAACCTGTGGAATTAATACATTATTTTAGAATATGCCAAATAACTAAATTTTTAAAATTGCTCAAACTTTGTAATTATATTTTTCCGTGGGGATAATAATACAATTATTATATAGTAACTGATATTGACGTCTCTGAGTATGGTGAAATGTAAAACAAATAAATAATAATATATAAAACTCAATCAGTATTTGTTTTCCATTTAGTTTTGATAAAACTATAATTAACGGCCCGTTTCGTTTAACGGGCACGGGAGTGATCTATAATATGTTATTATTATTCAGTATAATGTTATGATGATTATCAATAATTCATATTAGAGGTATTACCATTATCCACTTGTTTATAAAAATAACCGTGTTCAACGTTAATATCAATAAAATACCTAACACAATATTGTACACTAATCTTGTTTTGGTACCACGCCACGGTTTTTAGTGCAAAATTCGTGGCTGGACATGATTTAATTGGGCTGCTGCGATTTCTGTTGGTCGAAGTTCGTTTACTTTAAGCAAGTCAGTGAGTAGGCAATAATTTGTATTTTCAATTATTTTTAAGATTGTCGAAAAACTATTCCGTCTCGTCGACAAGGATTCAGACGGAGTAATTACACCAACACAAGTGATGGATTTGCTGTCTTCCATCACGTACTCGTCCAGGTAACATTATATTTATGTAAAACTACCAAAGCCAAATAATTTAACTCGAACATGTTTTTTTTGGAATTACATAATAATCAACGATTAGATTTATGTACTTCGTGTCGGATAATTTGTTTTCAATATATACATTTACGCGGTTAAACAGTATAAAAATATGATATAATATATAAAGTATTTTACTTTTACTTTAACAAACACAACAGGGTAATAAAAGTAACGTTTTTATTTCAATTAATAGGTTGATCTATGTAATCGGATTTAATGAAATTTTGCGCAACTATAATATTCAACTGGGTAACCCCAAAGAGGAGTAATTTAGGCAAAGTATAAACAATGCAAACATTAAAAATTATACAAATAACTTTTTAAAATATCAATTACTAACTTTGTATAGTTTATAAAATATTATTTCTTAGAAGTATCAAAGTATTTAACTTAAAATAGTGTCGATACAATAAGTTTCTTATAATAAAAATATCATGTAGTTTATTTATTATGAACTACAGACTTGAAGTTGATTACTAATTTAAAAGGTTTTTTTAAAAAGGATAAATATCGATGGTTAACCATTAGGGGAATAACAATTTATTGAAATTCATCTGTTATTATTATTAACATACATGATAATAATTTGTGCATTGATTTCACTTAGAGTAAAATCCGGGTTCGACAGCGAAAACCTGATGTGGCTGGAGCAGTTGTTCCGGCAGACCGTTGGAGATGAAATGGAAATCAAACGAGATGATTTCAATAAGATTTTAATCACAAAAAACGTAAGCCATTAGTTGTAGTAACTGATTTATGTGACGATTAAAAAAAACACAATGATTTATCATCATTATAAAATCATTTTATCTAATTGATGAAAGAAAATGTTTATTAAGTAGCAAAGATAGGCAATATTTCCGTTTCTTTTAAAAACATTGTTTAGTGTATTCTCATGTAGGTACACAAGTTTTATGTTAACATTATTAATTCATTTCTTTTTAATAATAAACTTATTAGATATTTATAAAAAACAAAATATACACGCAAATTTGATGTTTTTACGTAATAGAACAATTTTTGACAAAAATAAAACAATAACATACAGCACTTAATACACACGTATTAACTGAAAAAACAATAGGAGATGTGAACACTAATTTTATGTTATTAATAATAAAATTAGTTTTGTTTAGCTAAACACATTTTCTTTTGAACTCCGTTTTTATATATTGTTAGAAAAATGAAAGAAATCGCTTGGGAGCTCTACTACACTTATTCCAGCCTTTTTTAGGGAACTTTATAAATTTAGAGAAGATCAGACCTACACCCCCCTCCCCAATATGTTCGCCTATGCCTCTAAATGCAAAAAAAAATTGTTCAAAATTATGAAAAGAGTTCTCGTAAATCACTTGTTTTTTATTGATTTCTCCAAGCTATTATGACATTGTAAAATAATATTCAATATGTTAATACGACAGTATGTTATATTCTAATATTGTTCTGTTTTGGTTTTCAAACAGCCATTCTTCACCGAACGAGTGTTTCAAATATTTGACAAAGACAACTCAGGATCAATATCGTTACACGAGTTCCTCGACGCCATGCATCAGTTTGCAGGTCAAACGCCAGATGATAAAATTCGATTTCTGTTCAAAGTTTACGACTTGGATGGTAAGAAGGATATTGTTGTTATTAAAATAATCATCAAGTTTATTTGATGATTTTCTGACAGCAATGGTAACGACCATTCGTTTCTTATTAAACGCCAGTCAATGCATATCATTCATAAATTGAACGGTTAAAAAAAAATAATAATATTTTAGTTATCTGCTAACTTAGTTAATGTATATTTTACATATTTATATTATAGTGTTTTTCTTTTTTAACAAAGTATCTCTTAGTTTCCATTGTTATGAATTTCACTAGTATTCTTAATAATAATATTTTTGTATGGACTCGATCCCAAAGTGACTACCATTTATAATTTTGAAACGTTTCGCAAGTAACCAACACTTTTATTTATTTACTGTTTTTTTTTTAAATTATAATTATATAAAAAAGATACAATGTATATTCATGTATTCACAGGTGACGGTCTTATACAACACCGTGAATTACAACACGTGATGCGTGCCTGTATGGAAGAAAACGGTATGCAATTTTCTGAAGATCAAGTGGAAGACTTGACCATGGCGTTGTTCGAAGACGCCGACAGTGAATCGAGAGGTGCCATTACGTACGAAGCACTAAAAAATCAGCTACAAAAACACAATGGTCTGTTAGAAAACCTGTCGATAAGGTAAATACCGAACAACAATAAAAATAATAATTGTTATACAGTGAACACTATACCCACAGCAGTATAATGCCCGTATAACATATTTTACATATTATGCGTCGAATAACGCATTTTTTACAATTATTTCGGTTCGTACGATTAGTGCACCATATATTAGTATTTGTTTAAATACTGGTTTGTATAGAAAATAAAAAACAAATTCCATATTGTCTTTCAGCATAGACCGATGGCTAGTACCGCCGAAACCGAAACAGCCGCCGGCCTCGGTCATGGGCAAATTGACTGCGCTGCGGCCTTATCAACTGTCGTTGCCGTACATGCGAAACAATTATGTATACTTGATATTCTTAAACGTTTACGTACTAGTCAACATAGTTCTGTTCGGTACCAGAATTTATCAGTACAGAAATTCCAATATATATACGATCTTAGCAAGAGCTTGTGGTACGGTCGGCATAGATAATTATTACATAAACACAAACCGACAATACAATGCGGACAGGAACTAAATAAAAAAAAATAAAAAATATGACTTTTTCCAGGCCAGTGTTTAAATTTCAATTGCACCTTTGTGCTCGTGCTCATGTTGAGACATTGCATAACGTTCCTGAGGACGCGAGGGCTGTCTTCTTTTTTGCCGCTGGACCAACACATATATTTTCATAAAATCACCGGATTTTTCATATTCGGCTACAGTTTGCTTCATTCGCTAATGCACCTGTTGAACTTCAGTGAGTGATCGAAACGAAGACGTTGACGAGATGTTATTATTTTGAATGCATAATTCGTTTTTTTTTTTTCAATAGGCACCGTCATCATATACGATTCGAATTTAAACTACGAAGGCTTCACCGTGTCCGAATGGCTATTCACAACTGATCCAGAAATGTTCGGCCTCATCGACGGGTATGCAAATCCCACGGGCGTCTTACTGATCGCCATACTGTTGGTCATGTTCGTTTGCTCTCAGCCGTTTGTGCGCCGAGGAGGCTGTTTTGAAGTCAGCTCATAATATTATGCTATTATACAACACGGACGTGTCGCGCCCGCTGCCGGCTATTGTCAGCTATAATATTGTAATGTTTCAGATCTTCTACTGGACGCATCTGTTGTACGTGCCGTTCTTCCTGTTGCTGATTGTGCACTGTCCGAATTTTTGGAAATGGTTCGTCGTGCCCGGTTTGATTTACCTGTGCGAGCGTTTCTACCGTTTCTCGCTGATGCGGTCCGAACACGGCAAGACCTACATCAGTTCCGGCTTGCTGTTGCCGTCGAAAGTCACGCACTTGGTCATCAAGAGGCCGCCACACTTTGACTTCCATCCGGGCGACTACGTGTTCGTCAACATACCTGTGATAGCCAAGTACGAATGGCACCCGTTCACGATCAGCAGCGCTCCGGAACAAGAAGGTAAGAGAACGGCGACACGCGCGACTTGTCCGATTTAATACTCGCAAGACGGTTTTTCAGATTACATGTGGCTGCACATACGGGGCGTGGGCGAATGGACCAACAGGCTTTATTCGTACTTCGAACAAGAACAGCACAAGTTGCACTCGCTCAACGAAGAGCTGCCGGGCTCGGTCAACGACAATTCGTCCGTCGTCGGCACCCTGGAATCGTCGACAATGAAAAAACTACAAACGTATACTTACATTTTACCGTAGGAAATCCGCGGGCCAGTTTCGCCATTTTGGATCACTGTTCATATGATGTGTACAGGCTTAACGTAAAATCACCAAGTGAAACTGGCCGAATCGCGTTGTTCACATATAAATCGCTTCATGCAAAAAGGGCCTCAGTCCTTGACTTTAAACTTTTGGATAAATGAAAAAAACGTTTGATATGTTTCAAAATGCATAAACAACATATAAGGGCTTTATCAATGTTAATAGATATTAAACAGTAAAATTACATTCTGTAAACAATAGTATTATTTTCAAATGCAGTCCAGATTATTAGCATTTAAGTATGGTGGACTTAGACCCTTTTTACAAAAATCAATAATTTTCTTAGTAATTTCTGGTAACGGAACTAATTTTTTTTAACATGAATCGATGCGTCTAAGTAAAGTGATAACGAATCTGTAATAAACACGTTTTTTATAAAATGGTGTCTTAGGCCCTTTTTGCATGGAGCGATTGTTATCTCGGTTGTTTTGGAACGTTAACAGTTTTTTTTTGTAGAACATTGCAAAGAACGTTTTCGGGAAGGACCATTGACGAATCGGCCAAAGGCAAGTATAAACGAGGCGGAGATTTCAGCTACACCAATCAGAGTTTTAGCAGTCTGCCGGAAGACTTTCAGATAAGAGGCTCCGATAGTGATAACGTGTCTGGAAATTCAAAACCTAACGGTATAGTTTTACGTTTGTTTTTTGTAATAAATCCAAAAGTCAGTTCGGGGTGGATGGCTGCCCAGAGTTTGCCGTTGGAATTCCAGTAAACGGTATTTTTGTTTGTTAACGGTCTCTGCTTGCTTTACAGATGCGAGAAAATCCGTGAAGAAGAAAGTGCAGAACACCAATCTTCATAAACTCGTGCTGATCAACAAAGCTCCGTTGTCCAAATCGTTATCTATGCCCGACATGGACAACAGGATCAAAAAGAGAGAACGCCTTTTGGCGTACGTATACCTATTTTCTTTTGCGACTGCGCCTGTTGTTGTTTTTTTTTTTTTCTTAGCTAGTTCGACAACTTTCTTTCAAAATCACCTTTTGTTTTCTTCGTCAGTTTGCGCACTTACATGCGATCGGAATCCGAAAAGAGTTTCGACGAGTGTCAAATGAAGAGAGCCAGACTACAGTCGCTGGGTCTGGCGTACCTGAGCCCTCAGAACAAATCGTTGGCGCAGAGCTTCCGGTACATGAGGCACAAACCCACCATCATCGCGTTCAAGACGCCCAGCTTGGAAAACTGCGAGAACAAAGTGTCGTCGTACAGCATCACAATGGAAAACGTACGTTCCTCCAACGGTCGGTAAAAAAAAAAATCAAATACAATACCTCGTATCGTTTCAGGCGTCCAACATTGGCAGCATGGAGTTCGTGACTAACGAGAACAAGTCGAACGAAAGGCCGGACGAGGACAACAGCGGCCGATCGCCGATAAATTATCCCGTCGGCAAACCGTTAGAAGTGAGGCGATTGATCCCAGTGCCCCGCTTTTTTTAATCGGTATACCTGACGAATGGTATTATGATTTTTTTTTTTTTTTTTTATTATTTCCATTTAGATTTACTTGGTAGGCCCGTACGGCGCACCGTCAAGTCATATATTCCGAGCCCAACACGCGGTGATGATAGCCACGGGCATTGGCGTCACGCCGTTTGCGTCCATTCTACAATCGATCATGCACAGATATTGGAAGGCCAGGCACACGTGCCCCAAGTGTAAATACCCGTGGGTCAGCGAAATACCTCCTACGGTGATGCACCTGAGGAAGGTGAGGGCGGCCAACAAACGGTTATCGACAAACTGTACACGTCGTCGGTGTTGGCTGAACAAAGTCTACGAATAACCCAACCAATAAGCATTATAATTTTACTATGACATGACATATTGAAATATTGTTCAAATACGATTTTTGTCCACTCTTCGAACTCGTTAATACCCAAGCGCGGGGGTTGAAATGGACTGGACAATATTAAAGGCAGCCCGATTACTAATTTATATACCAAAAAACCGGCCCACAAGTGGAATTGGATTTAAATAACTGTTATTTTAATTTTTTTAAAACGGCCATTACAGTGGGGTCAAGCCATAGAGGGGACGGAGAAGTCACGAGTCTTTAGGAATTGTAATAAATAAAAGTAAAAAAATCATTTTTAAATAAACGCTTCGATGCAAACTTGTAAAAAAAAAATAAACTATTATTTCATGTTTTCCGTTGAAATCGTATCCTCTAAAAAAGTATAAAAAAAACCGAACTATGAACAAAAAATTATATTGTATTTTTATAGTAAGCGTGGACACGAATAGGGTCGATGGTCTGTCAATAACAACATTATTTTTTAAGAATAATATTAAGCCAATTTTAACCTAACCTACGGGGAGGGGATATCTCCATTCGACATTCCTACCTTGCTGGCACACGCTGTTGGACATAATGGTTATAAAGTTTATTTGTGGATTTTTTTGCCCAACTCCGATCGTCGTCGTCGTCTACGTAGAAAAGTAATTTTATTCTAAACAATTTCGATTATTATTTTTAGGTGGACTTCTTTTGGATTAATCGCGACCAGAGATCATTCGAGTGGTTCGTCAATTTGCTATCGCAACTTGAAATCGAACAAGCCGAGCTCGGTGGTGCCATGGAGAGGTTTTTAGAGATGCACATGTACATTACCTCAGCGTTGCAGAAAACCGACATGAAAGCGGTCGGACTTCAGTTGGCGTTAGATTTGCTACACGAAAAAGTAAAACAATTAAAAACCAACGGTTACGCCGCCTTTATTTTTATATTTATTTTTTTATAACATTTTTATTTTAATGTTTAGGAAAAACGAGATTTGATCACCGGATTGAAAACGAGAACAAACGCCGGCAGACCGAATTGGGACAAAGTGTTTAAGCAGCTGTTAGATCAAAAGAAAGGAAAAATCACAGTGTTTTATTGTGGACCACCACAGTTGGGTAGACTGCTCCGAGTAAAGTGTGATCAGTTCGGATTTGATTTTCGAAAAGAAGTTTTCTAATATTAGATAAACGCGGTTTATGGATTTTTTTTTTAATGTAAAAAAGTGATCAATGTCTTTATTTATATAATATTATTGTGTTTGTAATCAAGTCATGATAGTAGTTACCATATTGTTAAAGAAAAGACTGCAATCGAGTTACCAACATCAATGTTACCATAAAAAAACGTAATTTTAAAATTGAAATTCACCCTTCATTTATAACATCATTTACTTCTAAGGTCATTCAGAAAAAACAAAATAATATAAATGACACTACGTTAAATATTAGTAATTGCTTATCAATTTATAAGTAATGACTTAAATTATATTTATATATAGTGCCGTGATAATCATTCAGTTTTGTTTAAGGCGCCTTCTACTTGATAATTACTGTTGTATTATTACCTATTATTATTATTATTATTATTATTATATTATTAGAAGTTTAATTTATACACGATCTTATTATACTCTGATGTAAAAATAGATTAAGTATTTATACATTTAATATTTTTAAATTCATAACAATTCAATATTATCGAAACAAAAAAAAAATATGTACAAAATTTACTAAAACTATAAAGCTGAAATTATTGTAATAATATGTATTTTAAATTTTTATGTGCGTTAAACTTAAGCATTATTTTATAATAAAATTATACGTGTCTTTAAAAATAAATTGAATTAATTATTTTACCTGAACAATCATTTTTAAGTTGGAATAGTATGGTGCGTTACTAAAACGCTCATATTTCAAATTATTAGTCAATGTTATAACTGAAGTTTAACACTAAATTTAGTTACTTTATAACTAAACATCAATAAAATTTAATTATATTGATAATTCTTATACTTCAATCAAATCTGGGGAAAATGTAATAACATAACAAATAATAACTACAAGTAACCGTATTTTCAAATAACAATAATTCGAATAAATTGGCATTACACAAATAGTTTTATTTCAAGAAATATTTTTAGTATTATTAATAATGTATGTCATTATTAAAAGTACTTATCCATCGTACAATGAACGTTCAATTAAGACGTAACAATAGCGACATATTTTTTATAGTGAAGAATAATAATAAATAATAATACCAAAAACAGTATAACTGAAATATGTATGTATTTATTTAAATAACTTGAGACATGGTTAAACTGTAAGTGTTAAATTTGTTATAATTTAACTGTCAATAGTTAACAATAATTGTTTTTGTATGTATAATTCATTGACTATTATCATTTGGTATTAATAACCGAATTAGAAGCTATTTTCAAACACAGGAATAAAGAAATCATTGAAGATCGTTATGGTCTGCTCGTATTTAAGGCGTTATATTACTTCGGTGTATATTTCGACTGGCGGTAAAGCGAGCAGATCCTCCCAATGTTGCAGGCTCATCTCGCTGAGCGGCAGCTCGTCGAACAGTCGTGCCACCGTATCTTGGGTGGTTACCAACATCGACTTGATGTCGTCCGGCGATATGTCGTGTTTTTTCTCCTCGTCGAATACTCGACCGTCGATTTGGTCGATTTTCAATTCCAGGTAGTACTCTTGCAATCCGCTTACGACACACGAGTCGGCAATGGTGCCCAAGACCTGTTCGTATCCTTCGTCGAACCGCTTCTTCAGGTCCTGCGCGCTAAACCCTTCGTGAAACCCGTGACCTTTTTGCTTGGCCAGAATGCCGTTGATCGACCTGTACAAGTTGGACAGTAGCGCCAACCGAGAGTCGACGGCCTGCAGCATGTCCATGTATTTCACCAACAGGTTGGCCAACTTGACGGTGTGCGTCTTCAAGAGTTTTACGCCGCCGCCGCGGTCGATCATCTCGATGATCAGATAGGTCTGCACGGACATGTGTTTCAACGTCAGGCAGGTCAGCGCGGAACCGAACAACCACAAACCGTACCTGACCGTGGTGCCCGAGTATCCGCCGGAAGCCACGATGCTCTTGATGGCCAAAAACGGGTCCAACCCGTTCTGGTCGTCGTTCAGCGGCTCTATCAGTCTGGTGGCAGCCCACGGCACGTCCTTGGCGAGCACTTTTTGCCGGAGCACCGGGTCCCACATAGTGTCCTGAGCCAGCACTTCGGTGAGTAGTTCCAAAACTTGCGAATGACCGACCACCGACATGGCCCGGCAAAGGCCATGCGAGTGCAGTAACGCCAGCCAAAAAGTCAACGCGCCAAACATGATCATATCGTTGTACACGGAGTACACATCACTAGCCTTTGCGCTACAAAAAGCCTTACGTTTCGTCGTATTCATTTTTTTACGTTTGTTTGTCGTGTAGTGTGTAAACATACGTTTCGGTATATTATACATACAGCGGTTGAATTTGCTCACACACTTGGTAAAACAATAATTTCCTATGACGATGTGATAAGCAAAACAAAGTGTACTATACAATTGGTCCATTTTTTTTTCTTTGATATTTTTGATTTGACTCGATAAAATTGTCGTCAAATCGTACACACAGATCACAATATCATTGTTTTCAATGTGTTTGGCAGTTAGACAAAAAAATATTAAGAATAAAAACCATACAATACCAAAATAAAAAAAATGTATGGAACTACGTTTAAATATTAGATAAATATGTAACATATTATGTCCTACATGGTTCAAATATAGTATACACAATTTATACTATACAATTTATACAAAAAAATATTAAGAATAAAAACCATACAATACCAAAATAAAAAAAATGTATGGAACTACGTTTAAATATTAGATATATAAGTAACATATTATGTCCTACATGGTTCAAATATAGTATACACAATTTATACTATACAATTTATACAACAAAATATTAAGAATAAAAACCATACAATACCAAAATAAAAAAAATGTATGGAACTACGTTTAAATATTAGATATATATGTAACATATTATGTCCTACATGGTTCAAATATAGTATACACAATTTATACTATTATGCATTTTACTTTTGACACTGCTGACACCTGATATGTCAAAACTCATTTTATGAACAGGTCCGCAACGTCATTTAAACTTAAGCCATTCCCTAAGAAACCTTTTTTTTTTAAATTAATTCTCAGGATTATTAGACATGTCATCGGTTATTTTTTTTTAACCTTAAGCACCCCTGTAAATCGAAATAGCGTTAATTAAAATCTGAATAATTCGGATTTTTTATAGATCTCCATGTTCAAATAGTCTTTTAGGTAAGATTTACTTCGCATTCAAAAACAATTGTCTTTAAGCGGTTTTTATGGTTATCCGTTTTATGTGGATTAATTCTTTATAGTGTTAATAAATGTTTATCTTGTAAAGTATCATTTTTCTTCTCTGCTTGTTTTTGATACATGGATTTTTTCTTATGAGTTTTGCTTACCTTTTATAAGATTTTAAAAGCAAATCGCATGATTATGTTATTGTTTTGTTGTGTAATTTGTAATTGAGCGTTACTTTCGTGCGTCACGGTAAATCATACAATAACAGACAAATAAAATACAGCTAGGATTTAGTTAGTTTATGTTTCAAAATTTGTCTATAATATTATTTACTGTTCGTAGTGTAGCAAAATTATATTATAATGTAAATAAATAACATGGATATCGTATCCATATGTTGTTGTATTAAAACATGTACTCGCCAAAGAAGAACGCGATTCAAACATTTTGCAAGAAAATATGGTTTTGCTATATAATATAAACTATACGTGTATCGGTTAAAACAACTATATGGCTAATATTCATATAGTTTTTATGTTACTCAGTTAACTAACTAAGTAATATAATAAACTATACTTATATTATAATATAATTAACTAATTAATATGATGCCTACAGTTATAAAAAATATACATTTCATGTGCATACTATTTTTAGGTATAAGTAATAGTAGGTATATACAAATAATTAATTAATTTTTAGAAAAACAATTCGTTAAAATTAAATAATCTGTCATCATGTAATGCCTTTCTTTGACAATTAACGAAACATTGGGGGTACTATCCCCAAGTGCATAAATCAACAGCTGCTGTCCACTGCTTAGTATTTACAGTTAAACATTTGGAAATGCAGTATTTAATGAAACATGCCTGGTTAAAAAACAAAACCAATTCGTTTTTAGAATTTTCTTCAAAAACGAAAGGGCCTACTGAATTCTATAATAATTATTGTTATTATTTAATAAAATTCTTTATTGAAGTACTACTGTTTACTTATAAAATATACAGGGTGTCCCATTTTAAAATACTAATCGATTTTTCTCTAAAAATACTAATCCAATCAAAAAGTTGCTTATTAGAGACTTTTAGAGTACAAAGGAGGACGTTATAAAAAAAAAAAAAATAGGGTCCAAAATTCAAAATGGCTGACTTACGGTCAAAAACGTTTTTTTTTTAAATAGAAACCATGTATTTTTTGTTAACCAAAGAAATGTTCTTATCAAAACTAACAACTTTTGTAGGAAATTTTTTTCGGTATAACCCACAATTTAAATGGTAAAGCCCATAATTTGTAAATTAAGTATTTTTAGTTTTGTTATTTTATTTTGATGCATATGGTAACCTTGTCATGTGTGGTAACCATGGTATTTTTAGTAACTTTGGTATGTGTGGTAAACATGGTATGTGTGGTAACCATAGTTTTTGTCTTTGTGATACACAGAAAAGAGGATAACCTTATCGATAAAGATAATGATAAACATACCACGGTTACCACTCATACCATGGTTACAACACATACCATGGTTACCACACATGCAAGGTTGCCATATGCATTAAAATAAAATAACAAAACTAAAAATAGACAAAGATACTTAATTTACAAATTATGGGTTTTACCGAAAAAAATTTCCTACAAAAGTTGTTAGTTTTGATAAGAACATTTCTTTGGTTAACAAAAAATACATGGTTTCTATTTAAAAAAAACACGTTTTTGACCGTAAGTCAGCCATTTTGAATTTTGGACCCTATTTTTTTATTTTTATAACGTCCCCCTTTGTACTCTAAAAGTCTCTAATAAGCAACTTTTTGATTGGATTACTATTTTTAGAGAAAAATCGATTAGTATTTTAAAATGGGACACCCTGTATATTACACAAAATGTAATACTATGTTGTCGATGGCAACCATAAAGCCACTGAAGAATGTCATCGTTTAGGACGGTTCCAATTAAGCAAATCACAAAACATTATATTATTATTAATTTCCATTTATAGAACCAATACAGCACCACGATAAACTGGATGGTATTCAATTAATAATATCTTTGTATTACATTATATTTCATTGAATTGCACACCATCGAGTGATACTCCTTTTATGTAGAGTTGCTATATTTTAATCAAATATTACAAGTATATTATCTCAAACAAATTGCATGTGTACGATATAAAGTATTTATAACATGTCTATTGTTGTTTGATTATCGTCCGAATGAGCAATTCATAAAGACCAATTTTTCATTTAACGACTTATAATGTGTACACTAAAGTTTGAATGACATCATATTAAAAACATATTCTGTAATTTAAATTGTATTTGATTTAACTATTGAAAATGTACACATTTAAATGATAATATGACATGTTTGTGTTTAATGGAAAACAGATATTCAATGATATATATAATAGTGTTACCGATTTTGATAATATGGCTAAGAATTCTGCTCAAAAACGATACAACGTTATAATTATTAATTATGCACTGGAACACCAATCAGATCTTCCCAAAGTATGAGACGCATCGTTTTTGTTGGTAGATGATCCAACATTGCTGTGAGTTTATTCTTACTGGACTGCAACATACTTCTCAGGCTGTCGGTTTCGATTTGGCCGATGTCGTCCGCGTTGAGAATCCGATCGTCCACGTCGACTCCCAATATCGAATGATAATGTTGCAACGTTTTCAGGGTACACGTGTTCTCGACAACCGTGTCCATGACGGTTTTGTTGTTTGCGAAATTGTCTTTGGCTTCCAGCGGGAACAACGCCGTGGTTATCTCGTCTTCGGACTTGTCCAACAGCGATTTCAACGTCCAATAGATTTTGGACGGCACGTTCAACCGGTCGTCGAGCACACCCAACTGATCCATGTACGTGACCACTTGGTTGCTAAACGCCTGGGCCACGTGGTAGATGTCGGCGTTGGGCTCGGAGCGACCGATCAGCTCGACGACGATGAGCGCTTGAAACGACAAATGTTGCATGGCCGTACAGGACAACGCGGTTCTCACCACAAACATGCCAAACTCGGACGCCTCGCTCGTGTAGTTGTACTTGTGGACGACGCCGTCCACGACCAACAGCGGCTCGATATGGCCGTACAGGTCTTTGCTTATGCCCAGATTTTTCAGCAATTTGCCCGCCGTCTCCGATATGACGTCGGCGGTCGGATAACTAATCTTGTTCCGTAAAACTGGTAACCAAAACTTGTCGACGTGCAGCATCTCGGTGAAGAACTTCATCCTCTCACTGTGAACGAACGGCGCGGCTGAAATTTCATTCACCACAAAAATGGCCATCAAAATATAATTTACAACAAGCATATTGTGTTGTTATTGTCTAAATTATTATGATATAATATCGGTATTGTTTCCAACCGATACCGGGCAAGAAAAAAAATACTATAATGTTCGCAAAGAAACTATCAAAAGCTTACTTTACCATGTTTTTTTTGTTTTGTTATGTTCTTCCCCGATGTTTGTTTTAGTGTTTAAATATTGAAAACAAGTCAACACAAAATACTAAAACGACAAACGGCGACCCGTAGAATTTTCAAAAATCGGTACACATGTGTGTGCGCCAATTTAAAAACATAATAACAATTCGTGTTGTGGAAAATATTTGTGAAGATTGAATTCTTGTCTGATTTATCGATTTGCCTGCAATAATATGGTGTGTCTCATCTCACACTCGATTTACAGGCGGTCATGTCTAAAGGGACGATCGTATAAGTAAATATAAAAAATTGTACAAAAACATCTCTAACATAAGTTATAATAATAGTTTTAACTTTAAAGCGTTATTTTATTTTACATGTACAACTGTCGTGAATATAGTTGATTCTTGTTGAAATCATAATTTCTTTTTTTTTTCCTATAGATTTTAACCGGTAGTTTGCTCAATTTTTAAACTAATTCAATAATTTTATCCCCGAATCTAAAAATGTTGTTCCCGCTTAGGACCCAGATGTTGAGATAAATCATGATGTAACCGAGCGGTTGCATTATATTATGGAATCCTAATTATTTAAATAATACCTGAAACTGATATTTTTGTTATACTGAGTTCTCCAAATAATTGTATCGCTCATCACAAAGGTATTGACTATAGCTACAAGCTACAACAAAACTGTAGCGTACCTATTTACAGTGGGTGATTAGGGTGATATATCTGTTGTGCCTTTACTTTTAAAAATATATTATTTAAAATCTAATTGGTTAATAGAAAACTCTTCCTGTTAACGAAGAAGTTTTAGAAAAAATGTCACATAAACTTTAATAATTTGTTCACCTAACGAACATGTTTTAAGAAAAAATGATTTAAAGAAAAATTTTTTTTATCAAGCGAACTTTTATAAATTGATATAAAATACATATAAACAAACTGTTACCAGCATTATGCTTAAAGAAAAAAATACGGTTCACCTTTTTTGATCCGGCCACAGTTGCAAGATTTACGAGATAAGGGAGTCATAGGGAAATTATTTTGTTTTGCATATTACCCTCCAAAATCTAGATGAAAAATTGTAAATACGCTACTGCAAAAAAATATTTTTAATACCGAGTAGGTAGATTTCAATTACTAAATTTATTTTTATAACTTTTAAACATTTTTAAGGTTGTAATGTATATTTTATTAGAATAAATCATGCTGTCTATAGTAGTTGTTAGATATAGGTGTATAAACACTAAAAGCGGGTTGTCAAATGCAGTTTCCGTATTATTAGATTCACTGAACAGTAGTATCTTCGATGTCTTCGTATGGTTCAGTGTTGTCTTCCCAGAGTACCAATTTCATTTGTGTCAGCGGCAAAACCGAGTAAGTTTTACCCATCTGTTTTTCGGTATTAGTGGCCATCAATATTATCTCATTGAACGAGACTTTTGCTTTTTCACTATCGTCGAAAATACGGAAGTCGATTTTCACTCCAAGCTTGTCGTAGTATTGGTACACCGGATTTTCGGTGCACGTTTCGCATAAGATCTTGTGTGAATCCTGACTCAGGCTGTTCAGCGTGTCTCGAGTATTAGTCAAATACAAGGTCGTGAGGTCTTTGTTGCCTCCCAGCTCTGGATTTGCCAAATCTTTGATCTTCCTGTAAACGGTTGTCACGATTAACAGGCGTTTGTCCAAGGCCGCCAGCACGTCCATGTGCTCGTACAGCAGATTGGCGAGAAACTTGACGCGCACTTGTACGTACCTGGCCAAAAAAGCGCCCAACTCGATCAGGTAGGTAGTCAGGTGCATCAGAAGGGACACGTACTTGAGCGTCATGCACGTCAACGCGGTGCGCATCACGTACACGGCGTAATCGACGGCCGTGCCCTTGTAGCCGCCGCTGACGATCAAGTTGTTCAAAACCAAAAACGGTTCGATCTCCGTGCTGACCTCCAAGTCTTCCAGCAGGTCGTAGTTTCCAGGTGCTATGATCACTTTTTCGCCGTCTTGGTTCCGCTTGATTTGCTGAATGAGAACAGGCATCCACACGTCGTCGGCGGCCATTACGTCTTTCAAGAACTCATATCTGGCCAAGTTAGACACCGGCAACGCTTCACATTGGTCGCCATAAATAAAAACAACCGCATTCACAGCCAATAACAAAATGTGAAACGACCGCATCGCAGTACAACAGCACCTACAATATACAACCAACAATACACAGACTCGAATAAAATAAACGTACATGTAACAACATGTGTTGTTCTACAGCGAATATAACGAAACTTTAAAGTTATATATTTATTTTGTCAGTATATATTTTTCCCATTCTAAACATTGAAGTACAGATGTTTTCGGTTGTTACTCAATTCATCGAGAACAAATAAAAAACAATAACTATATTTGTCGATGAGTAAGTCCGAGAAAAAAAGCGTTTTCGGCATTCCGTAACAATTCAAAATCGCTAAAAGTAATCAAAAAGGACTTATTTATCATACATAAACACATTGATAGCATACCTAGCTCAAATGTGTAAGAAATACGATTTTCTCAATCGACAGCTCAGTGCTGCGCTCAAAACAGCCAGTGCATACTACTTGTTTTTAGTTATGTCTGTGTACTTTAACCTAACCCAGCACTTATAAAAGTTAGTAAGAGTACGCAACAATTACTGAATAAATAGTTGGGTTACTCAGTCCCACCCCGCCCCCAATTTGAACACTAGAGATGTTTATTCAGAAAACAAAAAAATATGTAACGAAGAATATTGCTAAGTCAAATATTACCCAAAACCCCTATGGGGTGAATTCAGATAAAGACTCAAATGTTTTACCATCTCTCTTACTGTAATTTTGTAGATTTTCATCGTGGATATTATTATGTAGTAGGAGCTAGAAATAATACAATTATGAAACTAAGCAATATATCTAGGCCAAATGGCAAACGATTAAAGCGTTTATACAGCGAACATTTATATTTATTTCTATTATTTAAAGCCGCACAAATTGTTATGTCGGGTCGCACTCTCTTGGGCTTGGCCCAGATTTTTGCACTCTCCCGTAAACGAGGGGAGTATTTAGCATACTATTATTAGCTGTCTTTTTGATTTTACATTGTTTTATAAACATTACATATTTTTGTGTGTTTATTCATTTGAGTTACTTTTCTTTTACTTAATTGAAAAGTGTTACCTTTTCTCTCGTTTCCCTAATGGTAATAAAAACTAAGTGTCTTTAAGCAAATAAGTGAACTGTAATAAAGGCCGCATCTCCTGAAAAAGCCAAAGTGCGGCTCTGGGTTTTTGCTAGTGTTAGTATTTGCGTTCAAGCTATTAACCCGTTTATTATAGTCAATTACTAGGCAATATAATTGACCCGACTCCCGAGACTATTTATAATCGGAGGCCTGAAGTTGGATGGAAAGCATCAATGGCAGCATGCCAGAATCAATCCGGAAGAGGCGACTAGAGCTCTGCCCTCTTTCCGCACCACTTATTAAAGGTACCTTAGTTTTCAGGTAAAAAGTATTTATTTACAGTGTGTGTGTGTGTGTGTGTTTATAACATTTCGTGTACGAAAGTGCGTATACGAAAATCATTCGAGTAATGCTCGTTTTTAATAGCAAATCTATTCAACTGAATGGTACCTAATAGTAAAATAGTATCCATCGAAGGGCTATAGTAATTCAGCAGCAGCAAATTTTCAGTATCTTTTCCTGGTCTTACTTTGGTTTAAAACGTCGTTTTCAGTTTTTTTAGACTTGAAATTTCCCACAGATCCAACTGCCCAAACCCCAAGGATCGATTTTTTAAAAACCTAATCTTATCTATCATTTATGTTTGAACAGTTACAGATACCGACAAGTTATCAGTGATAAGAAAACTGGTAGTACATTTTTAAGTGATAAGAAAACTAGTAGACAGTAGTCAAATTTCAAAATACCATCGAATGGCCAAGTGACATATGAAATGTAAAATCTATTACTCTGAGACCTCGTATTTTACAACAATATAGTAATTTGCAAAAGAATCTTGTGTATTATTACATCATAATGCAGTGTCATAGATCCAGCTGAATATCGTGTATAAACATAATTTTAGAATATTGTACCTTGGTGCTTAAGAGTTAAATAATCGCATTACGGCTTATAACCTGAACAGATTAAAGTAATGATGTTCAAAAATCTAAATCGATCGCTAAATTCAAAATATATGTTGTAAGTAGATTTTTGGCCCAAATGTGGTGATTGTATTATCTTCTAAAGAATAGTTTTTTTTTGTTGCAAATATGGAAATATAATGCCTAGTCTATAAGTCAACTGCTAGACAGCGTTAAAATAAATTCCATAAGTACTGTAAACTAATGTAAAGGACAATCTGACTTAAACATTAGAGCTTGGTAGTTTCTATCACTAATTACTGTATATTTATTTATAGGTTTTTATAAAATTTTACAATGATTCGAGTTAAAGAGAAAATACGGTATGATGTAAATGTTCATCGTGAAAAAAATAAACTTATTCTTTTGAACGCTAGACGTGGAATCACATTTGACGAGAACGATGATAAAAATGATACGTTTACTATTCAAGACGTGCACAATATTGCGTTGGAAATTAAAAAGAAAAAAACAATCACTAGAAATCATTTAAAATTATTGAAACACGCGTTTCTTAATGGCCAAGAGTTTATTCTGGAATTTTTTCGAGTACAAGGAGCATTCGATTCGTTACTTCACTACACGTCAAGTATGTTTGCTACAGTTCAATAATACATTTAAACTTTTGAATTATTACTGAAAATATATTTTAATAATTTTATTTTCTTCTAGGTAATGACGATGCTTTACAACTTGCAGCTTTTGAATGCTTTTGTAACATGTCTTTAGGTGATAATAAAACTTGCATTAAGTTGGCTAAATTAATTACTCCGTACTTAATGGTGCATATAAACAGTTTAAACTTTAACATATCAGTAAGTATCAAACTGAAAATTATATATATATTATGTACTGTTTATAATGATGTTAATGACATTAACATTATTATATTTCAATGTGTCCCAATTAAAATTAAAATATTTCTCATTCAAAATAGGTATTCACAAAAGTAAATATATAAAAATACAATAACCGTTTATTAAAAAAAATTAAAATTTTACCTACTTACATACCATTACTTGCATACCATATTACATACGGTTGACATACAATAGAAGCGCATTTCTTGCTCAAAAATATGCTTTACAGAAATAAAAATTATGACCATGTAGAATGGTTTGTTCGTTTATTTAAAGTATGTATTTTTCTTTTTTTTTTAGTCTATTTCTATATGGACTTTAGGAAACATAAGTGATTCGAGTGAAACGGCTTGTGTCTTACTCCAAAATCAAAACTTTTTTGAAGCTTTGGTTAATTGTTTAAAAAATTCAACATGTGATGAAGTTATTCAAAACACATTTTATGCTTTGAAACTCATGCTTAAAACCTACATTTCTCAGTTGAAGTATGTGACTAGATTTTGTTTAATCATACAGTTAAAATTGATAAAAAATATTGTGTACCTATTTTCTTTTTAAGGATAGAGATACTAAACGATTTGCTGCAAACTTGTTTAGAACGATCAAAAACGTGGAAAGAATCATTTTGGATTATATATCAAATAAGCTGTAGACAAGATTTCGCTTTACACGACGACCACCTAATGCGACATTTGTTAAACAGTATACATTCCGACGATGAATTAGTTGACATAAAATTTTTAATACCTATTTTGAGAACATTTGGTAATATCATAGCTCTAGACCAAAGTAATAATTCAGCAAATACATTTTTGTTTGCGTTGAAAAGTCAAGGACCTATCATAAGACATATTTTAATTCAAAACAAATCGATAAATCTAAGTAATGAATGTGCGTGGCTTCTTGGTAATGTGTTTAATTCGCTACATATTAATAATTTTAATGACAACAATGTGATAAATGCAGATTATTTTGAAGAAGTTTGCAGTTATTTTTTTGTATAGATTTAAGTGTACATTTTTGTATAAATTTTAGTTAAACATACTGTACATCATTTTTTTTTTTTGCAATTAAAGATATAATTAATAATTTTTTAAATATTGAAGACACATTGTGTAAACCTTTTCTCGGTTTCATCTTACCGTTCCAAATGTGTGTGTAAAACATTGTTCCTGAGTAGGTAATAATTATAATTTTAAGTTTGTCAACTAGTCGCTTTAAATGAAAATGTGTAAATTATTATAATTACTATTTCTTGTCAGTAATTTTACTAATATGATAGTTACTGTTAACAGAATCAAGATGGTATATACAAATTAACGGTTTATCAAACAGGTTAAAAGTGTTTAAATTATATTAGACAAAAGAAAATATATTATTTTTTCGATGTTGTGATAATATTATAGCCTGTCTGACATTGACCATATAACAATTGCAGATGGACAATGGCTTCATTAAATGTTGTAGTTTTACACATATAACCACTTTCTTCATAGAATAGATTAAAATAATATTCAACCTATTATGTTGATCGATTCGAGTCCAAAATTTATGTATACATATAATTATATTGAATGTGCCAATTTTCTTTGAAGATTTCAATAATTACCTACTGCAATAACTGTAACAAGTATTTCCGTTTATTGGCTCATTTTTACTATTGACAAAATGCCAAAGTACCAAATAGGTTTATAATCATTTAACGCGCCATTTTCAAGGATAATTTAAAATGAGATCACTAAAAATTCTATTAAAAATATTGTCTTTGTACAAAATAAGTAACCAAAAGAAGCCAATCACAACACTTCTTCTCCTGTTCTTTAAATAAATTAATTTTTACAGTTATAAAACCACATGGGTAATCTGGGCTTAAATTGCAACTAAGCAACAAACATTTTTAAAAAAACAAAATTTCTTCCTTTAGAATTTCTACTTAAAAAAAGACTTGTTAACAATAAACCGGTTTATAAGCAACATAATATCTTGGTTAATAGCGAATATCCACTACGAATCAATTGAGATGTTTACAATTCATACTAATATACCTAAGTTACATACGACTTAAAGAGTTAGATTGTAAAATCTTAATTTAAAGGTTAAACTCTGATGTATAATTATTAGTTCAGTAACTAGGACCTTTTTTGGTAGTTATTAATTTTTCGGACTATCACAGCATCTTTAACAGGGATTTTAAAAAAAAAGGCATTTAAACAGAGCTACTCATATTCTCTATCCACTAAATAATCGTAGACATTTTTTTTACATATTTAAAATAATGAGAACTTTATCTAGGTTCTCTCGTCTGTTTTTTTGTGTTATTAATAACCCAACATTTACAATTTATATTTTAATTCTGACATTTTTTAAGTGCTTGTATTTAAAGTTCTCCACTTTTTAACGGAACCAACATTTTTATTCTATGACCAATTCACTTTGGCCTACACACTTTACCGTAAACCCCTTTTTTACGATTATTTTTAAAGGGTATAACGTCCTCTTAACGATTATTTTTAAAGGGCATGGTGTCCTCTTAAACATAATTTTTAAGAGAGATTAAATATCATTTTTGTAATGTAACTACACAAGAGGCAAGATATACTTATTTCTAAACCCGTTTGTTGTTCAGTGTATGAATTCATGTTATTTTCACGTTCAGATCCCACTGGCGTCTAGATTACAAGAGTTACCATAAAAAACTTCAAACTTATTCGGCGGGTTAATGTTCAATTACACAGTGTAATACAGTGACTGCACGATAAAATCTGAAACTTTGTTTGGATCAAGAATCAAAATATACCAATCTATTTTTTTGCTATAAACCTAATCTGACTAAATATGAAATTCTCTGGCACGTCAGCTTATTTTTTAAATCGCCTTCAAAGTTGTAAACCAGAATTTCATTTGTTTAAAAAAAAAATCCACGAGGCTATATGAAATAAATTTTAGAAAATTATATTAACATAGAACACGCGAAAAATACCGCATTACGATGATTTTGTACAACTATATGAAGGTGATTAAAATAATAACTAGACGTTCTAGAGTAATTATATAGGTTTATAAATTATTTACAAACGCTTAACAGTCTACGAAATTTGTATAAGCCGTTCATCTATACAAACTGTTGATTACAGAACTCGAGAAATTAATTTAAAAACTATTGTTGTGTATAAAAAAAAACTGTAACCCTGTAGAGACCCAATGACCTTTTCCGTCGCGGGTTTATTTGTAATTAAAAAAATAAACTGTTGATTGCGGTATTGCTAGAAATATTTATGTTCTAAAATGAGTAAATAACTATAATTCGGCATTGAACAGCTGCAACGATTATTCAAGTTCAACCCAATTTTGAAATTGGCAACTGCCCCAGACGTGACGTCTAAAAATATATAATAATACCACGAGTGTAGCAGCGCCAAAAAGAAAAGCAAATAATCAGTTTTCTTTTCTCAAAATCCGCGTCTCGACAGTTCAATCATGACGACCGTCTTTGCTCGAATGGTGAGGTTTTCGATAGCCTACCCCGTTACCAGGGGAATGGTATCGTATGCAGTGATCTGGCCAACCGGCTGTCTACTACAGCAAATGGCTTTTGGCGATGACGAATTCGACTTTGTCCGAGCTGCTCGGTTTGGTTTGTTCGGGGCGTTTTACGTGGCGCCGACGCTTAATGCATGGTTGACCGTCGCCCGGTTTTTGTATCCGAAAAACAATTTGAGTAGCGCAATCAAGAAAGTGAGTCAAACTCAGATGAAAAAATATAAAACTTTTTGAGTACATTCGTTTGTGGGTGTTAGGCGCTCCTGGAGCAAATAACGTACTCCCCGTGCGCAATGGTGAGTTTTTATTTCGGCATGTCCTTGCTAGAGGGAAAGACGATCGAGGAAGCCAAACAAGAAGTCGCCAAGAAGTTTCTTCCCACTTACCAGGTGGGTAATCACGATTAATAAAATTGTCTAAACTATAGTCATGTTCCATGTTTACATTCTTAATTTTCTTTAATAATAGTGTACTCAACTTTAAGCAATATTATAGTGTAATACAAATCAACAACTAAGAGAAATGTTGTTCTTACAGGTGGGTGTAGCTGTTTGGCCTGTATTGCAAGTCATTAACTACACAATGGTTCCAGAAAAGAACAGAATACCGTTTGTAAGCATGTGTAGTTTGGGTTGGAGCTCATTTTTAGCTTACATGAACCATTGCAGCAAAAAAAAGGAAAACATTAAGGTTACCCAGTAATCAAGACAGAAGCATTCCACAATTTGTATGTGTATGTATGTAAATGTATAAATAAGAAAAAGAAATTGTATCAAAAAAACGTGTGAAATAAATTGTATATATTTATACTCTTATATTTTTATATACTTATGGTCCTAAAAACATTGAAGCCCGATAGAGCTGTACTTATAAGTACACCTGTAATTTGTGGGTGCCAGTGTAATTCTTTGATGTGTTCTTGTCCTTGATGGATAAATAAAAGTTGTGGTGGAATTTCCTAATTGAAAAAAATATACATTTAATTATCGATTAATTTAACATGAATGCTTACATTTCAATTGTGTTAATGAGAAAATATTTGACACCTAACAAGACTAATAATGTTTTTCTAACTAACTCATATATAAAATTGTAAAACATACTTTTATATCATCTTGTTCATTAGTAGTATCTCTTTCAACAGCCAAATCCCAAATCGCAATTTGATGATCATCACCACCCGACGCAAATACTGAACTATCATCTGGACTCCATTCAACGGATGTAATGGCACTAGTATGATGTTTAAATGTAGCTAGTTCACTACCTTTCTGTAACAACATGAATAGACCAGTATAAATAACATATGTTACAAATATTATTGTAATAACACCAAAAACAAAATAAGTCAAATGAGTTTCATCTATTAGTTATAGAATTTAGAAATAATTATTAAATTAATTCTATTTTTTTTTTTACTGCATCAAACAGATAACCTATTATTTGCCAAGTTACAAATAATTATATTTGCAAATAAAAATGTATTTATTAATTAATATTCAATTTAAATTTTGTCCAACACTGCTAACCATTAATGTATACTATTTCAGTTAAACTTAATACCTTAAATTGTCTCAAGTCCCAAATCATCAGTTTTCCATCATCACCTCCAGAAACAATCAGAGGATCTTTTTTGTTCCAGTTTATGACGTTTATATCATTATCGTGAGCATCAGCTATAGTCAACATGTTGGCTTTGTTTGGCGCTAATCGGGTGTCCCAAATTCGTAACCTAAAGAAAAATACTTAAATATTTTCATACTAAAAATATTTACATAGGTATCAATAATATTTGATAGTGACATACGATCGGTCAACAGAACATGAAGCCAGTACGTTAGGTTCGTTTGGAGACCATTGAAGATCTTCAACTGATTCTTTATGGCCATCTAACGAACGTAAATTAACGACCCAGCCACCTTCAGTAGGCTTCCAAGTATGTATATTTCCTTTGCAATCGCCACTAGCTAATACACCTAATAAACATACAAACTGAAATAAAGCAGGTACAACAATTAATGGATATGTACTACTATACAAAGCATACCAGGCGTATTAGAAGACCAATCTAATGCATAACCTTCATCACGATGTCCCGAGAACGAGTGTAATGGTTTATGTTCAGCAATCACTCGTTTGGGTACAGGTTTGCCATACTTTTTTTTCTTTTCTACACTGCCGATTTTTCGATTTCTTTTGGCTTTTTCAACATCTTTTAATTTTGTATTTAAATCATAAACATTTACAATTCCTCTTTCAGACCACACAGCTCCGAATACTTTTCCATCAACTGCTGTACTCTACAAAAAACAAAACACAAATTTAGCAATTAGATCACATTATAATATTAAACGATTCAATCTATTTTATATACTCGTATTCTATTTATGGTGCCAAAATGAGGTAATGTCGATATTTGTAAGACAGGTTGGTCGTTCGATTCTTCATCGCTACTATCGGATTCAACATCTGAGTCATCTGAAGAACTACTCTCATCATTTTTTATTGCATTCAAATTTGATAACTATAAAGTAAAATTTAAATAAATTTAAGTTCAAATCACAACTATTTTCATAATTTAAAGTCAATATTTTACTGTGATATATAGTATCAAACTTGCTACTTAAGGTATTGGGTTTGATTATGAAACAAGGCATTGTTTGCCACCCCTATTACATCAGCTCCTCTATTTTGGGACTCATTATGTTAATTGTACATATGTACTTTACCATAGGTATGGGTACTTTGATTAGTACATACATACAAATAAAACATTTAAACATTATTTTTACCTTCATGACAATAACACAGTTTTCCTTTTGTTTTTCTGCTTGACTTCCAGCGACCAAATACATGGTGTGTGGATAATCAGTACGATTATTACCAAAATCGTCAGCTATCACATCAAAACTCAGACAGGGTAACCCTGAAAAAATAAGTTTCGTTTGGCATTGGTATAATTTCTAGGTTCTTAAAAAGTTATTAGTAATGTTTTGGCTTCTACTTTTTAGATATACATATATTAACCCAAGAGAAGGGCTATTGCTTTAAACTTTAGACCTAGGAAAAGGAACTTTATTTTGACTAAGGAACTTACAGTTAGGAATTTTTAATTTAAAACAAATTATAAAACCTAAAATTTCTTAATTTGAATCTGTAGACATTTAGTCTTCTATAAATTAGAAGTTGGTCTTTTGTTTTTACAATAACTAAACTACACACATTCAAATTTCAATTACTTTAACCAGGCGCACTTCTATTATAAATAAATACACATACACCCTTTAAAACGCTACAAATAGTTATGTTAAGACTATTAAAACTATGTACATTGAATAATTACCTATTACTATTAATATATTAATTACCAGCATCTACATCGTGAAGCATGTGATAAGCGGACGGATCAAAAACTAACGATTCGCCTTCTTGCATTTGATGTCCAGGTAAATACACTTGTCTTGGTTCTTTCTTTGTATCGCTCTGCGAAGTGCTCGCGTCGCCAACATTTTCTTCGTCGTGACAGTCTTCACTCTCTTCATCATTTTGCGAATCTTCTTCTTCACTCTCGCCATCTACGACCATTTCATCCTCGCTAGATGACATGATTCTATTTTTTTAAGTAGAATATAATATACAGTTGGAAAGGCCCCGCTAAAGTCCAAAAGGTTAAAGATAAAAGCACACAATAAAAGGAAACAAGTAAGAACGATAAAGAATATTCTGTATTAACAACAAACGACGACCGTGGAATCAACCTAATGTCAACCACGTGGTAGCTACGGTCTGCCTTATCTGCCTGGCGATTATTTATCAATATTATATTATCAAATATCGCTTATCATTATATTTTCCTGGAGATATTCACAGCCACCATGGTCATAGACCTATAAAGAAATCTTTATAGGTCTATGACCATGGTACACTATTTGATGGTAATTATTATTCATAACCACTATAAGTTATAACCGTGACTCGTGAGATATACAGTAATTTGTACATTCATTGTTTTAATTTTTTGTTATTATTTTTTATATACTTCTATATACTGTTTTTTAAAGTTTAATTTCAAATTCAAGCAACATATTGCAAGTTTCAACTGCGGTCACAATGTTACAGTGCTGATCCTATACTGAATTTATTCTATGCAGCGTATTGAACGTTGTCACACTGTAATTTCAATTTCCACCAGAATCATAACAATAAACACCAAATAGTAAATACACAGTAATCAGTATATAATATTATGTTACTGTGTTTATTAGACATCGGTTTACACTTTAAATTTTAAAAAGCACTTGGTTAAAAGTTCGCGTTAAATTTAGATTTTTTTTAATTATTGGAAGCGTTTTAATTTTAATGTCACTATAATCTTTGTAATTATTTTGTTAGCAATGTCTACTGATAACTACCGTTTTGTCGAAAGTAAGTTGTTATGTTTGACTAATATTAATATTGGTATTTATTTCTGACCGAGTATTCAAAACGTATTCCCCTATCCTAATCGTTTTTTTTTAACCTTCGAGCGGGCGCGCGGGCGGTTTTTACACCGCACATTTGAAAAATTCGCGCCCATTCTTTAATAGTTCCATTCAGCTAACCTCACTCGTCAGGTATTCTCTAATTACTTATTTAGACGTAAGATAGTGCAATCATTACAATTTTAATGCATTCAGGTCAGTTGCTGTTTAGCTTTAAACTTGACAGCGTCCAAGTGCGGTGTAAATACCGCCACGCGCCTATTGTTGTTTGAAACTAAACAGTAGCTGGCCCAAATGCGTTGAAACTACAACGACTGTACTATCTTACTTCCAAAATAAGTAATTAAAGAATACTTATTGGTTAGGTTAGTTTTATGGAATTATTAATAAATGTACGCCAATTTTTCAAATGTGCGGTGTAAAAACCGCCGCGCGCCCGCTCGAAGGTGAGACAATAGCTGTGGTCCTTCAATATTATTTAAACCTGTTCTATATAACTTTTGTATTCATAGTTAAAGTATTATTAATATAGTCTAATGAAAAAACTATAAGGTTTACGTAAATAAGCATTCAAATGCTGCTCTAAACAGGTGCGGTATAAATACCGCCGCGCGCGCGCGTGTGTAACTTCAAAATGCGCGCCTGCTCGAAGGTTAATCTTATATTTATAATATATTATATAGTGTCCCGTGGGGGTAAAGCGTCAGTGTCTAGCTTACACTGTCGTTGTATCTTCACTTAGTCACAGGGTCTCTGTTTTCTGGACGGGAAATTGTACAATGAACAGGAGCAATCCTCTTTTTTTAGCCACAGACTGACTACCCATCCCGAAACTTACAAAGGTTAAAAAGATAGTGATGACCTATAATAAGTTGCTAAACTAAATATATAAACATATCTTTGTCTGTGGTTGGGTTAAAATAAATATTAGTGAAACCAAAATTCCTAGTTTGTTAATAACATTATTTATCTAACAAGTTTTCCCTAATAGTGAGTAATATTAAATAATTAGATACATTCAAAATTGGTTTTAAAGTTCAGACATTTTAATTGCTTTACATGGATTTTAAAAAGGAAACAAACCTTTAAAATTAATAATTTCACAGTTCTGTCATTTTCAGTGTACTTATAAATTATTATCTTAAGAATTGAAGGTTGGTCCAGTATCGTTCTGTTGATGACTTTTCTGGTCTTCATTTTTTTTTAAATCTAAATCTATTTTAAGAATCTTAACACTTCCTAGAATTTTCGCTTATAATAGCCGTGCAATAAGAATGAAAATTTATCAAACCCAATAAGATATTTTTTTTTCTCAATACTGTAAAATTTTACCGATTGGTTTTTCATATGTCATTCAATAAAGAAAGTTTTACCATTTTTATAATTTATTTTGTATAGGTGATAGTTTGCTCTGTTACCATGGACCAATGTTGTATGAAGCAAAATGTTTAAAAAGGCGTAAATCTACTGACGGCAAAGCCCAATACTTCATTCACTACAAGGGGTGGAATAGTAAGTGGGAGGAATGGGTGGACGACGATCGAGTTTTGGCCGTAAACACAGTGAATATGAACAAAATGGCATCACTCAAAGCACAACAGTAAGCAATTATTATTGATTGATGATATTAAACATTTTTTACTAATTACAAATAAACAAAGATTTCACTTGTGTACCTACAATTTGAAACCATTGTTTTAAATTCACAAAATAATTTCTAAAAATAAAATAATTACTAACTTGGTCAATTTATGTGAAATTTAGTTCAAATTCCAAAAAAGGTGGAGCAAAACGTTCTGTAACTATAGTTAAGGAAGAAACTGTACGTAATACTACACCGCCTGCTACAAAAGGAAAAAAACCTTCAAAACCAGAAACTCCTAAACAAACTCAATCTCCCAGCGTTTCATCTCCAGCTTCCCCAAAACTGAAAAAGCGAGGTATCCTCTTTTGATTAAACATTTAAGTTTTATCAATATATTACTAGAACTTAAACTTGTTTTGTATTTACTAAGGACGACCGCCTAAACCCAGTGAGGCCATCAAATCTGAAGATGGCAAAGAAAATACTGAAAAGAATTTTTTTGCAGTTCCGGCCCCAGTGGTAATATGAATGTCAATTGAAATGTTGATTTATAATAGTTTATACAAGCATCAAATAATATATCTAAACATCCTAAAGAACCCAAGGCCATAAAAACGTGTTTTTAATTAATTTTGACCAATAAATTTATTTTCTAGTTATTCGTATAAGTTACAGATTATTTTTAATGTACACAAAGATATTTTGGTCTCAAAAAATGACTTAAAGAGAAAAATTATGACACTTTGTTGTGATTCGAAAAAGTGAAAAGTGATTCAAGTTCTATTATTATTATTTTTTTTTTTGAAATAGGAAGACTCCCTTCCGCAAAGATTGGGTTTTGATTATTTATTAAATTTTCCAAAACAAACCAAAATTGGATTAAAGAAAAGGGAAAATTGGTCATACTCAAACTAATTATAGGGTTATGGGGCCTTGCAACTGTAATAAAAGTGTATTAATGAAGGCGCATTGCATAGGCAATTTTTCACTAAAACTTAAAATTAAGCTAAAATTTTTAAAGACAAATATTAACGCAGAAAAAAGGGATCATTTTTGTTTTTAACTTCTATAACGCATACAGGTATTTTTCTAATTCCAACAATCAAAGTTCCCATTTTATCATATTTCAATTCTGAAAAAAGTTTTGAATTCCTCATCATCTCTTCTAAAGTTCGACGTATCGACTACTTTTCTTAATAGTAATTTTCGTTGTAAAAAATAAATGTTAACTATTCTAAAATATTAGAAAATAATTACAGCTTAAAGCCGATACATCAACCATAAAATAGATGATGAGGAATACAAAACTTTTTTCAGAAATGAAATGTATAAAATGGGAAGTTGGATTAATGAAAATGCAAATGGTCTATTTACGCCCAATTGCATTGGTTGCGAGTCCCTTTAAGAAATAAAATTGTCGAATTCAAACAACCTGTATGTGTGAACGTTTTTTCCCTATGGTATGTTTCTGAGCCAAAAAACAGATCGCAGGTCGGCCCCTTTATAGATATTATAAATTTGTTAATTGGTAATAAATTGTATTTATAAACGCATTTTTTTTTTATCAGTCTTCGGCAAATAAGACAGCACCAAAATTAGACATACCAATTATCATTAAAAGAAGAATTGCCTTTGATTGGAACATGATAAATACATTTAACAGGGTAAGTTATGTTCAAAAACCCTACTGTTTTTGCTTTTAAAAATAACTTAAAATAATATATTTTAGATGTTGAAATGTCCATCGCAGTTCACTGTTACACAACTCATAGATGATTACATTAAATCCAAACAAAACTCGAAATGTGTCTACAGGTAAATATTTATTGTTACCATCACAAAATATTTACTACGCATAATACTAATGTAAAAATTTGAAATTTAAAGGAATAGAGCTTATAATACTGGACTATCAATACTGCAGTATTTTAATGCTTTAGTCAACCAACAACTGTTGTATCCAGTGGAACGAGAGAATGATATGCATGTCAAAGTAAATTGTTTATTTTTTAAGTTATTTTTTCATACATGTACTTATATTTTTTTTTATAGGTTGTGTCTTTATTATCAGAAATAGAAAAACCAGATAAAAAAAAGTACCAAGAAATGATGAGTGATCAAGAATTCTGGTGTTCAGTATATGGGCCGACCTATTTGTTACGATTAATTGGTAGCTACAAAATTTTTATTTTAACCATTATTGCTAGTAAAGAATATAATAAAATGAATATTCCCTTACGCTACCATTTTATTTCTGAAGATAACAATTCAAAATTATGTGCAATAACCATGGTTTTTAGCAGGATTCGGATTATAACGTTATGATCATTTTTTTTAGTTTTAAATACATTTTAATGTTATGATAATCAAAAGAACCAAAAAAACTATTCCTTATTAGAAAAAAAAATGTTCATTATAACGCTATAATTTGAACTCTGGTTTATAGTTTAAATTTCATTTAGTTGTATATTTTTATATAATTCAATTATTGAACATGAAAAAAGATAGACCATATATTTTTGATACTTAATGTCCTTACACGTTTTATAATTTTTCAGTAAAATTACCAAACATTTTGGAATTTCGGTACAATGCAAAGCAGATACTAATAATTGTTGCTAATTACCACGATTTATTCAAGTAAGAAATTAATTTTTTATATAATTTCATTAATATAAAATATATATTTCACATAATTATATTAGGCTGTATTTATAAATGCTAAGGTATTAAATCTAATGAGTATGGAAATAATAGTTTAAAGTTCTATATTTTTTAATAGAAATATTACCTATAGTAAAAATAAAAATAAATGTATATAAATTCTGTACTAAAACTTATTCCAAACATTTTTTTTTTCAGATTTATAGAAGATAATTTTTCAACATATTTCAGCAATGACGATTATGAACTCAGAAATGTTGCGAGCAAAACTTAAGCAATAAGACTTTTTTTGACCTAATAACTGGTGTGTTTTGTAATTACTTAGTATCATTAGTTTTATTAACAATATGTTGAAAATTAGTATATTACAAAAATTCCATTACTGTATATACTGTAATGTTGAAAAATTATTAATAATTTATGTTTTATTATTTTTATCATTTATGCAAATACCGTATGTTCACGGAAAAAAGATCAATTTATAATTTACTTTTCCAATTATATTTTTAATGTGGCTTATAAACTTGTATAAATATTTTTATCATGTGTACCTGGGAATACATAATAAGACTTGTGTTTTTTTTTTTTTTACTCGAGAACTACTTTTTTTTTTACATTTTTATTTGTAAAAGTATACATTTTTTTTTTTATCAAGTGTGTAGGAATAGTAACATAATGACATATATGTTACCATATACATCATAATAGTAACATAATGACACCATTTTATTATTAGTATAAAATGGTAGTCATTGTATGTCTATGTAAATATCATTTGGTCCACATGTATATAGATCCTATATATTTTTCTTGTATGTACGATATAAAATAAATAATTAATGATTCTTCAATAACTAAAACATCTTGTTTTATTCATTCATTGTCAATGGTCAATCTACAAAAAAAATTGTCTTTATCTACATCCACTAATTTCTTGTTCAGTCAACCTCACATACTTCACTTTATCCTCATTATAAATTATCTAAATATAAAATTTTAAAAAAATTTGGTCCTTGTTTTATATATATCATTAATGGACAATAACATAATTTTAAAAAAACTCGTTTAAATAAATGCAAGTCTCAATTTAATATAAATTATACATTATATTAAATGTATAATATGTATGTCTGTCATATTATATCATATATTTTTATACATATCAAGTCATATATTTCCGAGTTTTTTATCAGTAAAAAAAGAGGTATAACATATACCTATATTTACATTGACAGTTCTTAAATCCTAAAATTGTGCCTAGAAAAAAAACTAACCCTCCTCCCGCCATTTGAGGGGGGTTGTCGGTGTATAGGCATGAGGCTATTATGTGTGGATAGAGGCATTAGTGGATTAACAATGCAAGACGAAGAAAGGAATTTTAAGCATGAAAGCAGCAAGACGAAGGTAACTTCTCGGAACAATGTCAGTCAGGAGCTAGATGAAGTCCGAGAGAGAGTTTTCCAAAAAAATGGCTTTATTTTATCTGCACATTGGCATCGAGTAACCAACATTGGGGTTTATGCTAAATGCTAATCAATAGTCAATACTTGAAATTAATAAAATTGAATGTATACAATTTATTAAAACATAAGAGCAAACACAATACTATAATAATGTAATACAATGGAAGGAAATCACCGCAAATGCAAGTTTTAGTAGTTCATATTATAACAAATAAAAGATCAATAATAATTAAAAATTCAAATAAACTAATAAAAAAAATGTGTATAACATGGTAACTACAGCATATAAATATTTGTATAGAGAATAGTTATTAAGAAAAAAAATACACACACATTTGATTCAATTTCACATTTAACTAGAAATAAAACACTGTCGAATATTACGATTAAATACGTAGCTTAACTAAATAAATGTTTTAGTTACAATAGTAACTCCTTTTAAACACCTACTAAAACCAATAAACATAATAACACAGATTAAAACGATTGAACTATATTAACAAGGAATTTGATTTTGATAGAGTTGTAAGTAATCATAAGCGATTGTTCTGAAATTGAGGAAAGATTTGTGTATGATACTCATCATGTACACGGCTGCTTCCCTGTCAGACGATTGAGGAGCAAATCTCGCGCGTAACAATTTGATTGTTTGGCCACGGAAACAAGGTAGGCCAGTGTCCAACATCAATGAGACAAGTGAAATAATGGCTTCCTTGTAGGGCCTAAAATATAAAACATTTTCAAAAATCTGCTTGCGTGTATGTAAATGTTTTGACGTACCTCACAGCTAAGTAAGCCTGTATGCATAATTCCGTAAACCACCGGAAAGATGGAGCATCAATTTTTCCACCCATTACCATGACCATTTCATCGGTAAGTTTTATGTCTGGTTCAAAGCCTAAATTGCCACCGGGCGAAGACTCAAACATGAATCCAAAATCTAAATAAAACAACACACAAAAAAACATTAACTAATCTTTATGTACTTAATTTCCATTCCATAAACAATGTCTATTGTAAATTTACTGACCAATGTGTATAATGTGACCGTCAGTGTCCAACATTATGTTTCCGTTATGCCTATCTTTAATTTGCAACAAAAATCCTATGACACTATAAGCCGCCATTGATCTAACAAAGTTTCGACGGGCATTCTAAAAATTGATAAATAAATATATAAATATATAAATAAATTTCAAGAGGGTTAAAAAAATATATTTAATATACCTGAAATTCTTTAGTACTTTCATCTCCATATGTTTTGATAAAATATTCATACATTCCGAAATCGGTTTGGCGGCCGAGTTGATCTCTTGATTTCGCATTTGGAACACATTCGATAACTCCACACTAGTTATAAAATTGAAAAATCTCATAAACATGTAAAATAACGAGAGCCATCACATTAAGGTTGGTGGAAACAAGAAAGTCAAAGATCTTCAGAAAATATTCCGACAAAAGAAAAAATAAAAACACATTATTGTAAAAACTTTCTTAGCTTTGTATCACACCAAAAGGAAATTAAAGTTATGAATTGTATGGGTTTAAAATTATTTAAAATTTACAGGCAAGTCCAAAAGTTCAGTTTTTTGTTGATATTTAAAGGCAATTACAGTCCTTCTGCAGAAATATATATAACATCCAAACTATACAATCTATACTATACTATATATAAAGTTAAAGATAATCAATAAACTAAATACACGGATAAAATTCAAATAACTATATCCATTTGTTATTAATTTGATTCAAAGAAAAATAATTTTTTTTACGCAGTTTAATTATTATTACTTACACCTGGTGCAGTTGCTACAACTCGATATGGGAATAAATATAAATCTAAACCGACTTGTTGAAAAACGTTTTTGAAAATACTTATGACTTGAAGAGCCAACATATCTTGGCGTACATCGTCTCCAACCTAAAAAAATGGAAAAAATCATAACTGACAAACTAGCAAATTTATAAAAGTTTTACTTTGAATATAGCAGCTTGCCAGGTGTCTAAACCCGACATAGAGGTAGTGGGCTCTGTGGATTTTTTATATGTACCATCAGTTTGCTGATTGGAAATGGCCATAGCCGTCTGTTCCAATTCGTTAATACCACATTTTTTTACTCTGAATCGAGCTAAGTACGGAGCTTTGGCAGCACTGCAAATAAAATAGTATCGGAGTTATGTATAGGTTTTCAACAATTAAATTTCAAACAGAAACACAAATAGTGCCATTACCTTTGCATAGGAGTTCCGCTGTTATAGTCAATATCAATAACCATCGCTTCTGGATTCGAAGGTAAATAACACCCAGCCTGTACTTCAATTTTACTAAGAGCTTCCAAACAGGCACGCTTTCGTTCAGGTCCTAATTAAATGTTTTTGATTTATACTGTATACTACTATTTTAATCAAATTATTAAAATATTACATTACCTTTTGGAAACGGTCTTATTTTTCCTGATATATCAGTAATTTGAGAGAAAAAGTCAAATTCACGCTCATAAAATTTTTTCGCTGGACCCGACAAACAGTCTACAATTGCATTAGTCAATGTATCCAAAGTATCGTAAAGAGCAGCTAATCATTTATGGAGAGAAAATAACATTATAAGTTATAGTTACTAAAAGGTAAAAAATCTAAAAGTTTACCATCTTTATGCAGCATTTCTTCATCAATATACATATTGGTTTTCATATTCCATATCAGTTGATGAGCCACCACTTGAGATCGCAATGAAATGGACTTGATGAATTCCAAAACATAACCCATCTAAAATAATTTAAGAAATTACCTCAGAACGGTAATGGTTTAAGCATGTGTACAGTAATTGTAATTATAATTACTGTATCGTGACGTAGAGTTTGGACCAATTGCGGAATGTAAAATAAGACGGCGTCGGCTGGATAACTTGCCAACACCCGAACAGCGTATTGTGCAGAAATTGGATGTGGTGGATATTGCCTGGAGAAGTACGATAACGCTTGAACGGGCGAAACTCGTGCCCACGTCAACATATAAACGAGCTAAAATATGTATGCGGTTACATACATACAATAAAAATTGGCTTTTCATTAGTTACTCACCTCAGGCGCGTCGCTCAAAAGTGTTTCGGTAGTTACTAAATATTGCAATGCTTCTGGTATGTGTGAAACGGCCATTGGATTTGCTCTAACCATTCTGCATACCTCTTTTATAATACAATCAGAGTATTTTAATCGAACCGGTAAGAATACACATAGTGCGGGACTAATGTCCCACGCTAGCCTAGTATTCTCTCGTAAAGATTTATCTGGAACAGTTTTAGACTTCCAGGAAGCTACCATATCTTCTCCAGGTACATTTAGTTCGGCGAGACCGGCAGGATTTTGCCATGTGCTTAAAAATTCAATTTGAACGGCCTATAAATAATAAAAGGTCATACTTTAACATTTTTATCATAGATTACTAAATCTTTGTACTTGCTTTAAAAGTTAGACAATGTAAAAAACAAACATTTTAATTTAAAAATACCATTTTAGCTACACAGATTTAAGGACACCTGACATTTGAATAGAAATGTTATTAATTCAAGGCTGGACAAGTTAATGATTTTTTTTTAACTTATTACAATTATAGCATATATGTTTTATCTGAGTTAACAGTTAAAAGTTACCAATACATTTTAATACATCAGTTAGTTAACAGTTGAGGAGGACAAGTGGCCGAATGGGTAAGGAATTAGTGTATTTGGATTCGCCTCTCCATTTGCTGGACCAGAAATCGTCTGGTAAAAAGTAGCTGCCATCCCCCTCTCCGACAACAGACTGACGGGTCTTATTCTTAGGACCCATATATTAGGCACTAAAATATTAGTTGAGTCACAGAAATGTATTATAGTTGTAGTGATTAGAATAACAACATTCTATAATGCTCTACAAGGATAAAATACTTAAAAAGTATAATATTAATATTATGATAGTTTTTTTTAAATTTATTAAAAGGTATTAAAATAGTAAAACAACATACGCAGTTAAGTTAAAATTATTTTTGTTTTTTAACTTATTAACTCATTAATGCCCAGCCTCGGATATTATTAGAAAATTCTATGGAGAGGAGGAGTAATTTTTAATTGTACAACTATTACACTTACCAATAGATCAAGTATAAGTATCCTCTTCTTAATGTAATCTTTGACATACAAATCTTGATTAGCATTGCCGTTCTGACGTTTTAGTCTTAGATTATTGGCTGTTCGTTTGTTTAATGTATTTGTAGCAGAAGTCGATAATGGCACAGTATTCATCCAACCTTGTGATGTACCTGAATTTGCAGAGACCGCTCCAATACTAGTTACAGTTAGTTCATTCAATGATGTAATAGTCAGCTGGTGATCATAGTTGGTGACGCCGGGTGTTTGTAATGTACCACCTTGAGGATCAAAATCTGAAAAATTTGATTGTAATACATTTTAATTCATCTGATTCAAGATCTTTATATACCTCCAATAACGCTAGCCATTAAGTATTTTTTATCTGAATGCATCGTCTGCCAAAATTTTGTAAGAGCAAGAATATCGTCTCTTAATTCCGAACCACGTTGTGTAGGACATTGGACAGGAGTAGTAAATGTATCGAAACAAGCACAATACACACGCTCTCTCAATATATTTTTACCAAGCGACTTTGGTAATACATCTCCTTGAAGTAAAGTTAATCCACATTGCAACAACCTAAAAAGATTTCAGTTGGAGAAAATACTACAAATATATAACTATAGAAGCTGATATGTTTACCTAAACCGCGTTCCTATCGCATCAATGTGCTGACTAATAAAAGCATCAGATGTACCAACACACATAGGTAATGATCGATGCAACATCAATGCTAACATTTCTACTTTTTCTTGGCTACACGATTTAACATTGTCAACTACCTCTGATATGTACTATAAGCAAAACAATTGTTAATTAATTGTACAAAATATAATTAATTCAATAAGATAGTGTAATATTTACTTGGACCCAAATGTCATGGGGCTTAACAAAAGGTGGATTAGGTTCCAAAACACAACCTTCATACACTGCTAATGGGCTCACTTGTTCCACATCTTTAGCAAATAATCCCATGCGGCTATCAATAGTGTACTGAGTGACAATATATTTTTATTTTAGAATATACATTTTGTTTTATATATGTTAAACCAGAAAACACATTATGTGTTTATTTCGTACAACACAGCTTGGTTAATTAAAAAATGTATTATTGTGTAGTATATTTACCTGCCACGCGGCAAACATTTCTTGTAGAAATTGCAATTCTATATCTGGTCTAGCCGAGGTCAACCATTGCCAGCACTCGACAGCAGTTCTCATTGCTTTAGTGGTGAACAATTTCACTTGAGACCATGCAACGACATGCACTAATTTTCTAGTACAGCCTAAATTGAATTAAGTGAAAGATTAAGTGAAAATAAAACACTCGTTAAGTAATATATTTTCACAAAAAAAAAAAAATACCAGAAATTGATATGAGCAAAGCTGTTGCTGTCCAAAGAGCATTATGGTGCATGTTGTTTGTATCGTTATCGCATGCACTCCAAACTTTAGCAATTACATTGTCAACAAGTTGTTCGGGGCTATTTTCATACGCCGATATCATACCCGAAACGATACCCGCAAAGTGGCTTCTTAAACCCAGAGTTGTGATGTATAAGGAAGAATCAGTTTTCACACAGCGCGGTCGTTTATCTAATGTCGTTTTCTAATGTTTGAATACAAATTATACGTCTTGTATGGTTAATTATGTAATATTTTTAACTTTACCGATAAAGGCGCAGCGTGAAAATTCAGGCCACTACTTTGCAATATGCTTTCTGTAGCTAATGCCAATCCCGAATGATGCCAATACGAAGTGCTGGGTATTTTAGTGATATAGTGTTGAAGATGAGATCTTGTAGCGCTCGGAGCCCACTTCATCGCTTCTTGAATAAAACCTAACGATCTTGCGGCAAAATCATTGGTAGTACTCTGCAACACAAATTGTCACAAATAATATTTTTGGAGCGGTAATTATAATAAATACTTTACTTCTCTAGCTTCCAGAGTATCCATCAACACTAATGTAAATGGAGTGGATGGTATTTGAATACAAGGTGTCTCATTGTTAGGATTTAATTCTAGAGAATAAGACAATACTTGAAGTATGTCGCACATAGTCCACAACACTCGTTGATTCCATAGTAAGTGAGGAAACCTGTAAAATAAAAAAGGATTTGATTTATTTATTAAATTAGGTTCATTTCGGAACTGTGCGTACTATACGCGTTCGCCATGAAACAGGCCTTTATATATTTATATTAAAGCTATTAGGACATACTTGCTGACAAGTCCGGAAAGCCATCTATCAGCAACACATTGAATCAATTTGTGTATGTGATTGAAATTAACCAACAATAATTGTGCATGGTATTCCAATTTTGTTTCTCTTATTTCATCTTTAGATTGATTAGACATGGCATTGAGGAATAACGAAAACACTTTATCGCCAACGCTAGATACACAATGCCACAGCCCAGTTTTGTCTTTTTGAATAGCATAATCAGATAAGTAATCAAAAATGGGTTGTAAACTTGGGTCAGAAGAATTCTGCACACGCATGGTTTCTAAGTAGTACACCGATAATAAATAAGTAGCTTGGGCAAATGAAAGTTTATTAACAGCAGCTGTGACTTCTGGTGGGGCTGGATTGAGGTGTTGAAGTATTTGAGATTTTAATTCTTGAAGTTGATTCTAAAAAAAAAAATTAATGACTAATAATTAATGATCAATTACAATCAAATCTTGATAACTTTATTTTAAGGGAGATAGGTACAAAGAAATTTGACTTTTATTTTTCGAGTTCTATAACTAGAATATTTTTTAAAATATGCACAAATTATAGTTAACCATGTATTGTGCTTTATTAAACACTTCAATAATAACATGATTTAAGTTTTACATTTTGGTAGATTTACCAGATTTTAGTCAGCTCGTAAATTTGTTAATTTTCAAGGCAATTGTAACAAGTTTACATTTCAGTCAATATAAGACACAAATAATGCACATACTTTATACACATTGTGTATATAATATACATTAACTTTAATTTATTTTACAGTATAATTGTATTTTCCTATATGTACCTTGTACATTAACCTGATTCTAAAGATAAAATTAAAAAAATATAACTACCACTACCAACTTCGTGTTATTTATGTACAGTTATTTTTACCTTTGACTTATCTCGACAAATATTGTATTAAATGTGTAGGATTTTTAAAAAGACCATAAAAAAATTTGAGATATTGAGAATCAAGTTATCAAAAACTCGACTGTAATATTATTCAAATTGAATACGCTATTTACCAAAGAAACACTCTCATTGCGAACTGCCGAAGTATATTGTAGTTCACGCATTTGTGATCTAGTTGAAGTTTGCGTAACGAGGCATGGAGATTTTATGGCAATTTCTTTTACGCCTTCATACCATTCACTAGGCCATAAACCTATAAGTTGGGGTTAAATATATTTAATAGAAAAATCAATAAAATATGAGTGGTTAAAATAATAATTTACCAGAATCATTTGTAAATCCCATAACCACGCAATACAACCAAAAATCTCTAAACAGCTTATGAAGCCTCGGTTTTGGATGTGTAATAACTGGCAAGCGCCGAATCAGAACAGCTATAACTGGAATCAACATGCCCAGATTCCCGGCACTACTGGAGGCCTAGAAAAAAGTAACCAAACATCAAAAATCAAAATAGGTTATATCTAAAAGTTACTGAAACACGTACCTTATTAGCAACAGGAGCTTTTTCTGATGCTCTTTTTCCTTCGAGGCCAAGTTGGACAAAAAGTTCTAATAATCTCACAAGAAGTTCGTTCATTTCACTTTCACCATTAATATTGGCCGCGATATTTGCTAAGGCGTTTATAACTGCACCGGACACATGCCTAAACCAAAAACATAATGATCACAATCCTTAGCTATTAAAGATATTTTAAAATCAGAATACCTATATTGGTTTGATTGGTCATTGCTGTATAAAGCGTTTCCTGCTTCAACTGTTATTGTCGAAAACATGCGCATTATTTCTTCATAGACATTCATCTAAATTACAAATGGGAAATTACAGTTAATATATTTTAAGTTTATAGTAAACAAGTAATATGTACATGGTAAGAACTCAACATACATCACATTTTGCAATAATCATACATCCAAGTTGATCAACAATTAGTACGTCAATAGAACTTGGGACACGACAAAACCGCTGTTGGAAAAACTGCAATATGGTATCAGATGTCTTGGCCGTGTCTCTCAAACTAACAGCAATATGGCCTAACATCACTATAGTGTTTGCTTGTATCAATGACGAGTCACTATTATGAATAAATAAAAAAATAATAAGAAACAATATAACAATTGTGAGATATAGTTAAACTTGTATTATTATACTATTACTTTTTTGACTTTTCTGCAGTGTATAGTCGATTTGATAAAGAAGCTAAAAGAGCTGGTACACAAAAAGGATCTAATGTATAAGCTGCTCTTAGAGCAATACATAGATTTTCGATAGATGAATTACGAAGACGTTCAAATTGTGATTCAATATGATCTGATATAGGCTTATTCTCATTAAAACCATTAACTGAAAAACATAATTTATATTCTCTTTTAAAAAATTGTACTTTTTTGTTAGTTTTACTTACCAGTTATGCTTAAACCTTTTGCATTTAGTTTTTCTGAATGAAACTTATTAAGTTTGGATAATATTGGAGAAGGTTGAACGAGGAAGTCGCGAAGACATTGAATACAAGTACTGGCGATACTCGGAAATTTTTCTGATAACTTACCCAAACCCTGATACAAAATTAAATGTTTATTACCATTTGTTAACTTAAGTATATAAGTTGTTCAGAACAGATTAACTACCTCCATACAAACTAAAATCAAAGGCATATGTGCTATGGCTTGCTTAACATTGTTACTAGAATTAATTTTTTCCATTAAACGACCGCATAAACTGTCAGCACCTTGTTTGGAAAGAAAAGCAAAACATATTAGCATATATATATATTTGAAATTAAACATGTAATATTAAATTACCCGATTCATCTCTAGTAGCCCAAACCAATAAATCCACACAAGCGGCATTTGCTAAAACGTTAATTTTAAATTTATTTAATGTTATATGTTGTACATTTTTGTCATCGTGATCTGATAACTCTTGTGTCGCTCCTGCTTGCAATTCAGTTTGTCCATTCAAAAACAGGTCTTTAATAAATTCTTGGACGTCTTTTGTGAACGGCATTGGTAAATCTATTATAAAATTATAACACATAATTTAAACAAATATATTAAATTGAAATAATTAATGAACAACAAATTATATACAAGCCAGACTGTCTGAACTCAGATTAAAAATAGTTGATTTAGTTATCTGATTTTGGAAATCTCCAGATATTTATTTATTTATAAAATTAAATAGACTTAATACTTATGAATGTTACGATGTTTTAATTTTACCTTGTTGATGTTGAAGTAGTTCTTTCAATAATGAAGCAAAAACTAAATTTAATATTTCGCTAAAACTTTGGTAACAAAACGTCTTGCTTTCCCCAGATATGTGATATTCCAATGCCAAGCTATCAACAAATCCCAACACCTCAGAAGTAAGAATTTTTTTTGCGATAGATAAAACAGTCTAAAAATTATTAAAAATAAAAATAGTATGTGGTTTTTTACTAAAATTGAACAAATTACTTGTAAATGTCCCAAAGGAAACAATAATGTAGAAGATTTATGATCAACAGTCGAATCTGTAAATCTTGTATAAGGGAATTGATTAAAACTCGAACCATACTTAAAGAAAAAATAGTTGGACATGTTATTGGGTGCTTGAGGACTTAATTTACATTCGGATTTATAAATCATTCTATTACTGAAAAAAAATTACATAAATTTAATTTAATTTATTAGCTAAGTTAGAGAATTTAAAAATCTTACCTTAGATCATTCATTGGATCCAAAGAACTTAATGTCATTACATCAAGAGATGCCAAGTTTAAATTTAAAGATAAAGAACGTGGAATAATTGAACTGAAATTATAAAAAAAACATAAAACTAATTAAGTTTAGTACTATTATTAAGTATAAAAAACTATCAATTAAATTCAATCTAAATGTTAAGCTACCGGAAGTTGGAAAAACTTTTCTTTTTAGCAATGTTAAGATCAGGTACTGGAATCGGTATCTGACGTACAGGAGGAGTAGGTTTTGGAAATAAACGACACAATAATGGAGGATCGCTTAATGTCGCACGTCCCATTGATCTTGCTAAGCCAATTAAACATGGAATGGTTGCTTTGCATAAAGAAGCTAAAATAAAAAATATTATTAATATTGTATTATTTTTTTGTCTTAAATTGTTTGAATCTGTACTTTTGGTGAGATCATTTAGTTTGTCTGATTTAGCTGATCTGATTGTATTTGACAGTTTACTTAAACATTTTATCTGAGCTTCAATAATTTTTTCTTTAGAAGGAGGATAACGCGTAGCAATGTCAGTTAGCAATGTGTTTAGACAAAAACTCATTCTTTCAGCTACTGGTATCCCTGAAAATTAAAAAAAATATTAATCAATTAACAGGAACTAAATAATAAAACTTATAACACTAATGTTTTTAATACATAATTGTAAAACCAGACATTATTTATCATACTAACTTTCTCTAGGAAAATATTTGATTTCGTCAACCCATTGCATTTTGCCTAATCCGCTTAACAATTTTAATAAATATGGCAATATGTGGTCAATGTGCTGGAAATCTGATTCCAACAAGTATATTCCTAAAGCAATAACGGCATCTTGGCCTCTTTGATCCATTTGGTATACCCCGTTTTGGCTTTCTTGTGGACACAGTGAATATAAGGTTTGAATCTGTAATATAAAATACCATATATTATAAACTGTTTGTGAATAGTGAGTAAAAGTTTATTTTATTAATGAATTTGTCCATTCTGACCATTTTAAGAAGGAACTTAATTTGAAAATGCTTACTTTTCCCCACGGCGTGTCATTTTGTGATGCAAGCGATCGGGCCAGGTCTTGAACGGTTTTTTGAAAAAAGTTCTTTTCGTTTGTAGGCATTTTTATGAGGGAAAATCTAACTACGGTTTAGTTAGAACTATGTATGCTTATTGCATACGATACCGTACATTAAATTAACTACTAATCAACCGGTTCACAACATATTATTAGAGTAAAACACTCATAATTAAAAAGCAGACGACCTCGATTTCAATACTAGTTAAAGTAGGTAGGTCTTAATTCTTAATTTTTTCTGTGGCTTCAATTTTGCAATTCGTTATCACAGAATAAATTATTTTCCATTATCAAACCTGTTTCTGAACGCTAGTGATTACGCCGCACAGCTGACCGCAAGGTCACAGTTGCTGCTGCCAAGGGAGTATTATTAAATTTACCCACTGTGCAAACAATTGAACATGGCGAAAAGATAGGTATGCCAGTACTTGCTACCTAACCGCAAAGGGGTTGCAAATGGTTTCGAATGGCTGTGTATTTCTTACAGGGAAACCAACAGCCATGTTGTGGTTACTGTAAACTCTAGTTGCTGACACACCTATGTTTTTCTTACCATGTGATAACCGATGATATCAACTCCTGTAGTCTACTGACAGACAGGACAGTAGACAAAACAAAAATTGTCTTTAGCTTTAGCCTTTAGCATATCCGGACTCCGCCGTCGGCCGCCGTCTATGCCCGTCCGTTGAATACAGAGTACAGACTTCTAGAAACTAGTTTATAAAAAAAAAATGTATAGGTAAATAAATAATAAGTTGAGGTTTTGGAGTGAACAATTTTCTTCTCGAGTAAAAATAATCACAAAATTGTGTAAATATTTTACAATTACAACTTCTACTTTCTGCTGTAAACATGGGTTTGAATTTAAAAACAAAATTCACTCTATTTTCTATTACAATACATTCAGTGATATTTATCACTTCTTTTGTATCGTATTACGGCCTAAAGGCTAGTCAAAACTCATTACATTACCTGACAATTTATTCTGGCCACATAAATGTACAAGTGAAAAATGATGGCTATCATAGGTAAAAACGTGTAAAATTAAAAATCACCAAATGATATGACCGCAGAAAATTTGGGTTTCAGAGTTCTTCATACTACAGTTACGGCTGACTATGAATTTTCAGACCGTAGGGATTGTGCTATAACGTTACGGTATGATTTTCCATCTGATATCTATGTGGATACTTATGAACTAAAAACTATCGCTTTGAATCATAAGGTTAGTACGTAATAATAAAATATTATTTACTACATCGATAGTGTTCGCTAACAATCATTTTTGCTTTTCTAGGTGGAATTTTATGTTGATACTAGATTTATTGATGTAGAATCACCAGCCCATAAGGCAGACCCATTTGTTCTTTATGTTGTCAACTATACTCTACCAGATACAGCAAACAAACTTACTGAAACAGAATTTCCCATTCATTTGAGGTATCAAATGTCAGCTGAAGATGGCCGTTACAAGGAAGTTCGATTTGGTGATGCATATTCAGATGTACAAATGTTGTATTTGTGCAAGGGATATGCGGATTCCAATTGGAAGCAATATCCACTTAACTCTGGAGAATGGATTACTGTTAGTATCCACATATTTTCTCAGAACATCTTAAAAATATTAATTTTTTTATCTTCCTTCCTTGACCACATGAGTATTTGCAATTTGCTAAATATATGTCGCCTGTCATTTTGGTTCAGATACTCAAATATTATAACTTACAACTTACATTTAGCATTGAAATTAAGAATACAGATGATATGTGCTCTGTAGAATACGATTTTGTCCAGGTGTTTTGCTGGCAAGAAGGGATGCCTGTCTATTCATTATGACAAAGATACCTCGTGACTGCGAGAAACCCAAATAAAATCAATGAAACCTGATTCCCCTCATTGGTTTATTCTACTTTCAATACCTATCTTGCGGTCATAAAGCTTTTGTATGCTTAATTTTGATTGACCAAAAAACTGCAATGATTATTTAAAAATTAAAATAACCGTATCATTTAATATATTTTATAAAATAGAGAAATTCTTGATTTCTAAAATTTAAAACCTTTGTAAAGCCATTCGACATCTTTGTGTCTAGATCCTTGGTTTGTAATTGGGGTTTTTCAATCGTATTGATGTAAATTGTACAATGTAAAAAACTGAAGTATTTTTAAAATATCAATAAATTTAAAAATTATTTTCAAAATACTTTTTGTTCGGGGTCTCAATGTTTTAAACATATTATTTACAAAATGTTAAAATATTATAATATTTCTACCTACATAACAATATTTTTTTGTAAATAATTATTTTAAACATTGAAAACCAGATAACAAATGTATTGACATTTTGAAAATATTTCAATTTTTTTGCTTTGTTTATAAACTTGTCAAAAATCATTAATATCTATTATTAGATGAAATGTTCTAAAAAAATGTTACCCTCTTATTTTCTAGGCCAGTAACGTGAATGTTAAAAAAGAAATAGTAATGTATGTACCAATCGGTGATAACAGTAACCAACCGTGGGTTAGTTTCATCACACATATTGTAGTCTTGTTTGGAACTTACATTATTCTTCGTCATATAATGATGGCTCCAAAACCCGTCAATGTTACAATGGGATTAACTCCAGTTAGATTTTAAAATATACTTAAATGATTGTTGATTCTAAACTAATGCAATAATCTGTATAAACAATAGCATGTTTCTAAAAACTATTATTAGAAATGTATATTGTGTGTTAAAGACTAAGAAGACTATATAATTATACAAATGTAAAACTGTTATACTATACAATTTATACAAGCTTTTTTTTCTAGATGTATATCCTGTTTGCTAAAAAAAGTAGAATCTTATTTTACTGTTTTGACATAACTTTTTTACTTGAGATTAACAAAAATCACAGCATTTTGAAATTGTTTATTATTTATTATTTATATTAATTTTAAGCCAACATACGAGTACTAAGATTTTAATTTTATGATCACCTCTCTGATTAAAGTTCCTATGATTTATTTAAACATTGTCACTAACAAAAATTATTATTACTAGTATTTATTATATTATTAAATCATTGAACATTTGTATGTTACTTTCCAATTCCAATGTTATTCTTAATTTTTTTAATTATTTTTTATATTACTAAAACCAGGAAAATGTTTAAAGGTTTCGTTCAAAACTAAATTTAGATAACCTATCTGTGCTACTGGTTAAATGTTGGATGAATGCCAATTAGAGTTTATTAATTTGGCCCTCCTTTCTGAATGTTTACCGGTGTATATAGTTATTATTTAGATATATTTGTTTAACAAAAATACTTTTGAAATGGACATGCAAAAATTAAATAAGGAACTCTTACAAATGGGTTTGTATTAAGTCAAAAAAACAAAGTTCTTAAAATATGAAAATTGATTTTTAAAGTATTTTAGAAACTATGATAAGAAAAGAAAAATTTAAGAAATATAAAGGTGATTGGAATAACTTGCCCGATTTATTGCTGGAAAACATTTTTTCTTATTTGAATGCCAGAGATAAATATAATGCATCTATGACATGCCGTTCATGGTATTCAGTTTTTCATTTATCATATTCATGGCATACGTTCATTTTCGATGACACCACTCTAACTCGCCGGAAATTCAACTACTATTCTGGATGGCAAGTAAGTACTTATTTATTGAATAACATAATACATAATAATGTTCATTTTGAAATGTTTAACACCCGTCACAGTATATGTTAGATCATCTGCGAGTACAGTATTGCCTTCAGTCCATTGGATCCTACATAAAAGTTCTAGTTTTCAAGCCTGCATCAAATTTTTACAACCTATACGAGTTTATGAACATGATTTCTTTTTATGCAGAACACGGCCAAAATGTTGGGTCGAAAATAAGTACTTTACATTATACATTTCCCTGTAATATGGCAACATCTCACGATGAATCTGTTTTATATGGCACAGGTGGTAAGTAATCAAACTGTTATTATTTACAATAAACTATTATATAACTACATACCAATATTTTAAAAAAAATTGTTATATTTTTAGGTAAACTTTTAGAAGCCTTAAAGAGACTAATGGGCATCTTGCCATCGTTAAGGCGTTTGGAATTAATTGATTTAATGTTGGAGAATATTGATGCTCAAACATTATTGGATCAAGTCTGTTACTATTGTTGTACTACATTAAGCACTTTAGTCCTAATAAACACTACAAAACAGCTTTGTCAACTACTTCATCCCGGAGCTTTTGTCAATCTACAAGTATAAAAATTTGATATTTTTACTTTATGGTATAGTTACTGGTTAGATAAGAACAGCAAGCTTTGATTAGCCCAAAAAGAATAATAAATATTTAATTTAAAAAAACTGGATAAGATCCAATTATGTGTTTTAGAGTATATATCAATGCCAGATCATAAAAAATTGTTTATGGCTTTTTGGAAAGTGGGGAGAAAACCTTTACACCCATAAACTCCTTTAAGTTAAAAAAAATGTATCTGGTTGATACTTAAAACATGGACTAGATTAATCTATTTTGTGATTAAAATTGTATGTATATTAATCTTTGAAATAGAATTAGAGACATTTTTGTAAAGTGATCACAATGCTAAAAAAATGTATAACATATATTGTAAAATCAGATCTCAACCCATATGACAATCAAATTTGTAACTATCATTAGTCATTACACAATAAATTTATTTTATATAAAGGTTTTTTTATAATTTAGGTATTAGTTATTAGTCCACAAAACTTAGGGAGTGATTTAATGCTCTTGCTAAGCCAAACAACGCTTCGACATTTGCACATAGTTCAAAACCGATATACACCCATTGACATAGAACCTATTCACCCTATCGATTGGAGACATTTCACTAAGGCAAATCCTTGGTTAAGAGTACATCTTAGAGTCGAGTCAGTAAGGGAGAGACAGATTTTATGGCAAGCCGGTGCACCTGTGTCTAGTGTCATCTATAAATCACCAAACATACGGGTTAGAAGACTAATTAAATAAAACTAATAACAGTACTGATATCTCATATTGTTAATGAGCCATTATATATTTATAGATGAGTGCCGACATTATTAATAAAGTTGTTGAGCTGTATTCAAAAAGCTTAAATACATTTGGTCATCTGGACTTACCAAAATTTTACCAACCTTCGTCGTTTAATGAACGTATTGATACAAAATTAATTGATTTGTGTCGATCTTGTAATAAAATGGACACACTTGTAAGTGTACCTTGGTACTTTAATAGTGTTGTTTATAAATGGAATATGTCATTTAGAATTTTTAATTTTTATAGATGGTCCGAGAAAAAATATCTACCTGTACGTTGTTATTACTTGCACACTATGGGCATTCATTAAAATACTTGTATGTCCGAAGAAATGCAGTGATCTTGAGATGCGATTGGAAACATCTAAGTGAATGGTCCGAAGAGTTTTATCGGTGGTTGAAAAAATCGAGCATGTCTTACCAAATTGTTGAAGAACAAGTAGCAAATTGCTTAGGACTAGAAAAGTGGAATTTGCTTAGTGATAAAGAATTTAAACAAATATCTCCTCAACTATATTCATACTATTATAAATAAAAAATACATTGACTAGAAGTTTTTTCTTTTTAAAGTTGTGTTTCTAACTAAGTATTATTTTCTTAAGCTCATGCTGTCATTAATACCTATACTGAAAAAATTTCCAAATACTAAAAACTATCTAGAGAAGTGAAGCTCTGTAAAAATAAGAGTATAATACTAAAACGTTTTATAACATTTATTTTCTTCGGTGAAACCAAATTTAATGATAAACCATGACTATTCAATATACAAATTACTATTCAATTGATATCTTTACAAATTACATTATACAAGGAGATTATTTTTATGTGATCCAATCATTATGTTATGGGGTTTAATCAGTTATTGAATTTTTTTTTCGTATTTTTTTTATACAATGTGATCTCAATTTTTCACAAACGTTAATGATTTTAACACCCTTCCAAATTAGTTATTTTTGTACCAACTTTTGAGTTACGTACATATATTATCAACTTTTTAAATTAAATTAAATAATCTGAGAACAATTAACTGAAAATTTTAGTAACCAGTTTTGGATAATTTTTCTTAAAATCATTAAGTTTAATGTTTAGGATAAGAGGAGTAGTACTATTGGCACGCATTACTCAACCACGCTTCCCCTTCGGTTCTATGTTCTACACTTTAATACTTAAATAATAATTATCCAAAACTGGCTATCGACCAGTCGAAATGTTTAGTAAATTATTCTTAATTTATAAAGTCGATAAAATATGTACCGTTACAATTCAAGTTTCAAAAGTTTATATAAAAATTATTATTTTTTTGGAGTTACTAAAATTTTCTTGGAAACCCGCAATAAATACCGGGATTAAAATAATACTAGATACGTATTATTTTATTTAGACTATGCTTGAAACCCTCGCCGGTACCTTCTTAGTTTTAGTTTAAATTTAAAATGAATTCATCTATGTACAAAAAAATACAATATTAAGGGGATTATGGTTGCTATACGAAGGTCATCGAAAGGCCCTATTATAATAAAATCGTCTTTGTTCGTTATAAAGTGTGATTACAATTTACATTGTATGAATTTTAAACAAGATATCATTCAATTTTTCATGATTTTCAACACTTTTGTGAAAAACGAAACGAGTAGAAGCTGTAGACGGTAGCCCACAGAATGGGTAGGTAAGTGAAAGTTAAATGTTAATTATTAAAATTTAGAACAACACCAGACACGGTACAATATGTCATACCACCCACCGCGTATCTCTGCAAGATAGAAGGAATATATTAATATTTAATAAGTAATAACGAAAGATGAGAATACATTAACCGACATTATAGTAAGATTAGTAGGTGATTGAGGTTTAAAATAATTCAAAGACCTTACCTGATAAAAAAAAATAATACTGAGATGGTAGTCACTTATTACTATAAATAATGCGAGTTTATAATTATTATGAAACAAAATATAATACAATCCAAGAATTATACATTATACGTAGATTTTTAACTATTTTATTCGGTGAATATTTTATATTCATACTTCCAGCTCATAAATATTAACATAATCATATCTAGAGCCATTAATGCAGCATAAAACAGATACTCGTGGGCCTAAAAAATAAATTAAATGACATAAAAAAGATGTAATATAGGTTAGGTTATCATAATTGGTTTATAATAATTATTTAACTTTTATTTCCCGTTAAGAAATACATCATATAAGTAGGTATAATTTTTTTTACTATAGCCATTGATTTTATAATATTTTAAAATCAATGCTATAACGATATAAGAAAGGAAATGTGCCGTGTCGTATTAACGCTCATGATTTGGGGACTGCATGCGGTCTCTTTTTAACGTTTTGACTTTTGACGTTTTAGACAAAAAACCCATACAAAATGTCGACTACTTAGAATGGTCCGATTTAAATTCTGTAAAGAGATTCAAGTTCTTTTGCCACTTTACTAGGTTATGTACAAGCCAATTTTTTATTTTTTTATGTAAATAAATAAGGTTTTAATATTAAAAAATTGTACATTTAATTTATTTAATTACAAGGAACTGAAATTTTTAAATGAAAATCGGCTTCCTACTTAACATAGTAAAGTAGCCAAAAAACTCGAATCTCTTAACAGTATTGAAATTGAACCATCCTATGTAGTCGAAATTTTGTCTAGATTTTTGGTCTAAAATAAATCAAAATAGTTTTTCCTCACAGAAATAATTATTTAAATTAAAAATAATACCTAGAAGCTTTTACAAATGAACCGGTAAATAAATCTATTAAAACCGTTTTTTTCTTAAATATTGCCTATACAAACAGACCGCATGCAATCCCCTTAAGAAGGCGTCGCACCGGTGATTTTCAGTGGTAAAAACATGTTTACGCTGACTAAAAATAACTTCATTTTGGTTTTAGAGTAAAAGCACCCATTATAAATAAATATAGATAGAATGTTCTCTTTATAAATATAAAGAGAACAATATTACGTAAGGCATCACGGTGCGTTTTTTAAAAAAAATTCATTTTTGGAAAAATTACAGTCATTTAAAAATGTTAAAATAGTCGTTATTTCTAATCTATGTATTAAGCGTTATACTTGGAATAATAAAAAAAACGCACCGTCTTGCCCTCCGAAATAATGTTCTCTTTTAATTTTACTCTAAAACCAAAATTAAGCGAGTTATTTTCAGTCTGCTTCAACATGTAGAGATGAAAAAACATTTTTAAATCGCTTTCAAGGATGCTGAAAAAATAAATCAACTACCAAAATAGAGTCCTAGTTATTGAACTAATAATTATACATCACAGTTTAACCTTTAAATTAAGATTATGAGAAAAATCGCCTATACTTTACTCCTTAAAAATGGACGGTGCGCCGCCCTCTTAAGATGACGCGATACACCATTTATTAAGGAGTTAGATATTAGCAATTTTTTGCAAAATCTTAATTTAAAGCTTGAACTGTAATGTGTAATTATTAGTTCAGTAATTAGAACTTAATTTATTTTTCAGACTATCACAACATTTTTGTCAGCGATTTTAAATATATTTTTCATCTAAACATAGTTACGCAGAATGCGTTTTATTAAGTGCATGGTTGTTTTAGAGCAAAAAAAACTTATTATAAAATCAAAAAATAACAACATTTTGGAGACAATGTTATATCCGATTTTGAAAATAACAACGTTAAAAAAATGTATTGCTATTTAAAAAAAAAATAATGTGGTATTAAAATAATGTAAATATTAAGTAAACTATTATCAAAATAAGGATATGACATTGTAGGATTCAGGTATTTTAGATGTCTTGAATTATGTTTAATAATATATTTTATTACTTGTTGTTCAAATAAATTAAGATTTGATATGACGACTACTATTATATTTCCAAATGCTTCTGCAATCGAAATTGATGATGAAAGAAACGACTTCATACTCAATGGAGCCTGTGTAAATCCCAAAAAAAATGATTATTAGTTATAAATTATTAAAACTTAACGTAGGTGTTTTTAATTTACTTGAGTAAACGTGAACTTTAACAGTGTTGTCATACACATAACTTCTGCGACGGTCAGCACTACTATCTGAGGGAATTGCCACAGTATGTGCAGATAATTGCCACGTTCTAAAGTTTTCATTCTTGCTTCCTAAAATCAATTAGCGTTGTTAAGTTTCGAAATTTCTGCTTTCAATAATTTACTTCAATAATAATTACTATATCATAATCTTGCAGACTTCGGTGTAAAATGAGTGTATTGGTACTGGCTGGAAGCAAGTCTAGTTTTACAGGTACATACTTATCTTGTACGTACAAAATATAGCTAAAAATATTATTATTTTAGAGTTATTATAATACAATAATAATAATTAATAGCAATAGCTAAACATGTATTGCTAAATATACTTACTTATCCAGAGGTAATTCTAGCCTCTGTTCGAATTTTGACGATAGATTAACATATTTTACTATATTGAATTTACCTCCAACACTTCTCAATGTGACATTTTGATTAGTCAAATGTTCATTAAAAAGAATCCTAAGAATCATACATAATTGTATTATTGTACTGTATTCATTAATTATGTAGTATAAGAAGGTTTTCTTCATCGTCTTAGTCTTTAAAAGATGAGATAAAACTCTACTATCTCTCTCCACATTTTTCTATTTGCCCCCATTACACATACTCATTTCAGCTGCTTTAATTTTTCTTTCGTCTCTGTTATTCTATGCCAAACTCTTGCACTACCAGCATCATTGCTGGTTTCATTACAATTTATTTTTTTTCTCTAAATAGTATACACATTCTGTCACAAAACACCTTTATTGTCTCTTTTTGCTTTGTTCTTATTTATTTTACTCGACACGTAATATAGTCTTTTATAAAAATGATTCTCATTCCTTAGTATATTTAACATTAACCTTATTTTAATCCCTAATTATTTATTTACTTAAGTATAGCAGGTTGATTACTTCTAATATCATTACTAAAATAGTAGGTAAACTTAAAACCCAAGTATTCTGACTTAAATTACAGCAATATTAAACATTGTTAATAAATGCACAGATTTGTATCTAGGCAAAGATATGCAAGGGAAAAGATATAGCTGAGAGTACCTACTTGGTAAAAACGTGTTACTACTGTGTTATTTTTTCGTTTTTATTGTAGAAGTCATCGCTGTGACACGGTTAAGCAACATGATATTATAATATAATAAGACTCTTGACCGCTAATATATATTTTTTTTATTTAAGATATTGGATTTTATCTTAAATAATCTATGACCCGCTAGAGGTTAAGATATATAAACCTGATGGATGTATAATCATAGTTAAAGCATTAGTTAATTCGGTCAAATCTCGAGATGAGATTTAAGATGTCAAGGAGATTGCATTAATTAATGATTTGCCTTAGTTGCAAATCATGCGGGCATTGTGTAAAGATTAAACATAATACCGACAAAGCTTACCAAACTTAAGAAACACCCGTCATTGTTCGTTTTGTTTAACTGAATTTAAGTAATAACAATTATGTGTCAATCATCAAAATCAAGCTCTGGGCCAAAAAAACTAAGTCACCTGATATTTGGATTGCCATTTTTTAATTTTTTCATCGCATTCAAACGCTGCAGTACAATATTTCCTCCTATAGAACTAGTCAAAAAATACGATATCACCTAAAAAAAAAAAATTTGTTGAGATTTTTTGAAATGGAAGTAAGAAGTTAATGTTTTTTTTTTTTTTGTTAATGTAGCTTTCTTGGTATGAAAACATATCTCTATAGCCTTTAGGTACTTTCGAATTCAATGTATTTATTTTTAATCCAAGTAAAATAATAAAACTAACTCAAAACAATATTTATACCATTTAAATACTAATGAAGTATTAAGAAAGGAGTAAGGACTACTACCTCGTGTTTCCACAAGAAGCCATTAAGGAGAAAGGCAAATATATAAACGATGGAGTTGCCATTACCCCAATATCTGTACTATATCTCAATATTCTTACTTCTCCTTTAACAGCAGAGATATTTTTTTCGATGGTGAAATCGTCTGATTTTTTTGGACATACCGAGTGTATTTCTAAATTATATATTATTTCTTTTTCATTTGTTGACCAAGTCTGGGTGTTAATGTTTAGTACATCCAGAGGTTCTATATACATATCGGCCGATTCCGGTTGTCGTAGAGTTATATTGCAATTAAAACCATTAAATATCCTTAGCTGGCATTCATTAGGCGGCAATGTTACATTCTCGCCCTGTAAGTATCAATATTATTATTAAAATACGATTACTATTTTATTGTTGGCGTAATTTATTTTTAGAGCGTTGATATCTAGTTACTATCTACTAAGACAACGTTAATAGATACTGACGACAATGACATATTTTTTAAGTACATATAAAATTAAGACGTTAAAAATATAATGCATGTGATACTTGCCACGATTTTATACTGTAATAGTGCAGAACAAACAAAAGCCAAAGCCGTGAAAAATCCTCCTATTATGATTTTTTGCAATGATGTACTTATACCGACTTTTCGTATAAGTGGGAAAACTGCAGCTTCGAAGAATGGGATAAATAACATAACAAGAAAACAGTTTATTGTAATCATCTGTTCTGGTTTTATTGTCCAGTTTAAAAAGTCGAGTTTTCCATTCATAAGTGTACCTTGTAGTGTCCAGTTCGATCCCTGTATTTAAACATCACAAAAAAAAAGATGGCTTAGTTTTATAAAAAAAACTATGATGCTTCCATGTAATAGTTAATAGATACACATTGCACAACTGAATGTATTAAGTATATGAAAACTACAGTACATACAAATTGATCATATAGCGCGTAGAACATCGGCAATGTAAGAAAAAGATAGAGAACGTCGAGGGAGGCTTTTATGTCAGAAATGTCTTTATTGCTATATTTCTTTTCCGCATAGTCTAGCCAGTGTTTTTTTCCCGGTGTCTTAGATGATATAATTGCCGTTGACTTTTTTTTTATCGCGTACTGTAAATGAAAACTTAAATAATGCATGTTATTTAAGACATCAAAGTAGTTAGCGACGAATAATTTATTACAAATATGCATCCAAACGACGTTGTAATTACGGAAGACTCTGGCTTTTTGATTTTATAAAAACGTTTACCACATATGAAAATCACTGCGAGAAATAACAAAAACAAATATTTAACATACAACAATTAAGGTAAATGACTTAACAAAACTTGCCTAAAGAAAGTATCATGAGTACGGCTGGTAAACCGAAAGCCAATGGGAAACAATTCTCTTCTCCAAAACATTTCACGTTATTTCTTAGCTCGGGTGTTATAAAGAGAGATACTAGAGCTCCGACATTGATTATAAAGTAAAAAAGCGAAAAAAAATACTCTAGTTGTTTGTTTTGGTCTGGTATAGTAAACTGGTCGCCACCAAATGACGATACACACGGTTTAATACCACCTGTTCCAAGGGCTGTCAATATTAAGCCAATAATTGTAACGTACCTATAAGAATAATGTTTAAACTATTTAGTTACTAAAACACTTGCAATTTAATCCAACGTTTTGTTGTTTCGCTATTTAATTTGTAAGATGCATTAATAGCAAGGAAAATAAGGGAGAATTAATTTGGGTATGTTAAAAAATAGCAAAAAAATTTACATGAAATATTAAAACAAAAAAATAGATTAATGTAAAAAGTTAAGATACAGAAGGCAGAAGAAGTGGGTGAATGACCTAAATGTTATAAATAAAGACATGAAGGTTATTGAAGTAGGTATAGCTGCGAAATTGTGATAGATAGGAAAACGCGGAGAGAGAGATAGGCTGGCTTATGGGGTAAGGATCAGGAAAATATAATACATATTACAATTATAATGTTCATATGATTCGTTTTAAGACCTTAATAATAATTTAAAATTACAAAACTATTATTTCAAACGTAAATATTTTATGACTTTACCTTTGAGCACTTAAGCTGGCTGAAGTAATTAATGATGCTAAAGCGATTGTAAAATTTCCAATCATATGTATAATTGCCAGATATGAGATTGTTCTGTAAACACATAGAGTTTAACAAACCATAGTTAAATATGTCAATTTAAATTATATGCGTCTAATACAATAATACTATACCTATTAAATATCTATTTTAACTGACTAAAAATTATAGTGTATAGCATAAAATAATTAAACTTTCTATTATTAAAAAAAAAATGTTGTAATATGTATATATGTTATGTAATATATATATATATACATATATATATGTTAAAGTACAATATTTTTTAAGAACCTACTTATATTTGCCCCAATATGAATCAGCCAAAACAGCTCCAAGTAGAGGAGTCAAAAACATGAAAGTTAAAAAGGAATGATATAATATTGTAGTACTTTTGCTGCTGTATTTTTGAACCATTATAAGGAACATCACAAGAGCAGCTAAAAAATAGTTAAAATATTTTAAAGTTTAGTTTAAATTAAATCATTATTATTACATTACCTTTCATTCCATAGTAGGAAAATCGTTCGCATACTTCTGTGACTACTATAAACCATATTGATTTCGGCAATTTCTATAAAAAATATATTATATACACAAAAAAGTATAATGAAGACAAACATCATATTATTAATTATTGTCGTTTCAATTAATTATTAATATATACATTTTTAAAGTATATCACAAGTTTATGTTGGACTCGATCAGTCCTGCACTAGGTCACTCAAAAAGTACAGGATCATTGTTCCACCGTGTAATGATAGTATTCTTAAAAAATCTACGGTATCCTATACCTACTTATATTATATGAACTGTGACCTCAGATATAATTTAATACCAATAATATACTGTTTATGGTATTTTAATAATTATTATATTATAAACTATTAACTATGATCATAATTAAATACTGATATAAACAATTAATGATCTTACCAATGATCCGAACATGGTACTCAATTAAAATAGAATAAACCGTTAGCAAAGTTAAAGAAAACAAAAAAGGTTTTAAAAATAGTACTATTTTATTTAAACCATTATACTGTTAATTTTTATACAAATTTGTTTAACTAAATGTAACTTATAATTAAATATTATTTAAGATATTTTGCTTTGCACTAATTAGAGCATATTATTATTATTATTATTATTGTCAATATATGATCACTGTAATTGGAAAAGAATTCTCAAACATTGAATTTCAGTTATTATACTAGTTGGAAATATAATATAGTATGATATATTTATACAGCAGTTTGTTGAGGTCCCACCTAAATTATTAATTCTCCCGCTACTACGATTTACTTAAGCATCATAAAGATTATTCAGTGTCACATTTTGTGATCTAGAGCCAGTACAGATATGGGTCCACCTCTTAAAAATAGAAATTAAATAATTATAACAATAAATAATTTACATATTTGTATTATTTTTGTACATTCTTACACTTGACTTAAAATTACATGGATTATAATAGAATCAATTACTGTACCTTTATTTCTTTACAAAAATAATCGTACTGATAACAATAAATTAATATTGAAAAAAATTAGGGTTATAGGGTTATTATGCTATATTTATCAACAGACAACAGTTCAATTTTCATCTGTAAGTCAAACTACAGCTAAAAAACAAATTAAAAAAGAAAAGGCTAATGATATTTTCTTAGTTTTCCACTACAGATAGTATATATTATATTATATCTAAAGAATATTATAGACAAGTTTGGTAGTTGTTCGACTATTTTTAAAAAAATTATAGAACGCCATTATTATTTTTATGATAAAAAATGTGTACATTTTCGGCTGGTTTTCTAAAATTTAAAAGGAAAAGGGTAAACTTTTTCAACTTTTGGCCTTATAAAGTACTTCTCTGGTATGATTTCTGATCTTTAGACTTGCTCGTAAAATTATTACGATTCAACGAAGGATTGTCATTTTCAATATCCCCATAATAAATTATAGGCGTGACGTTTTCTTAATTCGGTTTATGGTAGTTCAGTTTAACTCATTTGGATTAGCTAGTTTATGATTAAAATTAAAATTAAATCTAACTTTAAGAGGTAAAAATGCACGTGTACGGATAATACTTTTTATAACTGTAATAGGTTATAACTTACACATATATACAAAAATATGAGATATCTATATTAATTCGATTTTTACAAAACGTTATTCTTACATTATATAAAGTGCAATAAGAACATTGATTAGTAGAATATTGATTACGCTTATTTAGATTTATAGTAGTGCATGTAAGTTGTTACGATAGTACTTATATACTAAGTAGTTTATACAATTTTAATTTTATGTCGACTATATGTACATATTGTAAACTGCAACTGTGTATTTGACATTATATTATCAACACAACGATTAAAGGTGATAGAATTCAAAGAAAATGTAGTTTTTACCTATTGATAGAAATCATGTAGTATTTATAATAACTTAACTAATCTTTTTTTTTTGCATTTAGGCTAGCCGCCAGTAGTTGTTATTTTTAAACTTTTTAGTACTTTTTCTACTACATTTTTGCAAATTTAGCCATTCTGCCCATTCATACAAAGTCTTAAACCTTTTCCTGATCCTGACAGTTTTGGGCATTTCTGTATCTAGTGTCATCTAAAAATCACCAAACATACGGGTTAAAAGATGAATTAAATAAAAAGTAATAACACTTAACAGTACTGATATCTCATATTGTTACCGAGCCATTCTACATTTGCGAGCATTACTCAACCACAGTTCCCCTCCAGTTCTAAGTTCTACACTTGAATAACTTTAATAATAATTATCCAAACTGGTTATTGACCAGACGAAATGTGTAGTAAATTATTCTTAATTCAATAGATAATCAATTAGTATGTTAAAATAAATTATATCAAGGAATGACACACAATAAAACATTCTTGGAAACCCACAAAAAAAACAACAAGGTATGTAAAACTATTCACTCTTTCCAGTTTAATATTGTTTATCGTTGTAATAGTGTCCATTTGTTGTTTGCTACAAGCTAGAATCGTAGTCTTGGCCATGTTAATTTTCATGTTATAATCCTGTTTTAGTGTTTGGTCTACATTAAGTAGCATGTTTTATGTGAATAACCACAATTAGGTACCTAATGCACGCACAAGGGGTAATCAGTTTTTAAATCAATAAATATTTAAAATGTTTGGGTTGTCATTTTTATTTCAAAAGTTTATGAAGTTATAAAAATAACTATAAAAGAAAAACATTTAAAATATATCAGTGTTCTAAATTAGTTAAACAAATCAAAATTAAAAAATATTAAATATAATTTTGTTTTCATATAGATTATTGTCTGTTATCCACGATGAATCACTTTGTAGTCTATACATTTGACCCCTCATCACGCGACGAGGCAGGCTCAGTTTTAGACTTGTAACCCCAAGAAGAAAAATGCCGTTTGATCCAAAACCAAAAGCACGGATTAAGTTGAACTTTTTCAGAGTTTGTTGAATGCCCTGATTTTGGTGTCTGTGATGCTAACGGATTCGATGGCGGGACTGGAATTTTCGTTGCTTTTTTTACACGGTCTTTGCACCTATCGTAGTTATCTTTTTTATGTTGTATTCACTATTGACCTTCTGTTCCTCGGAGTCGGGTCGTGTCTGCAGTCTCCGGGACACTTGTTGGTTACCTATCTTATCTAGATCGACCGTGCAACAACGATGCTGTTTACCGTCGAATTTCGCTTTTCAACCGTCCAGACAGTAATAAGACACCGTATTACTTGGATCAGCTGTTTGATTACTGTTCATTTCTATGGTCACTTTGAAGGGTTTGCACCGACTATTCACCACATTGGAAACGGTCGTGCACAACGCAAAGTACAGCAACGGCAGTAGGTAACGCATTGTTAAAATCCGCACGGAATTGGTTTATCAGGTATTATAATTCACACAATTTTAATCAGCAAGATGTCGATTGACAACAACAAAACAATTGAGTCACATCTTAAACTAAATGAGTTACCATAAGTTTAAAAACAAAGTATAAACATATGGTTCAAAGGGAGTGCACGAGAGCGTAGCTAGTTTTGACATGTTTTAAATCTCATCAATTTCTCCAAATCAACAATGTCTCTCTCAAACATTACTTACATGACATTTCGATAATATACACTGATCTGATATGATCTGACATCGATATGCTTAGTCAATTTTTTATTAGGTCTAAGGTTGCAGTTGCACTATTATCATTACATCATTTGGTGTGCTTTATCAATTAATTAATTATCGATATTAAAAAAACTTACAATGAATATTATACCAGATGAAAGGTTGATGTAATGGTATTGCTCAAATTGTCAAAAGTAATAAATATTTAAAAAGCCTCGTCTTGAAATAAAGACTATCTAATAATATAGAGCGACTGTCCCCCATATAAAACCGATATTATATTTTTTGTGCCAATATTTTTTTTCATCATAATTATCAGAGTAAGGCAAAAGAAAAAAATTAGACTTACCAGAAGTGTATGATTTAGTGATATAACATAAAACCGAATTCACGGAAATATTCGGATTTTGAAACCCGAAAATCTGAGTTTCTGGTTACAAAATAGAATTTTCGATGTTTAAGCTTAAATCAGAATACAAAAATATGTGTACAACAATGAACATCAGTTGTATAATATAAATCTAAATTAACTTTATCTAAAATCCGGATTTCATAATCCGAAGTACAGATTTACAAAATAAAAATTCTTCAACTTTGACAAATCCGGATTTTTTCTATTACTAGTATGATTTGGCAGCAGTGAACATATTTTTCAAGAAGTAAGAATATCCATTGTGATATAATGAAGCGATAAAATACGTCATGTTTATTATTATTTGTAAAATATTTTATCAATAAAAATAAATGTAACATTGATATTTACTACCACCCAAATTTTGAGTTTGGGAGCTATGCGAACAGTGGATGCAATTACATAGGAAAGCAAATTTTTTGATAATTCGTAGGTAGTCGTTATTAATTATTATAATAAGTGACTATTTATGTTACGAATTTAAGATGTAAATTACTGTTATTAGCTTAAAATGTATAATTAACAACAAAAGAAAAGTTTAATAATTAAATATTAAGTATAATAAACATTTTATATTTTTATCACAAATTATGTAATTTACAGTAATTATAAGTTTTAACCGTGAACTATACATTTGTCGATGTTACTTTTTTAAGTACCTAATACAACTGAGATTATTATTTATATTTACTGTAAAATATAGAAATTTTTAATGAAAATGTAGTTTACTATAAAGAGACCGATTTTTTACTATACATTATATTATATTATATATAATTATAAAAATAAAATATAATTGGTAGGTATTTTATTTATTAAATTTGGAACTTTATTAGTTATTTAGTATATAGCCGAGGAGAAGAGAAGATATGGGCACTAAAGAAAAGCAAGACAACAGTTAAATTACAGAATAATAATCATAGTTTATAAACTTTATTATAACTACATACTTGTACATTTAGCTAATAACACATAAAATATAATAAAAAATAAAGTAATGATGTTCATGAAAAATACATGGAACATATCAATAAATACAATTTTAAAACATCAATTACACTAATTTTACTGGTAGACAATTAACAAATAAAATAATACACTGGTCGTTCTCGTCAGTTTGGCTTATGATTTAAATAATTTAGTTTTATTAAACTCTACTTAATTGTTAAGCTAAACTGGTAAAAGGTCAAAAAGCATATCAACATTGTTTATTTTCTTCGCGTGGGGCGTCATCAGCTACACTTTCACTGCTAAAAGTTTTATACTTGTATTTCAAACCCATAAATGCGAATACTACCATGTCACAGATCATTAATCCAGCAAACAGAAGGTACTCGTGAGCCTAAAAAAAAATACTGTGTTAAAATGTACAACTTAATTATGATACCAATGTTTGAGTAAAAATATTTAGTACATAAAACCGTTGTATACATGATATAATACTTGCAAACAAATTATTCATATATTCTGCTTGTTTTTAATAATATACCAAAATTCTATAGACTATAATTTAATGATTTTATACTATCTATGTACTATTTTAATATTTAACTGATAATAACATAAACAGTAGTGTTTGGCATTTAAGGATCAAGTTTTCACAACTCCGGTTTAGAAATGTTTACTCGATTTTGAACTAGTTTTAATTAAAAACGACTCAAATGACTGTAGTCAACGACGAATGATTATTATAATATACATACTTGATTTTCGAAAAATCGAACTTCAGACACGAACACCACGATTAAATTGCCTAGTGACACTGTTAATAGGTTTACAGCAGCTAATAATGATTTCATGCTAACTGGCGCCTTAATGATAAGAAAAAAAACGCTCACGATTACAAAAAAAAAAATAACATACAAAAAATATCAAAAAAATATTTACTTGTGTAAATGAGAATTCTAGACCAGTGATCGAAAACATTATTTCTGCAGCTGACATAAGAATAATCTGTGGAAGTTGCCATAGAATGTGAATATAATTACCTTCTTCCAAAACCACTAAATTGTCACTCTAAAATCGATAAAAATTGTTATGGACCAATACTTACAACTATGAGAATAAAGCTAAATATAATTCGAAATGTGAATTTAAAAAAAATATCCGCATACTTACAACATTCGTAGAGTTTTGTTCTATTATAAGAGTATTCACACTTGATGGTAATAAATATACATCTGTGGGAAGTCTTTGGCCTTCAAGAAATACTTCGTATCTTTTATAAAAATGCACAAATTGTTCAGAATACATAAAATTATCAAACATAAATCATTCCTTAAGTCCATTTTATGTCACATGGATGATGTTATTTTGATTTATTCAATTCGACTCACTTTCCGTATGGTAATTCCTTTACTTCCGTGAATGATGTTAGAGTAATGTCTACATGTGACGATTTACTCTCTATATTATGCAGAGTAACAACTTTATTTGACAGATTTTCGCTGTACAACACACTATACATTTTATAAAAAAAATAAAAAATAGTTTATTGACCGGTTTTTGTTAAAAAAAACATCAACATAATATAAAATATTATCTTTACTTGATTATTGGGTTACCATTTTTCCGTTTTGACATATTATGGTCTTTGTTAATTCTCTTCAATTCGATTTTATCACCGGTACTACTTAAAAAGTATAACGACTCCTGTAGCATGTCAGACAATGTTCATGGACATATATTTCAACCATATAAGTAAAAAAAATGGTACTAAACCTTTTCTTCAGTGACTACCACCTCTCCTGAAAATGTTTCCGGCAAATTTTTGGAGGAGCATGACTTATCAAACGTGAAGTTTACTGGTATGACTTTTTCATTAGAAGCAAGTTCATATTTAATATCTATCATATCCAAAGGCTTAATAACATCAAGAATAGGTAATTGTGTAGAATTCATTTTCACATTGCAGTTAAATCCATTAAATATTATCAGTCTACTTTCTCCCGTCGATATCTCCGTGGTTCCACCCTAAGTATAAAGCAATATCAATTAATATTTAGAAAATATCATGTGTTCGGAGTTATTCAGATATCAAAAACGACGTTTTAAAACACATACTGGAAACTCATGTACTTACAATAATATTGAACTGTAAAATAGCGGAGCATACAAAAGCAATAGCAGCCAAAACTCCGCCCAATGTAATTTTTTGCAATGGCTTCCGGATACCGATCTTTTTTAGCAAAGGATAAACAGCGGTTTCAAATAAAGGGATGAAAAATAAAACTAATAGTGGGTTGACAACTTGCATTTGATCGGGTTTCATTGTCCACTTAAGGAAGTCAAATCTACCATTCATTAGCGTCGCTTGCAATGTCCATCGTGAACCCTAATATTAGAACAAAATAAGGAAAAACCAATTAAACAAATTTACGATTCACGCATCATAATTCCTTTTATTCGTTTAAAAATCAATGCTATACTTTTTAAATATTTGTATAAACTTTGAAATCTCATTTTTTATTTTTTTTTACCATAACAAATAGTTTTAGTCTTATAAAAATTTGAAAATTTAATAGTTTCTGTTTAATAAAAATGAGAAAGTAGAAATACAGGATTTGTATTACAGTTGTTTTGTTCATGACATGAATATGGCTTTTGTTATGTAAAAGAGTGTGACTGAGATATTAATTTTTTAGGGAAGAGGTGGAAATGATGTAGTTTAATAAAAAGCGTTGGGCCAAAGGCTCCATAAGAATTTCTTTCTTTCAATGGAAAATATTATTTTAATTCTGTAGTAATTAAGACACAAATATTATGTATTTATTATTTAAGTGATTTACTTACTTGTTGATCAAATAATGCCCAGAAAAATGGAAACGGTATGAATAAATATATTACGTTTAGAGCTGATCGTACGTCTGCAATTTCACTTTCTGAGTATATATTGCTGTCGGCGTAATCCAACCAGTTGTCTTTTTTACTACTATCTGAAGCTAGTTTGATTTTATTTTTTAATGCACTCTAAAAAAAAAATAATTTCAAAAAAATGTTAAACAATAAGTAAATACAATGAAGTCTAAAAATAGTGTGATACCAGGATTTAGTCCAAGTATACGTCAAAGTAATACACACCAAAATTATATTAATATTATAATTAAGAAAAATGAAACAAAATGTCTTTTAAGAATAAATGTGTTTAAAACATAAAATAACTAATTCCTTCTCAGCTTTGCGTCGAAGCTAAATCCATTACAGACTTTCTTAGATTTCCCTGATATTTCTTTAAAATATAATACCATTGGTTTTAAAATATACAGATAAGCGGTACTATTTAAAAGAACGCATACGGCATATATGCAAGATTCCCGACGTCAGCAGAGGTACTCGTCGTACTTTACCGCACGTCCATAAACTATAATAAAGGTGCATCTATTGACGGCGGGAATCCTGCATAGGTGCGTTAGCCGTTCATGTTAATTACATCGCGTATCTGTACATATTGAGATCAATAATAATACTTACATAAATACATTTTGAAGCCATCACAATGACGTTGGATTCTGGTTTTTTGATCTTGTATAATCGCTTACCGCTTATGAATACGACTATATAATTGAGAATTCAAAACAAATAAAAGCTGATGAGTATAATAAATCTAACATTTTGTTATTAATTACCTATCAAACCATTAATAATGGAATGCCTAAACGATAAACTATGTGCGAATGAGACTTAAACTTAAATATTTAAAACAAATTTTTGATGGTCAACTTTTACTTAAATAAAATTTGGTTAATTAGAAATACTGGTTACATGTCAAAAAACTTTGTTCTTGCTTATAATTTATACATTTTTTTTTTTTACAAACTTGATATGTTCATGAATAAAAGAGACATAAATTAAAATATTTTTAACAACTTTAAAAATATATAAAAACAAAAACTGGAAAAAAAATTGCAAGTGTGAAATACCGATTACAACGTCTTAAAATATTTTTTTTGTAATTTAAATTCAAATTAATCGAAAATGTATATTTTAGTATAATTTAAAGTTTAAACATTGTTAAAATATTGTTGATATTTCTTTAAAAAAAATTACACTATTATTACTATACTTACTAGTTGAAACTACCATCAGTACTGCAGGTAAACCAAAAGCTAAGGGATAACACGAATCTCGTCCAAAGCATTGGACATCTTTCCGAAGTTCTGGAGTTATTGAAGTTGATATTAAGGCACCAGCATTGATTGAGAAGTAAAATATTGAAAAGAATTTTTGAAGATAAATTTCCTGAGCCGGGAGTACAAATTGATCACCTCCAAATGATGATACACATGGCTTGATACCTCCTGTACCAATAGAAATTAAAATCAGCCCCAGCAATGCAAGGTTCCTAAAAAAATATATTTGATATCTCAAATTTTTAAAAGAATCTTAAAAAGTAAATGTTGATTCATTTTTATAACGAATATTATCCGGGCTTGTTTTTAAACTAAAACAGGGATACCTCTAAACATTACCATTTTATTGGCGAAGTAAAATTAAATGTCTCTGGAATATTATTTATTAAAATATGTTCAATTACTTAAATATAATTTTATATTGTAAAACATAACATTTTTTTAGTTTTATTTAGTTAAACATATTGTTCTTTCCAACGGTAATAGAACTTAAAATAGCTTTTATTTTTACCTCTGATTTAACAAACTGAAACAACTTGCCATAGACGCCCCCGTCACAACTAAATTTCCTATTGCGTATACAATTGATAGATACAGGATAGTCCTACAATAAATAGGTAAAATAAACAGGTATGCACACTTATTTAGTATTTGTAATTAGAAAATTACGGTTAAAATATTAATCGCATACTTGAATTTTCCAAGGTATGAATCCGACAGTATAGCGCCAAATAATGGGGAAAAATAGGCCAAAAAAACTGTCATGTGATATATGATGGTAGCTTTGTCTGCGTCATATTGCAGTATAGATGTTAGATATAATACCAAAACAGCTGTAATATTTTTGAATCAAAACATTATTATTTTGTATTTATTTAATTTCAAAACGTTTGTAACTTTAAAATATAATAAGCATAATATATTATGATACATACTTCGTAAGCCGTAATAAGAAAATCGTTCACAAAATTCGTTACAAATAATAAACCATACTGATTTAGGATAAGCCTGTAAAAAAAAAAAAAATAATATACATGAGGTTACCAAGTAGTTAGACTTATACGTATAACATTGCTAATGGATAATTTTAATAACTATTATGAATAGTTTATTTTATCAACGCCAAATTGCTTTTCTCGTCGTTTTTCGTATAAGTTTAATGACAATAACAACGAAAATCAAATTAAAAAGAATTTTAGTAGAAAGACTTGCTTAAAAATTAAGAAACTTAAATGTGAGAATATCGAAGTGAACAAACGGTATTATATTATCTAGCGATTTATTGTTTGACAGTCAAAAACGGTACTTAATACAAACAAGATTATAAGTTTTAAAATTGATGTATCTATGTATGTCGTTGAGTGTACAAACAATATTTTCAATAATTTTACCTAAATTAAGTTCTTTGATAATTCGTCAAAAATTCACTTTAAAATAATCTTACTACGCATTCTCTGACCATTCTTATAAGCTTTCCATGCAATCTTATCTGATGTTATCGTTACACTCCATCAATATGTATTGTTTACACTTATTATTAGCACAGATTAGATTATTAGTAACATAAAAAGGTAATTTTTACTTCTCGCCCATTTGAAAATCTCCGAAAATGTTAGCATTATAAAACACGTTCAAGCGTTACTAAAATTTGACGCACGTAATTTAAATTAAATTAAATCACACAACTAAATATATTTGGTGAAAAACGGTAAATTCTTTTATATTTTAGGCGCATTTTTAGTACTTAAATATTAAGTGTCATACACTCATACTGTGTCCTTAAAAGCCAAAATACAAATAACCATATAGTAAATATTTGTTAATTATTTTGGTCGTGTCAACTGTTAAGATAATGTACACCAATTATATTAATAAGTATAATTATATACTCGAGTCACATTTGTGGAAAACTTGACATTTTTTATGGTTGCAAAGTAACAATAATAGAGAAATTAATTAAACTAGATTAATTTATAAATAGATAGTTTATGTTCTATAATACGATAGGTTGGTAGGTATTTCACTCAAGATCAATTTTTGCTCTTGACATTTTGCAATGATTTATTGTAAACCGGTTTGCACATCCAATGAACAATACTTTCATGACCCAGTCAAAAAGAGAAACTTACTTTCAATATCTACTTAATTCATACGTTGCAACGATGACAATAATTCGACAGTCGCTAGATGCCGACTGCTTTTGAGAATTTAATCAATTGTTTGCCAAATCACTAGGAATTAATCTCAAGACTCAAGAGTACCTAGAATTAATATCGGCCAAGATAATGTCGTAATATTGTAGAGGAGAAACACTTCAAATAACGAAACAGGTAAGTAGATCGTAGCAGCGATAGTATAAGGAAATAAGAAAACAAATAAATTATTATTGCGGCAGAAATACTATTATTTAACTATCCATTACGTCTTCATGTATCCAAGGACCATTGCCTAAACAAAGTGACCTAATTTTAATTAGCTTAATATGTTAAATCTTTAAGTTCTATGAAATATTTTAGTTATAAGAACTAACTATAAATTAACAAAAAAAGACATCTGCACAGTTGTTCTAAATTATTAATTTGAAGGCGTGCCTTCAACCAATAAAATACATTTTTTTTAGTTTCTCTTAAAATTTGACTAAATAGATATTATTGGATAATAACAAATGTTTTATGCAAGTAAATATTATGTCAATACATTAAATGTATAAATATTCAAATGCATATTATGAAACTTGTGAAAACACAATATTATAGCCAATAGTTATGTGTCATGTAATAATTCCGCGGGGTATTCTGCTGCAAAGATCTCAAGGTTATTTTCAGTAGGCTAATCGCGTTACAAATTTCTGAAAACAATAATAATAATTATAATATATTAAATAAATATTTCACAGGGTAAAATTGAAAAGAATGCCGTGTGTGAAAGTCTTATATATATTATTAATATATATTCTACTATATTATATAAATTGGAAGATTAGAAGAACGTGTACACAACGGTCCGTGAAAACTTGTATACCTACTTACTTATGTATGTCTATATATTTATAATAGAAAAAAATATTTAAATATTTAACAAGAGTTGCCGAAAATACATAAAGTGAACTTAGTTAAGCTACACTTAAGTAATAAGTATAGTAAACGAAATTTGTTATAATTAGATATGCATATGTATTAAATGCAGTATGTAAAGTGATTACATTGTTAGCATGACAGACGACATTTATATATATACAGCTTCAGCACGTATAGTCTACCTAAGCTACTTGTACATTTTATATCTAGTAGTACAAATGATATATATATAGATATATATAATGATTACTAATTCAACAACTACCACATTTAAACAATTTATCATAGTTAACACGTGAACACTTATTTATTAGTTGATCTTATCTATCAAAGACAATACCTACGAGCTGTAATGTAAAGTAGTAAAGATATTGTAAAACATCTTATATATAAAATAACACCTATACACCTATATTAAAGTGGTTCCGTCTAAGGTCTCAAGTATTTTTGAACATTTACATGGATAAATAACCTGACTGTATTCAGTTCATTTTTACCTCCAATAGCATTTCTACTAATCTGTACTTGTATTTAGTTAGAAAAATTCAAACCTTTACATAGTTATTATAGATAACCTATATATATATAGTTTCTCGAATGAGATTTGATACCAAATGTCTCCAATTTATTGTACCCAAATTATTTCTAATCATATCCATAACAAACAAGTAAGAGTCTCGATTCTGTTTTATTTAGTTATTTTTGTACAATAGGTATAAAGATTATTAAAGGCAAAATTTAGGCTGACAATAACGCCTACTATCAGCTTGAATTCCTGAAACACCCTATAAGAAATTTTCTAAAGGAAAGGTGGGGTTAGATTTTAAACAAAATATGAGATTTTTCAGATATTAGAGAAGAATAATTATGTAGATAACAAAAGTTTCGAATGTTATATGGAATAACAATTTTCTTAAAACCCGTTTTTTTATCAACCTATTGAGAAATTGTTTCGTAATTTTTAAACTTGCATTATTTGAAAAAAAAGTGGACATTATACTTAATTTAAATTTCTTTGTATACATTTCATCTATTTAGATTTTAACTTTAAGTTATGCAAATTTTAAATCTCGCCATGATAAGAAAACACATTATTGCCAATAACTTCTAAGCCTCGTATCGAAATAAAACATACAAATAACCAAGATATTTCGTTAAATATATCATAATTTGTATTTCTTTAAAAAAAAAAAAAACACAAAGCTGTTAAATCAGGTCAAAAAATAAATGTATACATTTTTTACAATTGTAGCTTTGTATTAAATTTAAAAAAAAATGCCGTTCTCGATAAGGTTTGAGAATAAATAAAACAACATAGGTACATTTATATTATATTTTTATTCTTTTATTCATTTCAAACGATTAAACTAATTATTTGGAGGAGCATTCAATACCGTTGGATTAAAGTAAACACCATTAAATAATGGGCAATTTAGCAAATCCATGGCCACCGGTTTTAACGTTCCGCAACTTTTAATATACAATTAAATTAAATGTTATTAAATATTTTTTTATTAAAAATATTACGTTGACAAAAACCACGGTTAGTGTTTAAAAATAATCCAGTATCTACTGGTACATTAAGCTATTTAAAAAAATGAATACTAATGTATATTTTAAATACCAAGATACAGATATACGTTTTATACAGTTTACTCAATATAAATATATTGAGCATATTTATTTTATAGAAAACGTAATTTAGGAATAACTTTTTTTGCACAAATATAGACGTTTAAAAAACCGCTAAATCATCTTTTCGATTATTGATTTTTATAATTTTCAAACAAACTATAAGATTTTATACGTGTATTAATAATAAATAAATAATCATTACTATATTTTTTTTACTGAACATTATGTGTATGAACTTACCATGATTTCTTTACAACAACTAGGTCTTTAGTTTTAGTTGGAAAACAAATTAATAAAATTGGTAATTGTTATCACTTAATATAAACACAAACGTACGATCTGATATGGTAACATTACGACTGTATGGAATTAAAAATGATTCATTATTCGGTTTTATATATTTACAAGTGCAATAGTTATTAAATGTAATGAATATCTACTATGTCAATATCGCAAGCTGAAACGTGTCAGCACAAAAATGCGTAGTAGGCACGCTTGTCGGCGCACACTTGGCGCGTGCATTCACCAGACTGGTGACTCGGGACTCCTCGGTACTTCTGCAGGTATCAACAGTATGTAGACTTAGCGATTTGACGGGGGGAAAATAGTATCCACACTAAACATAATATTATTACATTGACGATCCAGTGAAGGTCAGCATACCACAACACACAATATAACAAACGCAATAATAAACGATGCGCGTCGAGCCGGCATTTGTTTAAATCTGTGCAATTGAAATATTTAATTAAGGACGGCTCAAAATATCAATTGATATTTTGTATTGATTATTATTGTATCAAAAGAATCGACAATACTTGCAGTCGAGGTAGAGTAGTTTTCATTTTTAATAAGTGTATCCGTATACATTCCTAATATTAAAACATTGGAACTTTGACATATAAATTATATTGCATATATTTTGCATAACATACGGTAATTAATTATATATAGCTCAGTAACATATATTGCAAGCTATGCGACGATTTATTGAAATATTTAACGATGTCAGATTGAAATGCATATTTCTCCTGTGATTTATTTTTAAGTTTGGGAGGGAGAAATTGTAATGCTTAATATTACATCAACGCTCAATCCATTCTTCTCTCACTAATTAAAATTTTTAGCTTTGACGCAAGTAATATACATAGTAACTCATTTCAAAATAATTATTGCAGTTTCCAGAACTCTTGATTGGGAATAGGTATATTTTAACTTTAAATAATAATTTTGCGACTCAAACAAGTAAACATTTAGCTAATTAGTATCAATTAAATTTAATGAAAACAAATTAGTAACGTGGCGTTGCCAGAAAATAATCAAGACATTTTACTTAACTTGATAACTATTGATTTTTTAGTAGATTCGTGTTTTAAAGCAAGTCATTTTTTGTAAAAATAAAAATGTACCCACTGTTTATTCAAGTCTGTAAGTTATAATTGTTAAAAGCAGTTATCTCTATAATAGTAAAATTGTGTTTTTATATTTAAAGGAATATGAGTTCTAAAGAAAATGACTTAGGTTTAATTAATTAAAAAGTGAAAACAAAATCACTATTTGCATCAACTTACTGGTACTCGACGTGATTTCTGGCTTTCAACATGAAAATGGTCTTTAAAATCTTCATAGTCGACAGTTTTTATCAGTGCTGAGTCGATTGCCAACAAACTTACTGAACTGAATTTGTCCTCTTCCATTATGAATTTCAAATTTTTTTTCTGGTTATTGCAATATTTATTCCATTTATCTAATTAGTAATTACCATTCATCACGACGACTGTGTTAAATGATTAATAATTAAAATATATTTGACAACACTATACAGTCAAATCAACACAAATTGCAAACACACCACTACGCAGTTCTGAATGTTATTAGTGCAGAAAATTAATACACAATATACCACGGCTGCGGGAAGAATGTGTAGACTGTAGTAAGTACATTGGTTAATGACTTTATTCTAGGAGCTCTTATGCTGGTAGCCGACTTAGTAGCCAGAATTGGTATTTGTGTTACTGCATATAAAGTATAATTATAAATAATTGTCTCTTTATTTTTATCACAAAAATCAATACAGATTAAAGAGCTATATATTAATAAGATAATTTATTACAATTTAAATTATGATCAACCTTAATAAGAAAGGTCATCTAATATGAAGCTATAAGAAAGCGTTTTTATCCTTTTGATTGCATATTCTTGTTCATCCTAACCAGAAGTAAATAAATTCGTATACTTTGCATAGTAGGTAGTAGCCAACGTAATAGTTTTTTAACTGTATAGTCTATTTTTTATAGTAAAAAAAATTGTGGTAAAACTTTTTATTGATACCAAAAAAAATATTGCAGTAAAACAAAATATTAATGATTCTTGTTACATTTTTAAAATTTTTTTAACACCCCAAATAATTATTTTTAATTACAATTATACTACTAAGGGTAATTAAAACCTAACATATCGATAGGACTATTAGCCATTAGAAAGAATATAGTGCCCTATCGGCTATTTTCTCCTTGGATCGACTTTTTTTTAAGTCTAGAGATGTTAGTATAATTTGAAAAGTAATTTCATCCACTGGATTTACGTTATTAAATGTTGGCCCCTTATTGACGTGCAATTTTTAAGTATGTAAATTTTGAGATACTCATTAAATCTGCCTTGAGTCTATTTTTCAACCCTAAAAAAGCGAAATAAAAAATAAGCTTCCACCCCTTCATGGTGAGAAGGTTAATAATGTTTTCATTGGTTTTAGATGTACATCGTTAGTGCTAATATTTTATTGTATTTGGTTTTACTGGTTAGTTATCCACCTCACTTTTTTCCTCAACTGGTTTTTTAACTACTCGTTTCTTACTATCCGTCGACTCGCATGAAAGCATTCAACAGTGATGAAATCACTTTCAGGATTAATAATTGCTTAAAATTGATAATCTCATCTTTGCTAACTTGTTACAGTACTTAGTTTAGACGGTGCTTTGTTTAGTGTGCTGGATTATTACTATTCGCAGACATTTAATAACCCGATTATAAACACAATGCCTATATTGCCATCATTGTACACATATATAATATTTTCACATTCACGACGAAGTGTTTTTTTTTGGGAGAGCTTATTTATTACTCTCAGTTATAATAATACTTTGTTGTTTATATAATTTATTTTACATAATTAAACACTACACAGTGATCAACCTAAAGTGATCCACTCATTTTGTCGGTTTGAGGTGAATCACCGGTTAATCATTGAGAGTGCTGTAGTAAATAAACAAACAATATTTATTAAAAATGTATCTTTATTAAACATGATATTACAATATTTTTATGAATACTAAAATTTACATATACAATTTCTAATAGTTTTTATGTTAATTGCTTTACATAAAACAGATTATACGAACATATATTATCTTGAGATATGTGATAATTATCAAGATGGACTTATCAAGCACGCAGCCGACACTATAAAAATATAAAATACTACAGACATATAGCTAGCTCCATCTAACTATACAAATCACAACCGATAATACAACTATTGTGAGTACGTAATACACCCAAATTTCTAGCGTAAAACCCTACTACGCGAAATTACGCGTGTTATTCGGCCATGACGGACTTTAGGCAAATTCACCTAAAATGGAAGATAACGATATTTTAGAGACAATGTTGTATCTTTTTTTTAAAATATTTCTTAGAAAAAAAGATGTCATCGTTTTAAAAAAATACGTTTTATTAACGTCAAGTAGCTAAAAAATGAACATTTTATACGTCGTTTTATGTAAAATTGTATCATCTTTTGATCTTTCAATAGGTGTTTTTACATTTTTCAAGCTATGTTTAGATAAAAAAAAGTTTTAAATCTCTGTCAAGGATGCTGTGATAATCAGAAAATGATTTAGCCAAAACAGTTTTATTTGTTAAACTAATAATTACAAATTACAGTTTAAGCCTTAACTTAAGATTTTACAAAAAATTGCCTTAATAAATAGGGAGTAAACGTCCTCATAAGAATAATGATACTAGATAATATTTTCTTTACTATATAGCGGAGCTAGTTGTATTTAACTTTTATAATTAGCATACAGTTATACAATACAGACAATTATTATAATTTATAGCAACCCACCAATTATGCAGAAGAGCCGACTTAATAATAATAATACTTAAAAATTAGAAATAATTAATATTTAACATAGACAATGGTAAATTTAAGCCAGTTAAATTACTATTAAAAAACAAATTAAAAATAAAGTACTATCTTAACTTACAGCCAATAATCAATCATTTCTATTTTCTAGATCACATAACTTAAACAACATAAATTTGAACTTATTAACAATTTTCTTTTACCTGACATTGTTACTGGACTAATAATTTGTTTTTACTAACAATTATCAAGTTTATTATATACATATTACATCATTTTATATTTTTATTTAGTACACCCTACGGCCTACAAATAAATATTTACTTAATAATTAAGACTAGTGGCATAATTATAGAGTGGTTTAATATCATGTTTATTCTAATTGACGTGAAGCAAGGTACAGATAATTAAATAGTTAATATTAAATAACTAATTTATTGTTTATTAATAATGTTTAGCTTCCAATAACTCTGAGCACTGCAAAAACTCCTTTGTAAGTCCTCAGTACCTTTACCTTTTGTTTTCTATAAATATTTTTCTAATAAACACTGATATTTAGTGCATAAATTGTTTATTCACAATAACTAAATAGTAAAGATTAAAATAAATCAGTAAAAATCAATATATTTTTTATTTTTATCAAATTAGGAACACTTATCTGGTTTTGGTTTGAATTAGTCCGAGTAGCTGTGTCTATGTCATACACATTGTAAATAATGAGCCCTATTTAAAACTAAAACTATAAAAAAAACTATAGTGATTAAATGTATACAGAAACAATAATTAGTTAAATTTACACTTACCTGTGTTTTTTGTTAATCAGTTAAGAATTTATTTACAAACAAATACTATTATATTATACATAATAACATCAACAATTTAGGTCATTTCCCACATCATTGCTTAATGTACACATAAATGTATTATTAAATGTACATTTATGTATTGTTAACCAATGCCCACATACAATATTAAGCATAATAATTTACATTATACTATTGTTACAATAAATTATTTACCAACAATACATTTTAATATACATAACATATAAAATAAAAAAGCACTACATATTAAGCAAATTTCAAATAAATAACTAAAATTTAAATATTATTTCAGAAGAAAAGAAATAACAAGCCAGAGAAAATTATTTTGCGTACAATAGAGTAATGTAGCGTTAGCAAAAAATATTCTATGTCTCACGCTCAAAGTGTCACTTATTTTCCGCATTAGCTTACATTCTCTACAGAATTTTATTATACTATGCCTATATCAAAGTACACCAAAAGCAAACAATATGAAAAAATTGAATTTAAAAAATATTCAAAATTGAACCCAAGAGTTTTATTACAGAATAATTTTTAATTTTATTATAATATAAATGGGGTTGATAAATTATATCAATATTAAAAACCTTTAATAAATGTTTCTCAATTAGAATTGTCTAATTTTTTATCTATTTCAATAGCCTCTTTACTAGGTTTAGAAGGAAACCCATTTTTTATTTCTTAGCATTTAAATAGCAAGATATCTACTGAATTATTTCAATAATAATTATTACACACAAAACCTCTAAAAAATATTTTTTTTCCAGATTTTAAATCATACCGTCCTAATAAGTCAATTTTTTTGAAAAAGCTTATAGGTTTAAATTGTTTTGTTGTGTGTTTGTTATACAGACAAAATATCACAGTTTCCAATTCCCTTAAAAACTATAGAATAAGAATGAAATTATTTTATTAACTTATCTTAATTGAATAATATTATACAACATACCTGAAGAAAATTTAATTTAGGGTCGAAGGTACGTTTTTTAGTGTCTGCTACTAAACCATCGTCTTTTTTCTCGTGTGATGTTGTGACATTACTGGTAAAGGTAAAATAGTTAGGTATTTTTGATGTAAAAGAACTTTTTAGTTTTAAATCCATCACAACAGAACAAATGTTATCAAATTTTTGACATAAGAAGTGTACGTTTCACATGGATGACTTTCAAATATATCAGTGTCAATAGTTCAACAGTCGTGACTCGTGTCCATCGCAGCCCTGAAGATGGACTTAACAAAGTGTCCGAAACGTCGGCAAACAACTGTTGACACGGTATATCTGAGTCATCCACGTAATATTTTATCTGGAAAAGCATTCATTAATCATAATATAGTATCCCTTTTTTCCTCAAATTTAATTTGAGAAAATTCTAACAACAGCCAACAGGCGGCAATCGTTATCAGTTAACACTAGTGATAACATTGTTAGGTAATAAGTCAATGGTCATAAGTGGTAACAAATAGTGATAAATCATGGTGATATAAATTGTATTATTTTATTTAATAATTTAATTTAATTAATGAAACTTATGCATACGGCATACCGTAATACAGATATATTAGATACGGTTAGATACGTAACAAAAAATGCCTACAATGTCCTAATTGACATTCATCAGTCATATATTATAGACTGTGTTTTAATATTATTCCAATTCTCTGCCGACTGCCAAAAAAATCCAGCGACACGGTAGTGGCGCCGAGTGAAGTAAAAAAATTTATCGTAGTGTACACTACCACGAAACTATACACGAAACAACATTATATATCTTTTCTATGACACGAAGCATCGCAATCCTATAAGCACAGTGTGTGCGTTATTCGCGACTATGCACACACGGCACACCATTATTTTTTATCATCATCGGCTTAATTTACCGAATATAAAGTAGTGGTTTAGTGAACGTTCGGATAACTGTTCGACAAGAACCGAATCAAAAGCGTAAATATTCGTTGTATGCCGAGATTTGTGTTTTTTAATTATTTGTGGTATGATGAACATCTAACGAATATTCACAGAACACGGCAAATGAAAATCTCTTTTCTATGGCGTTTGTGTATAGAGACTGGAGAGTGGAGAAGGCTACCTAGTACCTACTACCTTATACCATTGATATATTTACAATATATTGTACGCAATGCTATTACCTATTACCTAAAGTATAAATAGTGTAAATTATCTACGATTTTAACCCGGCAGCGTCAAGGCAAGGAGATTATAATTTTCAAAGAGGTTCTAAGTAAATTAAATTTGTGTTATCTTTGAACTGGGATCATGATTGTTTTGGTGTGATTATGTTATGCGTTTACCGACGTTTCATGAACACCAAAAACCGAATGGTTATACCTACCGGATTGTTGCTTACAGCGGCTTACTCTCGTGTTTTCTTTTTTGTTCAATGTTCATAATTCATTCGTTTTGACTATATAGTGTATACTTGTACGTTACAAACTGTGAACTTATAAGTTTTAGTTAGGTTGTTGTGAAACATGACATTTTTCATAAAATACGTTAATTGAAGTTATTGTAAAATGTGACTTGTCCTTAAACGCCAGTACAGTATTAAAGTAAGTTGTCGTTATCGTGTTAAAATAAAATGTAAAATTGGTTTACAATTAATAATATGCAAACATTTTTACAATCAGGTTTATTGAACCATGTCCATCCCACCTTTTATGTTGGGTGGAAACCCATGGGCTCAGATGATAGTTCAACAACAACAGCAGCAAATCGCTGCTGTACAGGCACAAGCACAAGCACAAGCCGCCCATGCTCAGGCCGCTGCTGTCCATGCTCAGATTCAAGCTCAACAAATGGCAATGCATCAGATGTCATCAGCTCCTCCTCATAGAATACCTGAACCTCTAAGTGAAGAGAAACTACAAGAAAAATGTAAAACATACCTACACAACGTCATTATCCACATAACTTATTTATATGTCATTACCTTTGTTATGTATAGCACAAAAATGGCAACAGATTCAATCCAAAAGATTTGCATCCAAACGAAAGTTTGGTTTTGTCGACGCGCAAAAAGAAGACATGCCTCCTGAGCATATACGTAAAATCATAAGAGATCATGGTGATATGAGTAGTCGCAAATATCGTCATGATAAAAGAGTTTATCTTGGGTAAGCTAAGAGTTAATTAATTTTATTATTTATTTAGTTTTGAAATTATGCAATTTCCTAATAAAATTATTTCTCTAATATGTTAGTAGCCTACTCCAGAGGTTAAAATAAAATGTTAACCGTTAGGCATAGTTTTAACAAATACAATGCAGTTGCATAATAAAAGTTTTTTAAAAACGAATTGGCCATCAAAATGGGTTATTGTCATACTATGCCTCTAATTTAATCTACCTATTGATTTATTTCTAACTAGAGATTTCCATAATGTATAATGTTGATAATTACTAAAAAAACTGTAATTTTCAGAGCTCTTAAGTATATGCCACATGCAGTTTTAAAACTATTAGAAAATATGCCTATGCCTTGGGAACAAATCAGAGACGTCAAAGTGTTGTATCACATTACTGGTGCAATAACATTTGTCAATGAAATTCCTTGGGTTATTGAACCAGTTTACATAGCTCAATGGGGGTAAGTTATATTTAATAGAATTTTCTCTATTTAATAATTTATAAATAATTGACAACATTTCATAAAACAAATATTGAAATTTGTCAAATCGTAATGATACCATATGCATATGTTAAATGTATAAGCCATAATGGTTTGTAATTATATTTGTAGAACTATGTGGATTATGATGAGAAGAGAAAAACGTGACAGACGACATTTCAAACGAATGCGTTTTCCACCATTTGACGATGAAGAACCACCCTTAGACTATGCAGACAATGTTTTAGATGTCGAACCACTTGAAGCTATTCAAATTGATTTAGATAACGAAGAAGACGTTGCTGTTGCTAAATGGCTTTACGATCATAAGCCGCTAGTAAACACGAGGTTAATATTTTAATACTTCTCACTAACATTAAACATTGTGAGTTTTTTTTACATTGTTTCATTCATATGTTTTTAGGCATGTAAATGGGTCTACTTATCGAAAATGGAATTTGACGTTACCACAAATGGCCACATTATATCGTTTGGCTAATCAACTTTTAACCGATCTTGTTGATGACAACTATTTTTATTTGTTCGATCCTAAATCATTCTTCACTGCAAAAGCTCTAAACATGGCTATACCCGGAGGACCTAAATTTGAGCCGCTTATCAAAGATTCAAATCCTGCGTATGTTGTTTAGATTTTACAAAACTATTGCATTTTTGTTATTATTATTTATTTTTATTTTTTTAATTATTTTAGTTTTGTTCGAGATGAGGATTGGAATGAATTTAACGATATTAACAAAATTATAATTCGCCAACCTGTACGTACTGAATATAGGATAGCTTTTCCATACTTGTACAACAATCTTCCACATTATGTTCATTTATCATGGTAAGTTGATTTGTATGTTTTATTGAGTTCACCTTTTATTATTTTTAAAAAGTCTTGTACTAACAATTGACACACAAGTTTTGAAATTGGCATTAAGACATGTGTTTGTTTTACTAAATGTGTGTAACAGTAATATTCATAATGGTTGAAGCTGGTTAGATAAAGTAAATCTAATTTGCGCTGATAGTTATGGACAAATTTTGTATATTTTTTTTTCTCATAAAAGAAAACTATATTAAATATATAGAAAATATATGTATTGATACCACAAAATACCTTTGATAGCTACGTTAGCTGCCGGCAGCGATGTTAGTGGTCTGTAATTCCCACTAAATAGAGTGAAATAGATCTAATTTTTAGTTGTGTTTTGTTCATGTTTACTTGTGTTTTGTTCATGTTTACTTGTGGCAGCTATTAATAATTTTGGTATATAAATGTTCTGCTTGTAGGCAAAGTAAATTACTTTTTTAATTTATTTAAAAATAATGTCATTGACGATACAATTTGGGCAAATGTTATCAAAATTGTAAAATCAATAAATGAAAAAATTGACAATGATGAATTGCGTAGGGGCTCTGATATTGGATGCACAATGATGCCCAACTATTATTTTCTTTTGTGAATATTGTCTGTGATGGTTTCACATAAGAAATAATAGGATATTTCGCATTTCTGAGCATTTTTTATATATTATTTTTTATTGTTATGATGATATAAGCACAGGGGTCTGATATCTGCAAAAATGAATACAGGCTTATAACATTTAGTAATAACGTGGTCTGTGATCTGTTGTTATAAATGTTATTTGGAAAAAATGTATCTGAACGAAATAGTGAATTCTTAAAAAAAATATATAATTTATAATATTAACAAGCAATACTTAGTACGTACTTTTAAAAAAAAATGTTACCGTTATATATCTTTGGCAAACGGGGCTCTGATATTGGATGCACAATGATGCCCAACTGTTATTTTCTTGTGTGAATATTGTCTGTGATGATTTCACATAAGAAATAATAGGATATTTCGCATTGCTGAGCAATTTTTTTATATTATTTTTTACTGTTATGATGATATAAGCACAGGGGTCTGATATCTGCAAAAATGAATACAGGCTTATAACATTTAGTAATAACGTGGTCTGTGATCTGTTGTTATAAATGTTATTTGGAAAAAATGTATCTGAACAAAACAGTAATTTCTTTACAAAAAATATAAATTATAACATTAATAAGCACACTTTCTACGAAAAACAGGTTTCATTTCGATAACGAAAAACACAAGTTCAGCTAGGATAAACAAAGCTAAACGGTGGTATTTTAATTGGCAACTTAATATTGCTAGTTTTCTTAAGGAGCTTCATAATAATACTATTTGAGTGTTAATATGAAATTGTTTTTTTTCTAATTAACATTTACTTTTTTGTATAATAAAAAATTAACTGTGTAATTAATTAGACTAAACTTTCAGGTACCATGCCCCTAATGTTGTGTATATTAAAACAGAAGATCCAGATTTGCCAGCATTTTATTTTGATCCCTTAATTAATCCTATATCTCATAGACATTCTGTAAAAGTAAGTTCTCATTATTTGTTTTACTGTTGTTTTGATTAGATAAATATTTATATAATTCTTTATAATATCAACTTTAGATCAACGAACCGGTTTTTGATGAAGACGAAGAGTTTGAATTGCCACCAGAAGTTCAACCATTCCTTCAAGAAACGCCCGTTTATACCGATAATACAGCAAATGGAATAGCTTTACTATGGGCTCCCAGACCTTTCAATATGCGATCTGGTAAATATTTCTTCATTGGACTTAAAACCCCTTTCAAAATTATCCTAATATTACAGTTATTTTGTTATTCAACAGGACGTTGTAGAAGAGCTATTGATGTGCCATTAGTTAAAAGTTGGTATAGAGAACATTGTCCACCTGGCCAGCCAGTAAAAGTTCGTGTTAGCTATCAAAAGCTGTTAAAATATTTTGTGTTGAATGCTCTAAAACACCGACCGCCTAAACCACAGAAAAAAAGGTAATATAATTCAGTTACCTAAGTATTAAGAATAAATTAAGTATTAATTTATTTATTCAAATTTTTAATTTAGTTTTAAAAAATAATAATGATAAATTTTAGCAATATGAATAATACATTTTTTTTTATCCATATCAACTAGATATTTATTCCGATCATTTAAATTTACTAAGTTTTTCCAAACAACAACATTGGATTGGGTCGAAGCTGGCTTACAAGTATGCAGACAAGGATACAACATGTTAAATCTATTGATTCATCGTAAAAATCTTAACTATCTACATTTGGATTATAATTTCAACTTGAAGCCTGTGAAAACTTTAACTACCAAAGAGAGAAAAAAATCCAGATTTGGAAATGGTTAACAAATTTGTTTTAACAACATATTCTTATTTATATTAACATTGTGTTTTGTTAACTTATAATTCTTAATGTTATTGACAGCTTTTCATTTATGCCGAGAAATTCTGCGGTTGACCAAGTTGATTATCGACTCGCACGTACAGTATAGATTAAACAATATAGACGCTTTTCAATTGGCCGATGGGTTACAATATGTATTTGCTCATGTTGGGCAACTGACGGGCATGTACCGTTATAAGTATAAGCTTATGAGACAAATACGAATGTGCAAAGATCTAAAACATCTTATTTATTATCGTTTCAATACTGTGAGTCCAAGTTTAAAAAAATACAAGTTTACAGAAATACTAATTTTTCTAATTTATAGGGACCTGTGGGTAAAGGTCCAGGCTGTGGATTTTGGGCTCCTGGATGGCGCGTATGGTTGTTCTTCATGCGCGGTATTACACCGTTATTAGAACGATGGTTGGGTAATTTATTGTCCAGACAGTTTGAAGGAAGACATTCAAAAGGTGTTGCTAAAACTGTTACTAAGCAGCGTGTTGAAAGTCACTTCGATTTAGAACTTCGCGCTTCTGTTAGTATAAAATTACTTGTGAATCAAGTTAACTGGTATTAAACTAGTTAATACCATTATATTACAATAAAATACAGTATTTTGATTGCCATGTATTTGTGTCTAGGTTATGCACGATATAGTGGATATGATGCCGGAAGGAATAAAACAAAACAAAGCTAGAACGATTTTACAACATCTGTCCGAAGCTTGGAGATGTTGGAAAGCTAACATCCCGTGGAAAGTAAGTTGTTATTAAATGTTTATGTTGTATATATGGGCGATGAACAACAAATTTGTTTTTTAGGTTCCTGGGTTACCTACTCCCATTGAAAATATGATTCTTCGATATGTAAAAATGAAAGCCGACTGGTGGACAAATACCGCTCATTATAACAGAGAACGTATCCGTAGAGGAGCTACGGTTGATAAGACAGTGTGTAAGAAAAATTTGGGTCGTTTAACTCGATTATATCTAAAGGCAGAACAGGAACGACAACACAACTATCTAAAAGTATGAATGAATCGCTAGTAATAATTATGTACAAATTTATAAATTGTCATATATACATTAGGATGGTCCATACATATCTCCAGAAGAAGCCGTTGCAATTTATACAACTACTGTCCATTGGTTAGAATCAAGACGTTTTGCTCCTATACCTTTCCCACCTCTTTCCTATAAACACGACACAAAATTATTAATCTTGGCTCTTGAACGCTTGAAAGAAGCATACAGGTATTTAAGAGCTACCTATGGTTATATAGCGTGTAATTTTTTTTTTTCACTTACAACATTTTTTTACATAATTTTAGTGTAAAATCTCGGCTAAATCAGAGTCAACGAGAAGAACTTGGATTAATTGAACAAGCCTATGACAATCCTCATGAAGCTCTTTCAAGAATTAAACGTCATCTTTTGACTCAAAGAACGTTCAAAGAAGTAAGTACAATAAGCATTATGCTCATAGTATCATGCATTTGAGCCATCGAAGCTAAAAATTATTTTTCAACAGTATTAATATTTTATACTTTGACTAAGTTTGATCGAAATTTAAAGTTCAATATTTTAGTAGTTTATATATATTTCATTTATAAAAAGCCTCTGCTGATATCATTGGCAAACGAGACTAACTTAAGGGATATAATATATTAGTTTGTTCTTTTTTTATTATATTAGGAATAGATAAGTTATAATTATTAATTTATTTAAAAGTAATAATAAAAAAATGGACAATGATGAATTGCGTAGGGGCTCTGATATTGGATGCCCAATGATGCCCAACTATTATTTTCTTTTGTGAATATTGTCTGTGATGATTTCACATAAGAAATAATAGGATATTTCGCATTGCTGAGCATTTTTTATATATTATTTTTTACTGTTATGATGATATAAGCACAGGGGTCTGATATCTGCAAAAATGAATACAGGCTTGTAACATTTAGTAATAACGTGGTCTGTGATCTGTTGTTATAAATGTTATTTGGAAAAAATGTATCTGAACAAAATAGTAATTTTTTTAAAAAAAAATTATAATTTATTATATTAACAAGCAACGCTTTGTACGTATTTTAAAAAAAAATGTTACTGTTATGATGATGTCATTGGCAAACGGGTCTTGAGGTATATTTGTATTAATTATATTAACTTAAGGGAAATAATATATTAGTTTGTTCTTTTTTTTATATTAGAAATAGATAAGTTATAAATATTAATTTCTTTAAAAGTAATAAAGAAAAATGGATAATGATGAGTTGCGTAGGGGCTCTGATATTGGATGCACAATGATGCCCAACTGTTATTTTCTTTTGTGACTATTGTCTGTGATGATTTCACATAAGGAATAATAGGATATTTCGCATTGCTGAGCATTTTTTATATTTTGTTTTTACTGTTATGATGATATAAGCACAGGGGTCTGATATCTGCAAAAATGAATACAGACTTATAACATTTAGTAATAACGTGGTCTGTGATCTGTTGTTATAAATGTTATTTGGAAAAAATAAATCTGAACGAAATATAACTTCTACTTAAAAAAATATTTAAAGTACATGTATAGTAAGGCTTTTTAGATGTTTAAAGATTGGCAATTTGCTTGCACGTTTAAAATCCATTGAGTTAACAAAAATAATGAGTATTCACCTACTATTTAGTTAGTTTATCATTTCTGCCAAATAAGATTTGCTTAAAAATGTTTAAATATATTATTTTCCTGGAGTTACTTATGTATAGAATGAAAACCCGTTAAAACAAAATTTATTTATTTTTTGAAATATGTTTATTTTAGGTAGGAATAGAATTCATGGACTTGTATTCTCACTTGGTACCTGTTTATGATGTAGAACCATTAGAAAAAATTACAGATGCTTATTTAGATCAGTACTTGTGGTATGAAGCTGACAAACGTCGTTTGTTTCCTCCATGGATCAAACCATCCGACACTGAACCTCCACCATTGCTTGTATACAAATGGTGTCAAGGTAAATTATGTTTTAGTAACTTAAACTTTAAAAAAAACAAGGATTATTACAATATTTACACCTTAAAAGTATTACAGTTTCCATAAAAAAGTATTACAGAAGTAACATTAAGTACATATTGAGTATTTTACTCTTGATTTAAGTTTCTTACTCTAATACTCGTATGTATATTTCTTTTATCAAAAAAATTCCAACTCAAAAATGCATATTTTGTTACAGTTTGCTTACACCTTTTTTTTTATTGATTATATTGTTTTTTGTGCAACTTTTCTGTTTTGGATTTTAAGATCAGTTCTATTGTTTGATTTGTCAAAGCTAATGACCAATTTGTTGTGCTACAATAGGTGTAAATAATTTACAAGACGTGTGGGATGTCAGCGAAGGCGAATGCAATGTTTTGCTTGAATCTAAGTTTGAAAAAATCTATGAAAAGATAGATTTGACATTACTGAACAGATTGCTGAGGTTGATAGTGGATCATAACATTGCTGATTACATGACTGCCAAGAGTAATGTCATCATAAATTATAAGGTACAGTGTTTATTTCAAAATTCAAATAATTTTGCTTCAACTAAAATTTAACGACTAAACAAATTACAGGACATGAACCATACAAACAGTTATGGTATAGTTAGGGGTTTACAGTTTTCATCGTTTATAGTTCAATATTATGGATTAGTTTTGGATTTGTTAGTTTTGGGACTGCAGAGAGCATCCGAAATGGCTGGACCCCCTCAAATGCCTAATGACTTTTTAACATTCCAAGATGTTCAAACCGAAGTGGCACATCCTGTACGGCTTTATTGTCGATACATCGATAGGGTGCACATATTCTTAAGGTATTATTAGTTTAAAATAACAATTTTAGAACTGTACATAAGCTGTATAATGTACTATTTAACTCGATAATGTTTTAAAGGTTTACTGCTGAAGAAGCTAAAGATCTAATACAGCGTTACTTAACTGAGCATCCAGATCCTAACAATGAAAATATTGTTGGTTACAACAACAAAAAATGTTGGCCTCGAGATGCTAGAATGCGTTTGATGAAGCATGACGTGAACTTGTAAGTTTTGTTTTCAGAGTTGGCCAATGTGGTTACATGGATTTTTGGAATTTACTAAAAAAAAAAATCTAACCTGTTGGGCCTTTTCTGTTTAAAAAAAAACCTGAGTTATTGCCAACTCTGTTGTAAAATGTAATTTGAATAGCATAATATAAATGCATGTATAAATTTGTTTTATGTATAGGGGAAGAGCTGTTTTTTGGGATATTAAGAACAGGTTGCCACGTTCAACTACTACGATACAATGGGAAAACAGTTTTGTGAGCGTTTATTCAAAAGACAATCCTAATCTGTTATTCAACATGAGTGGTTTTGAATGTCGTATTTTACCCAAAGTAAGTAAAAATAAAATAAAATTTGTTCTGTTTATGCACTAGATTTTGAACATAGTATTAGCTTATTTTTATTTTATATTTATTTCTCAAATTTTTTTTTAGTGCCGTACAATTCATGACGAACTTACACATCGAGATGGTATTTGGAATTTACAAAACGAAATCACCAAAGAAAGAACTGCTCAGTCATTTTTGCGAGTTGATGACGAATCATTGCAAAGATTCCATAATCGGGTTAGACAAATTTTAATGGCTAGTGGTTCGACAACATTTACAAAGGTTTGATATTATAAACAAATAAAATTATTTTAAAAAATTGTACGTTTTAACTGATATTTTAAAACAGATTGTCAACAAATGGAATACGGCACTTATTGGATTGATGACTTATTTCCGTGAAGCTGTTGTAAATACTCAAGAACTATTGGACTTATTAGTGAAATGTGAAAACAAAATTCAAACACGTATCAAGATTGGTCTCAATTCGAAAATGCCTTCAAGATTCCCTCCCGTGGTGTTTTACACACCTAAAGAGCTCGGCGGTTTGGGAATGTTGTCTATGGGTCATGTTTTAATTCCTCAAGTAATGAATTATTTTACCATACATAATATGTATACAGGATTAAACTATTAATGACGTTATAATTTATTTTCTAGTCTGATTTAAGATGGTCAAAACAAACCGATGTGGGCATCACTCATTTTCGTTCAGGAATGAGTCATGATGAAGATCAGTTGATTCCAAATTTATATCGTTACATACAGCCTTGGGAATCAGAGTTTATTGATTCTCAGAGAGTATGGGCAGAGTATGCATTAAAAAGACAAGAAGCCAATGCACAAAACCGGTATGATTGTAAATATTAAACAGCCGAGTTCGGAACTAAAAGCATAACACAAAATAGGCCCTAAAAACCTTATTATAAGCATTAAAATATATATATTTTAAATTTGCTCAGATTTTTTGTAAAATACCAAAATTACATAAAATAAGTAATATCCTCACTTTGCTTTATTTTATGACATGCCAAATAAAAAAAATTAATATTGTTGATTGGTCATTAAATTTAAATATAGAAATGTACGATTATTGTTTAATATAACAGTGTATGACATTTTGATGAAATACTTTAACTCTTCCATTTTAATTTCAGACGTTTAACTTTGGAAGATTTAGAAGACAGTTGGGATAGAGGTATTCCCAGAATCAATACCTTGTTCCAAAAAGACAGACACACTCTTGCCTACGATAAAGGTTGGAGAATTCGAACAGAGTTCAAACAATACCAGGTAAAATATTTCAAATCCTAAAACAAAATATCATTAATTTGTATGTTTTTAAAAGTAATTTTATTTAATTTTGTTCAATTTACTTATATCTAAATAATATTTAATTTTTATTAAATAAACATTTATATAATTTTTCCTGTCATTGAATCGCTAGTAATCAATTTACAGTAATGAAAATATCACAATATCGATATTGTTGAAGACTCAATAGTTATTTTATGATTTATTGTGATATTAAATGTTTTATTTAGGTTCTCAAGCAAAATCCTTTCTGGTGGACTCATCAAAGACACGATGGTAAATTATGGAATTTGAATAATTATCGTACAGACATGATACAAGCATTGGGTGGTGTCGAAGGTATATTGGAACACACATTATTCAAAGGAACTTATTTCCCAACATGGGAAGGTCTATTTTGGTAAGTCCAAATTTTAGCAAAAATGAGATTTAAGCCAGAAAAAACGTGTTTAGTTATCACAACTAACAAGTATGATATTTAATCTTTTTTTTTTTTTTTTTTAGGGAAAAAGCGTCTGGTTTTGAAGAATCTATGAAGTATAAGAAACTTACTAACGCTCAACGTTCGGGTTTGAATCAAATACCAAATCGTCGGTTTACATTGTGGTGGTCACCAACTATTAACCGTGCTAATGTATACGTCGGTTTCCAAGTGCAACTTGATTTGACTGGAATATTCATGCACGGAAAAATCCCTACACTGAAAATTTCTTTAATTCAAATATTCAGAGCCCATTTATGGCAAAAAGTACACGAATCTATTGTAATGGATCTTTGTCAGGTTAGTGAATTATTTGGACTAAATTATTTGTAAAATGTATCTTAATAAAATATAAAATACAGGTGTTTGATCAAGAACTAGATGCATTAGAAATCGAAACCGTCCAAAAAGAAACTATTCACCCTCGTAAATCGTACAAAATGAATTCATCTTGTGCTGACATATTACTGTTTGCTGCTTATAAATGGAACGTTTCCAGACCATCGCTTTTAGCAGATTCAAAGTAATAATTTTAAAATGTTTTTTTTATTTATATAAATATAATTAATTTGTATTATTCTTTTCAGAGATACTATGGATAATACAACCACTCAAAAATATTGGCTAGATGTCCAACTTCGCTGGGGTGATTACGACTCACACGATGTTGAACGTTATGCTAGAGCTAAATTTTTGGATTATACTACTGACAATATGTCAATATATCCCTCACCCACTGGTGTACTAATTTCAATTGACTTGGCTTATAATTTACACAGGTAATTTTCTATTGACTTTTTAAAAAATGTTGTTAATATAAAAAAAAAAATTATTTTTCAACTTTTAGTGCATATGGTAATTGGTTCCCTGGTTGTAAACCTTTAATTCAACAAGCCATGGCAAAAATTATGAAAGCTAATCCTGCTCTGTATGTATTGAGGGAACGTATCCGTAAAGCCCTGCAACTATATTCGTCTGAACCTACCGAACCTTACTTATCGAGTCAAAACTACGGAGAGTTGTTCTCTAATCAAATTATTTGGTAATAATATATATATAATAATTTTTTTTTTAGTTAAACTTTTTATTTAGTTTGCATTGTTGTTTATGTAATTTGTTTGGTTTTCTTGTTTTATTATTATAGGTTTGTTGACGACACCAATGTATACAGAGTAACTATTCATAAAACTTTTGAAGGTAATTTAACGACCAAACCAATAAATGGTGCGATTTTCATATTCAACCCACGTACCGGACAACTGTTTTTAAAAATTATTCATACTTCGGTTTGGGCTGGTCAGAAACGTTTGGGACAAGTAAATTAATATTTTTTTCAACATAGTGTTTCATTGAGTTAATATATATTTTTTTTGTAATTCGTAAACTTAGTTGGCTAAATGGAAAACTGCTGAAGAAGTTGCAGCTTTAATTCGGTCTTTACCAGTTGAAGAACAACCCAAACAAATTATTGTTACTCGTAAAGGCATGTTAGATCCCCTTGAGGTAAGTTGGTACAAAGAAATGTTTTTTTTTTTTAAATTTTAAAAAAAAAATTTTGTTTTTTATTGGTTTATAGGTGCATCTTTTGGATTTCCCTAATATTGTAATCAAAGGATCAGAACTGCAATTACCTTTCCAAGCATGTTTGAAAGTTGAGAAGTTTGGTGATCTTATATTAAAAGCTACTGAACCTCAGATGGTTTTGTTCAATTTGTACGATGATTGGTTGAAAACAATTTCTTCTTACACGGTAAGTTTTGTTAATAATAATATTATTTTAACTTATTGAAGAAAAACCTAACAATTATTATAAAAAAATTATTCTACTTTCATAGGCATTTTCTCGATTAATTTTGATCCTGAGAGCTTTGCATGTTAACACTGAGCGTACCAAAGTAATATTGAAACCAGACAAGACAACTATCACTGAACCACATCATATTTGGCCTACGCTGAGTGACGATGAATGGATTAAAGTGGAAGTACAACTAAAAGATTTGATTTTAGCCGACTACGGAAAGAAAAACAAGTATTTACTCTTCACTAATAGTTATTTTTTTTTAAATCCAGTTTATTATAATACTTGAATTATTTTTTTAGTGTGAATGTTGCATCTTTGACACAATCTGAAATTCGAGATATTATTTTGGGAATGGAAATAAGCGCTCCGTCTGCACAAAGACAACAGATCGCTGAAATAGAAAAACAGACCAAGGAACAATCACAATTGACAGCGACTACAACGCGAACTGTTAATAAACACGGAGATGACATCATTACTTCCACTACTTCTAACTATGAAACTCAGACTTTCAGGTATAACAATTAATCATTTTTTTTAATATTTTCAAGCTCGACATTTAATACTTTAAATTATTGTCATTTTTGTTAGCTCCAAAACCGAGTGGCGAGTCCGTGCAATTTCCGCAACAAATCTCCACCTCCGTACAAACCATATTTACGTGTCCTCAGACGATATTAAAGAGACTGGTTATACGTACATATTACCTAAAAACGTTTTAAAGAAATTTGTCACAATATCCGATCTCCGTGCTCAGGTACTTTTTGTTTTTCAAATAAAACAATATTTAGGTAATTTATTAATGTTTGTATTGCCTGTAGATTTGTGGATATTTGTATGGCGTTAGCCCTCCAGATAATCCCCAAGTGAAAGAAATCAGATGTCTTGTGATGCCTCCTCAATGGGGAACACATCAGACTATACACGTACCGTCGCAGTTGCCGAATAATCATCATTATCTTGCCGACATGGAACCACTCGGATGGATACACACGCAACCCAATGAATTACCTCAACTATCACCACAGGTATGTCAACCTTTTTGTACAATTAAAATCCTCAGAAATGTCCAAAATACTTAACTTTTAGTATTTGAACTTTAAAATACAAATTAGTAAAACCTGTGTTGATTTAAATTGATAATTGGTTTTCCATTTGGAGATAATGTTTAAAACAAGACAATTTTTTTATTTTTATCAAATAATTTGTTCTTATTGTTGTTAGGATATAAGTACACATGCTAAAATAATGTCTGACAATGCCTCTTGGGACGGAGAGAAAACTGTAGTCATTACTTGCAGTTTCACTCCAGGTTCATGTTCGTTAACAGCTTATAAGTTAACTCCCAGGTAATTGAATTGCATTCATGGTAAAATTATTATAAAACAACTGAAAATATATGCATTTTTTTTTTTTTTAGTGGATTTGAATGGGGACGTCAAAATACAGACAAAGGTAATAATCCTAAAGGATATTTGCCGAGTCATTATGAAAAAGTACAAATGCTGTTATCGGACAGATTCCTTGGATTTTTCATGGTTCCCGCACAAGGATCGTGGAACTATAACTTTATGGGTTTGTGCTTTTTTTTTATTTTTTATATATAATTAAATATGATCTAACATTTTGTAACAATGTTTAGGCGTGAGACACGATGCAAACATGAAGTATGAACTTCAGTTGGCCAATCCAAAAGAATTCTACCACGAGATTCACCGACCGGCACATTTCTTGAATTTCTCGTCTTTAGAAGACGGAGACGGAGTCGGCGCTGATCGAGAAGATGTATATGCTTAATGTGTATTCTAATTATTTTATGTTAAGCTTAGGTTTTATAATAGTATAATGATGATTTTTTTTTCAAAATATTGCTGTTACTGAATTGATAATCGACAGCCATAGAAGACTGTCATAGTCATTGTCAATATATTTTTACTTTAATGATACTTTGATATTTGAATAATAAATTGATTATAAGATATTATCTCTTAAATTATTTTATACTTGTAAAATTCAACTTGATATGCTAAAAACTGTCTTAAAAGTTTTTTTAAAAAAATGTGCTTATGATTTTAAGTGCACTTATTTTTCTAAGGTCTCAAAGTATTTTTGTAAACAAGCAAAACACTTGTTTAAACAAAATATAAATGTAATTTTATTGGGCATTTCTAAAAAATTTGGCAATCCATCAAAAAAAGCTTTAACAATTATAAGTTAAATACAAATAGTTTTTTTTAAATATTATTTACAAGGTTATTGAAATCTTAATGAAAATAGTTAAGACAGAAAATGCAATAAATTATAACGAAGAGAATTAAATATTATCATTTTTTTTTTTTTATGACTACCATATTTGGTGAACTTTTTATTGAGCTTCTAAAGCAATCTTCTTTGTGGTATCTTTTTCTTCCACACTGGTTTCTAGTGAAAAAAACAAGTATTATCGACAAAATCATGATTAAAAAAAAACTTTTCAAATAATTACCTGGATTAACGACTGGCAATTCATCTGATGGTACGTGTGGTAACGTGTCGATAACTTTTTCATGTTCTTTTGAAGTTAATGCATCCAATTCTGCTTCAACAGCGTCTTCGTCTTCGGTTGACAAAGCTCCACTCAACAAATCGGTTATTTCCTATAATCCAGCATTTAAAAAATGTATTACATTTTTTTTTTCTAAATAATTCAACATACTTTCTGTTTTTCAATTCCTTCTTTAGTTTCATCCAACAGTTGTTCAATATGTTCTATGTTTAATAATTCATTGGCATTTTTCAGTGCCATGTTTCCAATTTTCAGACTTTCGATAACCTAAACAAAGTATCAATAATTAATAAATAAACACTTTTTTTTTTTAAATGTTAATAAGTAGAAAACATTTATCAAGATTTTTGGAATGTGTATAAAGTTTTCATAATCTTATTTCGTCTCATATAATTTTTTTTTAGGTTAAACTGTTAAAGCATTCAAGTGAGTATAAGTTTCGTTAATTACACAATTTTTAAATTTGTTCACATTTTTTTTGTATTGTGAATGCAAAAAATAGTATAAGTGCAAATTGTACACACTATACATTTACTTCAGACTTTGATCCATAAAAACATAGTTAAACAATTATTTAGGTGAATGTAATGTTGGACGTTAGTCAATGTTTTTCAAAAGATTTCAATAATGTGAAATTTACCTTAGACTCGATTTGAGTGTATTCTAAATCTTGAATTAACTTTTCAACAGTATCCAAAGCTGCTTCGGTACGTTCGAGTTGTTCCGTCTGATATTTCTTTTTTCTCAATAAGAGTTTCGCTTGTCTGTAAAACAAATGTACACCGTAAAAAAAATCCCAACTTCTTAATAACACTGATTTTTAAAGAATACAATTTCTGTAATTAGAACTGCATTATATAAACTGGTAGATATTTAATCAAAGTATTGAGTATTTATTCCCGAAGTAATGTCCTAAAGACTCTTCTAGTAATACTTATAAAATTTTACTGACATAAGCATTTGAATTTTAGAAATTGTCAATCATAATATTTCAAAACATATCTTGAATATGACAATTGAATAAATAAAAACAGATCATAATCATTTGTTTTATTTTAAGCAATAGTGAGTTAGCAGTTGAAATTAATTAATTGCTTCTTTTATAAATACAAAGAAACAAATTTAGTGTTACAGCCAATAAGTATTATGTTTTTAAAAATATTTTATTAACATTAATGACATAAGCGCTAAGTAAGAAATGAATAATACAACGTGATATTACAACTTACTCTCTCCTATTTTCTGAAATTAATTTTTTAGCCAGTTCTCTTTCTTTTTCTAGTAATATTTCCACTCTTTGTTGATACCGCTTTAATGTATCACGCTGCTGCTTCATTTGCTAGTAATAATAATATTGAACAATTTTATTAAAAATAATTAACACGTTAAAATAAATTGATCATGTAAATATAATTATTAATTACCAAGACAGCACGGTCATGATGAGTAACTCGGCTGACTTTGGGTTTACCAAAAAGCATTCCCATCCTTTAAAGTTTAACGATCACGACTTCTTTAATAAGTTAATTAAAATATTTAAAACAACATAAATATAAATTCTACAATTCAAAATAATCAAGTTGCATACAATTAATAGATTTATTGGTGTTGAAAAAAATATACTGTTTATGATTTTAAAATTGAAATTGCCTTAATGACAATTGCAATAATTTTTTTATAATTCGTATTTCATAATGAAAATTTGATTTATTGTTGTAATTACGCTTGATTCGTCTACTATAGACCATTATAGTTATTATTTATATAATTAATAAAGGAGTATTGTCATTGATAAAAAAGATAACATCTTTCTTTGTTGATTGGTATTATCAGTTAAAATTATTAGTATTATCCATGGCATGAAGTTGGCAATATTTGATAACAGGAAGAGTCATGGCGTTTGTGTATGTTCTGCTGCCATGCCGTATTATTCTAAGGGGCAAAACACAAGTACTCCTAAAACCGAAATCGCCTACTTTGTGTTCTTTACTTCAGTTACTAATTTTTCAATAGCATATAGAACCGTGTTTAAATACCATCAAATAACAATTGGGTTAACGATCAAAGCAGAAACTAAACAGTTACAAACACACAAAAGAACACCAAACAAATTTGCACGCTTAATATAAAAACAATTATTACATGCCACTACCTGGAACGACATTTATCTAAACCGACCTTTTTCCTTTGTTCCAAAAAATATTCAGTCTGAAAAACGTAGGGAAATAGTTGGTCTTACACATCGATATAAACCACATAATCCTTCGAATGCTACTAGATAGCTGGCTAAAGACGTCTGCTGAATTTTGGTCGATACTGTTTACCCTTGTAAATAGTTTTCAACTGTCTAAATCCTTATAAATCTTAGACATGTAAAGAGTAGTGTTAAAAAATTAGTTTTTCCTACTTATCCCCGCCAATTTATAGTAGGCTATTCAAATAAGAAATACCTAAAACTTCAGATTTCTAACTGAACTTAATGACGGAAATTTTCATTTTTCTTTAAAAAGTACTTGAAGACTAATCGAAATTTTTACGATTTAAAAAAAAAAGATTATGATAGCTGAAGTATGACTGTTCAAAACCACTCTTGATATTTCATAAAAATATTTTTTAGCAAGTTTTCAAGCTATCAGTTTCAATGGGTTGTAGTCAGCAACTCCTCGATAAATACAATTTTTTATCGTGATTTTCGTGAAATATCAAGTGTTTTTGAAGTCTTATTTCAGCCACAGAAAAGATTTCATCTATTCTGTGTTTGAGCGTTAAGAATATTTTTTTTTTGTTATAAGCAATTTCGATTAGTTCCATGTTCATTTAATAAAAGGCGCATTTCATACACCTTTTGGGTTTTTTTTTTTTAGTTTTGAAGTAGCTACAGAGCTAGTGTGGTTACTGGTTATGATGAATATGCTTATGACCACGATCATATACTATACTAAGGCGGTGGTAACTGGTAAGCCCTTAGTAACCCGGCACATAATGACACTGATAAGAGATAACTGCAAAACTGTGCAGTGTGCTAAGGAGAGTTGTCCACTCTCTACCAAACACAATATTGATTGATTTACATTTTACACGGGTAATTATTCAATCAAATGAACTTATTTAAGTGACTTTTGTTAATTAAAGTCTGCCAGACACGATGTTCTCGTTAAGGAAGTCGATGGTGACGTCTGCCGTTCGGTACGGCCGATGGCGATCATTTTTAACGGACGCTTACAGATGTGAAGACGTATGGCAACAACGGTTGAGCTGTCCGTTGTTGAAAAAAGTCGACCACGAGACCATGTACAGCAAACTGTCAAATTTATTTGACAATCATGCCAAACAGATAAGCGCTGTAGACCTGGACGTGTTCGCCAACTCGTTGACTGACGCCACGTATTTGGACGAGTTGGATGATTTAACTCACAAGTTCAGGTTGTCGTCCCAGGCAATGACATTGCTACCGTCTACACATCATGCTGTAGTACGGATTTTCTTAGAAACCAACAAAGTCGAAGACCTTATGAGAATACTCAAAGACAGATTGAATTACGGCATATTTCCCGATTATTATTTAAACAACTTGCTAATGGATAAGTTTTTGAAGGAAAACAATTTCCGCGATGCAGCTAAAATCGCTGCCAATCAAATGTTACAAGAAGAATTTGACAACGAAATTACCAAATCCCTGGCATTATATTCGTGTGTCAAATACATAACAAATCCAACCGATTGGGGAGAAGTCGATGATGTCGTAACTGAAGATCAAAAAGAATCTGACGACGAAGAAGAAGATACAAGAGTACGTGTCGGTTTTCTGAGAAATCCATATTTCGATGGCCATTTCGACTTGAAAGAAGCCGATCAGTTAATAGGAAAAACTTTAGTGGCGCTTAGTAAGAACAGTAATGTAACTATTGGAAATAGTATTAAGGTCATCGGCTTGGCCTACTATAACCAATGGGACAAACTGATAGATTTCTTGATTACGCTCGATAGCGCTGTGTTTCCGGAGACGGTCCAATTAGGACTTGCTACTGTAGATAAATACAAACCAGGAAACGCTGAACACCTGACAACTGCATTCAATAAATTAAAATTAGACACTAGTAGTTTGGTTCTAGAAGCTGAAAATGCTGTTAAAGAATCTGTTGATGCCAACGAAGAAAAAGAAATTCAGCTTCAACAAAAAGTAATTATTGACCCTGTTCAAAATGTAAGTATTGATTAATCAATACAATTTTTTTTTCAGATTTACAAGGATTGGGAAACCTTTAGACCCGAAGAATTAAACAGGCATTTGGATCGTCAAAATAAAATGAAGAGACTCCAAAAGATACAACAAATCAAACAAGATCTACAAGAAAAGGAACAAGTATTATTCTTTTTCGATGAAGAAAGCAAGTACGATCTAATTAAAGAAGAGAAAATGAAGAGAATGAAGAAAAAGGTGGAAAGAAAGAATCCCAAGGAAGACATTACTTATATACCTCCAGAAATTCGGCAACCGGGATTTAAGCGTGAATAGACCGATACAAGTCATTCTAACATTTTTAAATACATAATTTGTTTAGATTGAAGGCCATTCATTCAACATTCTCAAATTTGACTGATGAGAATTTGGTATGTATCATTAATTATAAATTAAGTAAAATATACAATTTATATTTGTTGTTTTTTTAATATACGAGTATTTTGCTTGTTAGTATTTTTGTTAGAAAATTCATTATTATAATACCAAAATCAATGCAAAATGTTTTATAATTATTACTCGATTAATTTGGCTATAGCAGGATTAAAAACTCATCTGGACCCAGCACAGCAACCATTAAATGTAATATTATAAATTAAGACCGCTCTCCAATTAACCTTTGGCTAATATATTTTTATTCTGTCACAACTACTCCATAAATGGTTCAGTCTTTTTTTATTTTCAACTCAAATGTATTAAATATAAAAAAAGCTAATAACATCACAAGAACATTATTAAAAAATGGTTTAGTACAAAAAAAAACAACTTATTAAAAATAAAAAAATTTGTTTAATAAAAATTCTGAACTTTTACCTTATGATTAATTCGTAACACTGATAAAAGAAAATATCAATTGAATGAACAGTGTATGAGCTCACGTACAGTCTTATATTGAGGAAATAAAAATATTAACAACATTTTTAATTGAAAATAACAACTTAAAATGTATTTTAGTTAAGTAAATGACAAAATTATGTCTGTTTATCAAACATTACTAAACGCACAATAAGAAAACCTTTAAAGGATTTCAAAATTACTTACAAATCAGTTAATATTAACTTAAAAATACAATGTTTTTAAATACAACGTAATTAATTATTTTTACTTATATTATTTTTGATATTTAAGTATTTTCGTCAGAAATAATAACCTTGCACATTTTTAGTATATTTTAACAATATAAACTCAAAATAAATGTGAAATAAAACAATGGTAATTATAACAATTATATTATAATGCATTAAAATTACCCTAAATTCGTTAAAAAAAAAATAATACTACTTAACAGCAGATCAAACGTCCTTAAAATAAAATCTAGGTTAATTTGTTATAGAGAAAAAAATGGACGGTGAAATGAGTCGTGCCACAAAAGGCCATAATTATCATTAATTACTTACACTGTTTTCCTTAACAATCATAGTACATAGTGGTCGTAACTTAAAAATTGTAATGTGAAGTGTGTGTATATATATATATGTGTGTGTGTATATAATACATATAATCAAGTTCAATGACAAAAAAAGTCTTTGTTTATAAAAAGTATAGAAGTTCGTCCAACCCTGTATTGGGTGAACTTCTGAGTGTTTGCCCAGTTAAAAAGGCCAACTTGTGGGCCAGTTGACAATGGGCGGGAACACGCACAGTACCTGACCAATTGTAATACATGTGACACAATTTATAAGTAAGTTTCTGCATTATATCAGGCGGAAAGTGCAGGGAATCCTCAATGACATGATAATGGGTAGGGGTTACCGTACCCTGTCTTACGTGTTGTGAAATAAGGAAGAAATCGTATCTGTAATTACATACAACAAAATTAGAAACAATTATTTATTGGTAAATACCAAACAAAACAAACCAAAATCAAATTTCCTATAGCAGGTTACCACTATAAACAGGAAATCGCCATAGTACCAAAATAAACAAAATATGCAAGAACACTTTTTGTTATTAAAATAGTTATTTATAAATAAAACAAATTTTGTGAAAACTAAAAATATTGAAAATTATGAATACTTTGCGTGTTGATAACTCCGTGATATATAAATTTCTCAATGGATATGATAAGTTATTAATTTACTTATATTTTTATCCAAGGAAACACAATACTTCTAGTGTAAGTGTAGTTTAACTTCCTTTAAAACAATTTACAAGTCGAAAGTTTTACAAATAAATAAATTGTATTCACAAAACAGAGAAAATTGTTTTGTACAATAGGATAATATGAAAACACATAACCTTATCTTTAATTGGGTAGTCCAAACCCTTAAAATGAAATACAGAAGTTAACCACCAAAATTACATGATAACATACACAAAACCATTTTCTAAAATACTTTTACTTTAATTTTTACCCATGTTATAGTAACAAAAACGTATAAAGCTTTGAAGATTTGTGAAAAATTATCTATTAACTTATAAAATAAAAAATAATGAATAATATTTTCCCACAAATTTAGGTGCCAATAAAAATTGTTTTAAAGACAACAAATTATAAGAAAATAAAAATTATACTATTTCAATAATTATACTTAACAGTAAAGTAAATAACCCCCAATGAAATCCTATGAACCCATATTTTTGGGTCAATACCAAAAATTTGGGTACAAACAACAACAAAAACTGTCACTGCATTTTTTTATAATGCCAACTTAGATTTGAAAATGTCATATTCTTACTTGGTAGGATCTGTAACCACAGTGTCAATAATAGTACCGGGTGCGGGATTTTGGATTCCTTGTTTTGTAAAGAAACGAGCGCTTATCCTCTTGGTTACTATTAAAAATGCCAATGGAACAGAAGCAGCACCATAAAATTGTTCAGTAGCCGCCTACAATAATGAATATTGTTATAAGTCAAACAAAACAATTAAATCATTTATATTTAATCATTTTTATTACCTTCAACAGTTTAACTTCGGTTTTGTGGACGTAGGATATCTGGCCATCACCAACACCGTCTCTGTAAATGACAATTGCAGTTGGCAAAGCGCCATTTATCATTTTGTATTTTGCCAATGCCTCTGAAAGTAAAATTTTTTAATTAATACCAAAAAAGTTGTATAAAAGTTCAACAATCTAGAAGTCCTATGATTAAATAATACGCTTACTACTTATACTGGCGGCAAAATGATTGGACAGCTCTTCTCCACTTCTATGCGGTTCGACACAGCTGAAGTAGCAAGTATGAGCGTCGTTCATGGTGGCAACCAATGCGCCATAAGAAATATTTTTGTTTTGACTATCATGACATACGTCGTATCCAACAATCATCATACCCTATAGGATTTTCAATAAATAGAATTATAACATTTAAGTACAAAATCGCAACAGCTCATCAAATATTAACCTTTTTGGGTATAGTAACAAGCCATGGAGCACCACCGATTTTACAATTGATTTGAATAGCCACTTTTGTCACAACAGACATGTTGTTCTTTTGAACGTTTTTCAGAAGGACCACTTGAGAAGGTACTATAAGAGAAGCAAATACATAGTTTCCAAAATATAAATGACAAAAAACTATTGTAAAACAGAATAAATAAGTTTTAATAAATTACCTGCGCGGTCAACACACAATTTCCTTTTAATCATACTATATACATCTCCTCTTGCTGAAGGGATCACACATAGTATCATTGTAGGGTTTCTTTCGTTTATAACTTGTTCCAATGTTGTCATTAGTGCATTAGACCTGGTATCCCTTAATGGCACTCTGAACATATTCAATTATGTTTATGAAGATAAATGTCAAAGAAAGATGCACACAAATTATTTTAATATTAACGATAAATGCTTACATGACGGGCTGCGGTAGTGAAAAAGACATTCCTTGTCCAGCCTTATAAAGGCTTTGGGCGAAACCCTGTATATCTCTAATAGAGTCTTCAGGGCCCAAAATAACCCAAGTCTTCATCACCGCACAAGTATACATCGGGCTACTACGCAGATGCTTGGTCCAATCTGCTTCCATTGCTCCGTTATAATCCCCCCTGTTGCTCTTGATTTGTTCTGGAAGCAACGTACGCCCTGTCACTTCGACGAGGTTTTTGCTTAATGACAAATTCCAATCCTTTAATTCTTGAACAGACTGTAAATGCATTTTAAGTTAAATATTTTTAATTATTAAAAAATTTCAGTTTTAAATTCATCAACAAACTTTTTCCGACGATAAAAGGCGCTGAGCAAAGTTCACAAGTCGTTTCACTCTTTCATTTGGATTTACACGTGTGTAAACTGCCATTTCTTTCATTAAAGTAAAATTGTTTCTGAAACAACCATTTAAAAATTAATATTTAACAAGGTTAGACACAATAAGTCATTTAGTGCTCGTGTATAAAGTTAAATGTTTTTTTTTTCCTACGTCAAGTTAATAAATTAAATGTTTTTAACAAACACCACATGACTTTGCACAAGTTATAAACTAAAAATAAAAATTTATAATAATAATAACTAAAATAAAAATTTATAATAATAATAACTAAAATAAAAATGTTTTTTTATTTAAACAAATATCCAAGTATTAATTTCAAATAAGTTTTTATTAGTGCAAATTTAAATAAATGATACATTTTCTATTTCAAATCTAAACTTTTTTTTTCATAAATGGACTTTTCAACCGAATAGCACACTAAGATGTGCTAATATAAATAAATTGTTTACAACCGAAATGCACGTCGTTAATAAATATTTTTAAAGTCATATGCCAAAAATAAACTAATTTGTGATAGTATAAAAAAAAATTACAATTTATTTTATAATTAGTTTTGTGTTAGGGGATTGACGCTCATAAAAATTGTAGTTTTCGGCAATTAAAACCAATAAAGTAATTATAGTAAGTCTTTTTGTCAATCAGTTGCCAAGCATAAATAAAATACACATATTTATTCGAAATATTGCATTTAATAATTAAACTAGTAATGAATTTCTCAATTTCGTGGGCAAATGTAAAAAAAAAAGTATCGAATCAACATATGTCAGTGTATTTACAGCATAAGACTAATTCTACTATTGTCAAAAAAAAAAGTCTACAAAACTACTACAACAAAACTTTGGTTTGCATTTTATACATTTATTTTTCAAAGAAAACAACATGCCCAACACGTAAAAAATACTGAGAATGTATTAAATATTTTGACCTACTATTCCAAGTGAATAAAAGTTGAAACCGATGGCGGTAACACGACAACCTTGTTATAGAATTAATTAAAAATCTCAATTCCTATAAAATTTTATAAAGAATTTATAAAAATAAATTAACATTTATCCAACTATAATGATTAAGTAGAACTTTAGTTCACAAGATAACATTTTCCTAAAATAGCAAAATTACCTCATTTGATCAGTCAATCCAGTCATGACGCACAGTTCGGGCACCAAATAAACAATAGCTTCCTCTCCGCCCATTTGACGTACGGATTTCTTGTTTTTCGAAATCAACATGGGTTGCCTTCCGCCCTTGATGGTGACATGCCATTTCTAAATTGCGTTTGAACATTAATACAAAGTACACAAAACAACACTAGTATCGTATGATGAGTATAGAAGAAGCATACATCTTGATAATATTGGTTATAAGACATGGCCGAACCATCTTTCTTGTTAAACGTCGATGACGGGTCTGCATTTTCATCAACATCATCGATACGGTATGTTTCATTGTTGTAGATAGTCATAACTGTTGTACCGATTATGCCATTTTTAAAAGTGGTCTAAAAAACAAGCAAAAGATTTTAACAGGCGCCTCAAAAGGCAAAAATTATAATAGTCATTAAGGTGTCACACCACTAATAGATGCTTACCATCCAGTCTCGGTTCCTGTGTCTATCTTGGGCGCACTGATTAAAGAAATCATAGACAGTTTCTTGACGCATTACTTTTGTCGAAATCTCGGCACATAGTAATATGTCGTCTTCATGTCTGGCAATAGATGTTTCGTATCCTGGCCAAAGTTGAAGTTTGAAAGCTGGTAAATTTATCTAATAAACAAAATTATAACACTATAAACCTATTTGTTATTAACTTATTTGTTCAGTCGCAGACCTTAGCAGAAGCGTCGTAATAGTTTCTGCCGACAAGTTTCAATTCAAGATGACGAAGACAGTTACGCAGAAGCAAATTGAAAACTTGAATATATGAATAATCTCCATATTCAATAGTATTTGTAAATTTAAACTTAAGTATGAACATCGCATCATCATAGTGTCTTTTAGAAGTCAATTCGAAATTCTAAAAAAAACGAAACAAAAATACCATTATTTCTACTCTTATTTTAAAAAAAGGTACAACAAACACAAATATAGTACTGACCTCAGGGTTCATCTTGACGCTAGTGAATAACATGGTGCCATCAAACAAATAACCGCCAAACTTTTCTTTGTGCTGTCTTAACAGACTTCTTTTGACGAAAATTCTGTCTTCATCAGGATCAAAATCAACACGATATTGGTACAAGCACCACTTGGAGTTTGAAGTGATTGGAAAATAATTTGCCAATAGCGCTACTGGTTGTCCAGAGGTACCTAACAAAAATTATGAAATTCTTTAACACAATTCATAAAACAAAATATACTAATTTAAATTATTTATGGCCAGAGAACAAACAAAAACTTATTGTCAACATTATAAAAAAAAATTCAATAAGTCAAAATTGTATAATTAAATCTAGCAACAAAGTATTTGAAGGATGCAAGAACTGGCTATTTCCTTATTTTATAATTCTTCAGGATAGTCAATAGAAAATCTATTGCCCAATTTACCACTAGTGGCAAGAAAATATACGTTTTGTAATACCTTTGTAGGTAATAGTCCCATTTTACTGTTTGAAGCACAAAAATGTAAAAAATGTTTCCATGAAAAAACAATTTTTGATAACATGTAAAATGCCGGTTCATGTACCCTTCATTTAGTTATTACTTAATAGTTAAACATTGGAACAATAATTTAGATACAGAAAATGTAGAATCGATCAATTGGGATGGTCAATGATTTTAAGTTTTAGCAATTAATGAATAATCGAGTCATTTAACAAAACTCCACAATCCGTAATTTTAAATTATAAATAAATGTTTAAATCTTAACTTACAGCTCATAGTAAATGGTCTTAATTCAAAATGGAAAAATTCAAAATTTACATACCTTTTTTCCCTTTATCTCCAAGAGAAGACTGGGGACGAGGTGCTCTGAAGTGTTCAGCGTCAACCGGTTGACGACCACGTACAGTTCCACGACCAAGTGGAACAGGGGTATTATCTGTATTTCATATCAATAAAAAAAAATTATAATTAAAAACCACTTATTAATAGTTTTGTTAACATACCAGTTGCCATTTTCTTTACACCTTCAGTAACTTGCTCTACCTAAAAATACAATTTGAAATACAATAATTTATACTTAAGCACAAGCTTCTTTTTACGTCGAAACTATTAAAACAATTATGACGCAAAACAAATTTAATGTTATTGTAAAGAGAAAGCCAAAAACTGGCCATTATTTAGTTAATACTATAGTCTATTCAGTTTAAGTTTGCCCACTAAAACAGTCGCGTTTGCGCATGATGTTGATGACAGGGAGCGCTGATGGCGATCGTTGCTGCCCACAAGGTGTATACGTAGTGACTATAAAAAGTGAGCTGTGTTATCACATCCGTTGACCCGTCCAACTGCGAATACTCGCACACAAACACTAAACCTCCTGAAAATACCACTCCGTATCCTCAATTTAAGTAAATATAAGAAGAGTAGATAAAATAGAAAGAGAATTAAAAAGAAAACAACCTGCTTATAAACACGTTTTTTTTATTATCGTCTGTATACACAATGACGGCCGCTGATTGCGACGAGTGACGGCGGCAGCCGATCACCGCAGGCCAATCATAGAGCAGCTTGACCTCGGGGCCCGATCGTACTGACAGCTCAGTATGCATGCGCGAAAGTGGGCAAACTTAAATTGAATAGACTATAGGTATTTATTAAAGTAATTCATATTCATCTTACTCCTGCCATCGCACTAGCTGGTTTTGGAACAGTTTGACTAGGCCCTTGTGGCCGCATAACTGGTCGAGGGCCAGGACCGGATGGCCGTGGACCTCTCGGAAGGGGAGCAGCTCCTTGAGGACCTGCTGGTCCTGTTTGACCTCTAGGACCTCCACCTCTTGGACCTAATGGCGGGCCTGGGGGACCACCTTGGCCAGGTGGTGGCCCTCTCGGACGAGTATGTGCTCGACCTCTACCCGGTCTGATGGGATCCATTGCTTAGAATTGTTCGCTCTTAACAATAACCTGATAACCAAACAAAAACAATTAGTCACTCAGAAAGTGTACAAGGATGAATTACAAAAGCATTTAGCGTTGTGAAACATTAAATAATGTTTAATGATTTATACGATTAGTTTTAAAACGTTTAACATTTAATGATTTCACATTATGAAAAAAAAATTGCAAATTAAAATTGTGCCAAGGTAAAAATTTACTATTTTATAGTAATAATATCAAAACAATTTAGCCAAAAATGTTTAATATTACGAAACGTCGATTTGTTCAGATGACTAAAACTAAATCGCCTTTCTGCCGAAAACTACTTGTAGTACACGATTGATAAACAGTCGAGTACACGTTGCAGAAAATATCAACGGAGTGTTAATTTTAGAAAATACATGTGCGACCAACTATCGACGGTAAACTAAATGATATGTCGCATGTACCGAATGTATTGTTTGAACATATATAGCAGTATATGAATTAATTTATACCTGAATACGTCGTAGATAGAACGTCGGTCTGAAAACACTTTCGAATTCACTCAAAAAACATTTTAGTATCACAAGGACAACCGACGACCTATCGTAAGTAACGTGACATATAAAGTGACCACTGAGACAGGTATTAGGTATGGTCTATGAGCCGCGTGTAGGTGTAGAGCGCGTTCAGCGTTTGTTGTGAATAGGTATGAACGCCAACGATTGGTCGATTATTAGCCAAACGCCATTTTGTGTAGAGCAGCGTGCACCCATACACAGTGTCGCCAACTTCATACTAAACAAATACAGAACAAAACCGACATTATAACAAACAAAAAATTACTTCTATTAATATTATAATTTATAATTGTTTCCACATTCGACTCTTTCTGTCATCGGCGCCGAAATGAATATCCGTAAGCCCGGTACAATAAATGTACACATTTATTATGTATGGTATCAACACGGTTTCTAACATTGTTTTTTAAGTTAAGGCACAGTAAAGTTAAAGTTAGCTGAGGTAATCTAGGTTAAGCAATCAATGGTGTTTGAACGAAAGAAAATGTTTTCGTTGACTAGTTCAAAAGTAATAGGCAAGTACACCAAAAGTTCACTTCAGCACGGCATGGCAATAATTAACAAATGACTACTTATAACTTTTATTCAAAAAGTTGAAAAAAAACCTAGTTTTTACGATCTGTAGTTTACAACACTAAAACATATAACAGACATTGTCCCCCCTCCTCGCACAAGTTTTTATTTGAAATTGAAATATCTAGAAAAAATGTATGCATCTATTTTTTCTTTATAATATCGGTAATCACAGATTAGCCAAGCCTCGTCGAGAGAACTCGGGTGGAGCCCAGGGTTATCTACAAAGGTTAAACGCATGGTTATATTTTTGAAAAACTAGCCACTGGGCGAACTACAAGAAATAAATTTTAGAAGTCCAATATCTTCAGAGATATTGACTGGGTCATAGTTAACCAATAACTCTGTATAATGTGTATAGATATATATAATATGTTCGTGTTACCCGACGATAGGTACGTATTTTTAGATACGTCGGGACTTGTGTCCACAATAATATGGTACGGAAAACGTGTTATTTGTAGAGCAAAATATCATTTACGGGTATATTTACAGTATATTTTACGGTCGATTGATAAAATTATTATCGTTGCCGTAACATAGACTACCGTCTACCACGGAATTCGAGAATCCAGCGAATTCCGCGTACAGGTTGAATGGGGAAAAAAAACGACGGAAGTAATAAACACTAAAGGGATCGTCGTCTGTCCGCTGTCGTGCCGCGTGCGTAAACAAAATAAGTGGGGACAATATTATATTATAAACCCAAAATGGTTTGGTCATCTGGGAGTACAATCATAATCCATAACAAGGCCCGTTTCACACGGGGCCACCTTGGGCTTGGCGTCGACACTTTTCTGGTGGCGCCGGGCTCGTCCGACGTGTATGTTCGCTCATGCTTCTACGAGTGGCGCGGCCAACTTGCCGAAACTTGATGGCGCTACCACGTGTTAAAAACTTTAATTTAATTGTTAATTTTATTACGGTGGCGCTGCCATGATGGCCCCGTGTGAAACTGGCCTAACGGACATGTCCCGTCAAATCCATTCGGATTTATAACGATAGCTGTTAGTGTAATTAAAATAGACGCGTATAATATTATTTAATATATTCCAATATTTTGTTATTGTTATCGTGCGGTTTGTAAGAAAACATAAACACAGGTTATTCGTGTGTAAACGAATAACTAATATATACTCTTCGAACCGCAATTGAATTAAACAAGGTTTTGCACATATACCCCTTCGTCTAATCATCTTCCTCTTCATCAAGAATATAAGTACACAGTACTATGTACAGTAATAGTGAAGTATATAGTAAAATTGATGTCCCGTTACGCTGTCATTTTATTTCTGAAGATAACAATTCTAGACGGTGTGCGATAACCCGTATATTTCAACCATGCTTCGAACCTATGGGTCCGCCACAGCTGTAGTATAGATAATTTTCTATTATCAATATGTAAATTATTGTAAAACACGTCCTACCGTTTACTGGCCCACAAAACTCAACATTCCACTGGGTATTGGAAACTCCTATGCCAGTGGTTCTCATAAATTATTAGTTCAATATTAAAATTACATATTATTTAAAAGTAAATGATTCAATATACATGTTGACACTACACTGAACCAACACTAAAACACTTGGTTTATTTATTTATTATTATTATAATATTTAATATAAATATAATATTTATATTGGTTACTAGTATATACTCATTTACTTCCACGCTATACACATTAACCATATAATGTTTAATCACACTTTGTGTTTTACAATTTAATATATCTTAAAATGTGTCCTGAAAGTATTAAAAGTTTTAAGTATTCTCTTTTTTAACTTTTATGTGGTAAGCTCTGCTTATTACACTAGTTTAATTTAATATAATTAAAACTATATATTATTATTTGACTTGGAGAATTAAAAATTCGTATATAAATGAGATAATAAAAATATATTTTAGCAGACTTCATTTTTTTTGTTTAAAACTGCCACTTTGTATGTGATAATGTTTATTATTTTTTTTTTTTGTGCATAAGTATTTTTACAATAACGAATCTGCGTCAGCTTTTTCTAATCATCTCGCCTATAAGAAACAAGGATGGGCTGAATTGTGGAAACAATTTACAAATGTAGCAAACGTGGAATTTTTTTAACCCCTCTTCAAACAAATGAATATTAACTGCTTCTGTACAGGGTGGTCTGTTTAATCGCTCATTTTTAGTACTAATGTAATTTTTAAACGTTGATAGATTACTAAAAAACACGACATCCTCCCCTATCCTACCTCTTTTTTTTTGTCTACCTCCTCTTACTAGCCTAATACTCATAATATAAAAGGGACTTCAATAATATGATGAAATAACAAGGTTAAAATAGCAAAGGACAAAATTTATTAATAGACGAAACACGTTAAAATGCTAATTCTCAATAATTAACTATACAATATTAATAATGACAAGTACAATATAATGACAGTGATGTTAGATGTATAAAAACAGTTTCATTTTAGGCCATGTAAATCGTGTACGATGTGGTGTGATGTGACCTGATGTGTTAATTTAAAAATAATAATAATTCCACTAACTATTGTCCAATGATATACTACGGATATAATATGGAAAAATACATGTATGAATCTAAGTATTTTTTTTCTACTCAGTTTGGTTTTAGTAGTTAGCAGTAAAAAAGTCAATGATTGTTTTTATAAAAAATACGTTGTACATTTTACTCAAACTTGAATTTTGAAAGTTTTAAAACAAATGAGTGAACATAAAAAATATTTTGAAATATTAATAATTTATCAGAGCACGTCTTGTCATTTATTATGTGAGGCATTAGATCAGTAGGGATTTAAAAACAAAACACACGAATAACAACATACTTATTTACAATATAATAATAACCTAATAGATAGAAAAACAGAAACGTGATATATTTTTTTTTTGCCAAACAAATAATAATAAATCGTTCTAATAATCGTCTGAAACAAACACATTGACGTTTTATTGTCGCTGTCGGGTGATAATAATTTATTTTTCCTGTGAATCCCAAAACTAAGAGTAAGCCGAGTACAACGATACAACATAAATACGAAGGCTAACAGGCTAGCGCAAACGAACAGATAAAAAAAAGTTGGTCTGGTTAATTTACATAAAAAATAATTATTATTTATTATATAAATTATACCTTAAAAGTTAAAACACACTAGTGATATGTACATTGTTTTCAAAATCGTGATTTTGGGTAACCCTGAATTCGTGATAAGAAACTGAATCGAATCAACACCAGTGATATATCCAAAGAGCATAAATAATTGTTCAACTACAAATCACACTAAAATTCTATGTCCTTAGTAATTTTTTTTAAGAGCTTAAAAGTTAAACTCTATACCTCAAAACCATATAAAGTGGACTTAACACTTGTGTGTTTTAAGGTATAATTATGCCATCAATACATGATATGTTAAAATTGTATTCCTCTTCGTGGCACAAAAAATATAGCATCGAAACTAAAATATATATAAACATAAAATGAAATCCTCGTAGCACCAGACAATGAAAACTTGTAGAACCGGTTAATAGTTGTTTTTTATTTTAGGCAACGGTTAAATCTTAAATATTTATGTAGAGCAAAATACAAATTCCACGTGTCTATTATGATGAACCTCTGGTCATGTTCATAAAAAGTATTTTTCGATTTTTCAAATTTTAAAGAAACTTTGGGGAAAAATCAGGTTCTTACGTAAAACTATAAAAAAAAATGTTTTATTGTTTTTATACAGTGACCTCAATTTTTCATATTTTTTTTTGGTTTACCACACTCCACCTTTCCTCTTGCCTTAAATTTGAAACTTCAATAACTTTAAAAATAGTTATCCAGAACTGGTTATCGACCAGTCCAAACGTTTAGTACATTATTCTGAATTTTAAAAGTTATGAAATGTATGTGTTACCATTTAAGTTTCAAAAGTTGATTATTAGTTTAGGAGAGGGTAGAAACATCAAAATTTGGGAATATTTGGCCTTAGCGACATTACCCATGTATATTAAGTACTTAGTTATAAAAAAAAGTACCGAAAAACAGCTATTGTCCGTTACATTTTTGTATTTTGGCAGCAATTTTAACAAGTGAAATTTTTTTTCTTTTTAGGTATTAAACTTTGATATATTTATGTATTAAATTTTCAGTTCATACTAAGGGGTAGGAAAAAAGTTATGCATTGATTTGTGCACAAGTGTCGAAAATATATGTTAAATCTAACTTTAAATTTCAATCATTTTTAGGGCGTCAAGGTTAAAATTCGAAAATCGTCTTTTTAAGGACTGGTGAACATCATAATATTATACAGAAATAATAATACTAGAATCTAGGTCTACCTCCTGTTTAGTTTTCAGATCTTAAGTAGTACTTTATTTAAAGTTAACAACTAATTAGTAATTCGAATTGTTATAGCGCGTCGTAATTTTGAATTGAAAAAATGTGTACAGTATTTTCAATGTTGCAGAAAGAAGGGTTTTAAGATATCCAGACAAAAAAATAAATAACACAGTATCATTGTTAAACGGAGAGGTTAAAATGACTGCAATAATGCCACTAACATAACGTAGTATAATATTAATACAAATATATAGAGATTTCCATCAAATTACTACCCTATATTCTTACCTTTACATATATTATGTTTTTTTATTTATTACCCCAACATTTTCTTGACCCCTAACGCGGTGTCTAGAGCCTTTAAAGTTAATGTTTTTTTCCTTCTTAGTCTCTTATACCTCCTCCCAGATATTATATTTGATAATCCCACTTTCTTAGAATCTACTTATTTCTAGGTACCTAGATTTTTTTTTTATCTTTTATTCTTTTCGTTTATAAATGAAATGTTCCGGTCGAATGAGTTTTCTATCCTTAACGTCATATTTTAAGGATACCACTGTTGTGAAGAAACACTGAAGTTTGAAATTTAAATAAATAAAAATTACCGATTATTTTTTTTTTTTAATTTTCAATAGAAGCAAATAAATATAAATCTTTTATATTTTTTAAGTCAGTAAAATGTTTTTGTTTGAACATTGTATAATAAATAAAAGCGATGCGATGACTTGATTAAAAAATGTTGGGTTTGCAAAATGACGGCTACCAACAAAGCCGACTATTCTATTCTTAGTCAGATAATACTACAATCACGTTTAGGCTAAAGACTATTTACATTATGTATAGACAGACGTTTTTTCAGTACATTCCAATCGACTGTGTATTAGTTATTTATTAAAAACACAATTTTTCGCTAACGTCTGCAATCTTATTTTTGTTCAAATAAACAAAACCGACCTTTGTTACCATATGAGATGGATATCATGTCGTCTATGAGTGCAAAGCTAAGCATTCTCTAAATGCTTCACAGCATTTAAAATGCATAAACTATAAAGTAGGATTTGGGTCACCGCTCCTTTTTTTTGCACAGCCGTTATTCTTAGCATGTTGCTCAGTGGGGGTTGTTTCTTTTAGTATGTAGCTGTTTTGAAGAATAAAAATAACCACCCTCTCACTTCACCAGGGTTCTAAACCTGTTTTGTTCAAAATTATGTTCAAAAAATAGCTGCTGCGTGCTCTGTAAATACCAAAATCAAATAACCCGTCGACAGATTAAAAAAATGCAGAATTTTTTTATAACGTTCAACTAAGATTATTCGGGTTTACATTACATCTGTTGCTGTACATAAATTTTAAAGTTATAATTCTATTTGTTTTTATCGACTAGCACTTATTAATATGTTTAGCCATTACCAACAAATGAAAATTTTACAAGGAATAGTGAAACATCTACTGCTATTGTTTTTGTTTATATTACAAATAATTATTATACAGCGTATCTTCTAATTTAAAATACCATCCAAACAAAACCTAACCGAGATTGTATAATAAACCAGTTTTTCAAAACTATGTTACGACCAAAGAACTACTAAAACCATGTCACATTTTTGTTTTTTTATGAGATTTTATAAAAGTCTACAATAATAAATACTTTTCCGATTTTTGTTTGAAAAAATATAAAGCACAAAATACTAATATTGTTATAGAATACATTGTACATCTGTTAAACGTCAGCTGAACATCTGCTTGCATTTCCCAACCGTGCTTCCCCTCTTATCCTAACTTTTAAACTTAAAAAATAGTCATCCGAAACTGGTTACCGACCAGTCAACATTTTTAGTACATTATTGTCAATTTAAAAAGTTAATGAAATGTATACGTTACCATTTAAAATCCAAAAGTTGCTATCAAAAAGACCAAGTTGGGACGGGGGTAAAAACAAAAACAAAATCTGAATAATTGAGATCACTAGTGGCGTAAATTCAATCTTGCTCTGGGGGGGGGGGGTTGTAAAAAAAATAATACTACCTTACCAGATGTTTCAAAATGATAAACAACTTTTTCCCACCAAAAAATTATTATCAATCGATAGTTTTTGGACTTGTAGTTCTGAAAATATTTTAATTCTTCCTTAGTTTGCCGCGATTCTCCTACCTTCCCATAATTTTAAAATACAAAATTGCATTTTTATCTTTGATAAAACTTTGATGGCCAATGGAGATCACATTGTATAAAAACAATATAAAAAAATATAATTAAATTTCTTACTATACCCTATGAAATATTGAGTGGCCCATAATAAAATTAGCACCTTGTATGTCATCGGTTCCCTGTGGTGGTATTGTGAAAGTTAGCCGTCTCCCAGACGGCACGTGTATTAAATGATCGGTCCGAGTTACACATTTACAATATTTTATATCCGATAATTATACAATTAATGAGTTGTCAGTATAGCTACTTTGGTCTTTGACAATGCTAGTTGCCGTCAAAGAATATAATGTAATGTTCACAGTTATAGTATGTCGTATATACAATGCAATAGATTGATTAAAACAATTATTTGATCAAAAACATCGAAATAAAAGTGTGTTAAATATTTAGGAAAAAGTAGTCTAGTTGGGATGTAGATATTTAGCAATTGTGCGGAGGTCCTATAATCGTTGACTTAATAAAAATGATATTAAACTATTAGGTTTACGGCCGTGACTGGTGTTACAACAAGCCCATATCTTTGCAACTAAAAAATTAGTATTGTAAGTATTATTCTCGTGTTTTTCTACTTTTTTATACAAATAAATAAAACTAAATTTTAGGGGATTTTTATTTGAACATCATTTGAGCAAGCTTACATTCAGTTATGGCTCTAAACGATTTCTACAGACATAGCCTAACCTAACTGTGAATTTATTTTTTTGTGAATTATTGAATTTTGTTTTGATGAGAAAAAACATTTTTCATACAGCTTTGAAATTGTAAAGGTAAAAGATATGCAAAAACCACGTATCCAGTTTTATACATTAAAAAAAAATGAAATTCATTCAATTTTACGGTATACTGTTAGTCGCCACTTCAAGGTTATAGACACTAATAATGCATTATTGTAAATCTCCAATCATTTAGATATTGCCATATAATTAGTTCAGACGTGTAAACATTTTATATGATAACGTACATATTGTTTAGTAAGATACAAATTTATTAAGTTTATTCATAGGTTTTTGAGATAATAATAATAATATGAGTTATTCATTTTACTCTTTATGACACATTTATTAACCCATCGCAAACAGACTAGACAATATTGTGTAATTTGCAGGTGCATCTGTGTTTACCTACTAACAAATAACGAATGTAATATGGTTATCTCTATTGGTATAAGGCAGTTTTCAACCTTTTTGACAACACGGCACATCCTCAACACAATTAACGTAGAAAACCATAGATTTGATTATTTATTTCTATTACTATCTTAATTCTAAAATATTAGAATAAAGAGTTAATGAATGTAAAATATATAATGCAATGATGAATAGTTTTATACGTGGATCATGTACATCACCTGACCAAGTAAATCCTATGTTTAAATAATTTTCATGATACTGACGTCTAATAATATTTGTTGTTGTTTTTTTTTGGTAGTTCACTCATGACTCACTGAAGAATGAATTGTTGTTAGCAGAACGAGATATGAATGTATCCATAATAATAATTGTTATTATTGAATAAAAATAAGTAATTATTAAAAAAAAACACATACACTGTTTTATAAAATAAACTAAATATTAAGCCTGTACACGCTAAGGTAACATAGACCAACATTAATGTGTTGCAGTAAGTCGCTTTCCATTTGTTTCCATGTTTCGATAAAAAGCGAAACATGTGGCAACTAATGAATGTTGCCTTAAGCCCGGGCCGACGGTGCGTTATCACCGGATCCGGCGACACCGGATGTGGCAAATTTAACGTTATCATAGGTTTGTTATTTTATTTTGGTCCAACGACACGTTTTTGCCGCATCATCAACGATCTGATCATTTGCGACTTCATTTAAGAATTCGGAATTTTCCAAAAATCTAAAATGTATATTAAGAATTACGTATATTATGAACCTATTTTTAGCCATATGGTTAAATAAAGTGGGTTAAACCTTGACTTAGGTAAGAAAGGTACACCACGGTATTTTTTGTTATTAATACCTAATCGAAATAAGTTAACTTAATAATAAAATAACTCACAATTAATATAAATTTATTTTTAAATTGTGGGAACATTTGAACAATTCAGAATTGACAGTCAACCACAATACGATAAAATTATAAATAACGAATAAGACAAGGTCAATAATACGGTTAGTGACAAGAACTGGCAATGATACATAGGTACTATATATTAGGTTTAAATAGTAGTTAAACATATCAAGCTGTCCTAACTCCTACCCAGTTGGCAATACAAATTAACAATGTTATAAATTATAATCATATGATGACCAGAATTTAAATTTCTTACAAATATTGTTTAAATATCATAAAAATATTTACTAAATAAAATTACTCTAAAATGTGTAACAGTTCTATGACCTCCTTTGAGAATGTAGACTATCTGACATTTGTTACCGACCTACCTAACTTGTGAACCTTAAAATTTTCCAATAGAAAATTATACCTACTCGTAACAATACCTTTTTTCTATTTGAATCTATTATTGCCCTGAAAAATAAAATATATATATATTTTAGTTAACAAATAAATCCATACTGTTATTTACTAACAAATGGCAAGGGAAATAGAAGGATTCATTTTTTGAGTAACGGACATTGTTACGTTGAACAGGCCATTATTACCAAAGGGGTCATAGATATTTTTAAAACGAAAAGAAATTTGGGGTCTTGGTTAGGCACGTGATACAAGAATATAAAAAATATCGATCCCATACCAGTAAGAAGACATTATACTCCAAAATTTCTATCGTAAAACCTGACTATACACAAAATGCGTTTTATTTGGTCCGTAATGATTTTAGAACAAATATCAAAATCACCAATGTTAAAAATAAAATAGAACAACCTTTTGGAGACAATGAAAATTTAGTTTTTTCAAAATAATATACTTTTTTAAAACAGTATCATATAAAAAAAGGATGTCTTTGTTTCTAAAACAGTAACATCTTTCGATTTCATAACAGGTGATCTTCCTTAAAAACCACTAACGATTTTTAAAAATTGTTTTATTAGCTACAAAAAAAAAAACAATGATTGAACTTATAATTACTTGTTAAAGTTTTTTTTTTTAAATTTTAATTAACATTCACAATCTGTACATAAAGAAAAATATACAATAAGCTGTAAGCAAATAGGTTAACAATGTAAATATGCTACCTACAGTTTAAGGTTTAAATTAAAATTTTTAAAAAAATAGCCTGTACCGAATTTCTTAATAAATAGGGAGTATAATGTGATTACTTAAATCACATGCATAAGTATTATTTTTTATAATTATTTCATAAACATTTTACATTAATGTTCTGTGTTTCCTCAGATGAGCGGGAAGACAAAAATAAGTAAAGTATTGTGAGATTTTCCATTGTTACTCGCTCTTCTCTGAATATTTCATCATTTCACAGGTCTTAAAAACGGATATTATTAATATTATAACATAGTAGCTCTATCTAGCGATTTCTTATAAACACGGTATTATATTTATTTTTCTCCGCTGAATAGTGCTACAAGAATTTGAAAAAAAAAATGTGATAAGAAAAAAACGGTCGCTTCAAAACAAAATAATTGAGAATAGGTTACCTATGTAAGTTGTAACTTGTAAGTCTATTTGTTAAAAGAATTTCGATTTTATTTTTTAATTATGGTTCCATACATTTTTTTTCAATAGTTAGGTACCTATCAGCCAAAAAATACAAACGGGAGTAAAAAACAAATTGTAAGTATTTGCTATATTACAAATACTAAGTATTTTTGTTGTTAGTTCTAAAATTGATTTTTATTAAATTATAAATTAATAATTTCCCTTTATTTATGAACTATAATATTTGTTTATATAAAAATGTATTTAATCAAATACATTTATAAATATTGTTAATAGTAACGTGGCCACAATGATTATATGTCTTAGTGTAAATTGTAATTATATTTGCTTTTAAATTACGAGTATCAAATTATTTTTATGTATGTATAATATTTGAATTTTTTTTTAATGTTAGAAATGCTATTTTTCAGAGACCAACTGAGGTAAAACATAGTATCGTACAATCATGAGTTTTGGTTTACTAATTACAAAAATAAAAAGCATTTCTTGGTTAGGTTATTTAGAGTTAATCAATGTTACAAGCTCAAGTGGCCTTTCCTCTTAGCTCCTACTTCTATTTCACCTTTGTCTTTACCTCATATACCTTTATTTATTTATTTAATCAAAATGTTTTGTATTAGTCAATGTTTTAACTTTGAAGAATTGATTTTATTATAGAAAAATATTATTTCCTTCCAGTTATGATGTCATTTGTCTTGGGTTAAAATTATAAATCACATTTATGGTTAATATCTATGAAATATATCCCTTCATCACTCGACAATCAAAATATAGATACATAATATTTAAACATCGATAACATTAGAAGTTAATAGCTTTTGTCAGATTCATTTGACTTTATGATGTTTTTCTTTTTTGTGTTTTAGAAATTAAAAAGAACTATAAGTATTATAACCGGCCTGCCACATATCAGTGAGACGTATAAATAGTATTTTAATTTTGTCAGTTTTTAAGAAATCATTTTAATTACTTTCTACTTTCATTCTCTTACTGTCTATCAGGATGAACTTATTTGTAACAGACAAAACTTCAAGATGCTAAGAAATAAGGTGTTTTTTAGGTGAACAATTATTGTTTTGCTGGAAAATTCATTATGAACAAACTCTATGAGATAAATGTATTCTGTTTATTTTATGTACACTGGTAATGTGTTTGGTAAAGGTATGAGTTATGTAGGTGTATTAAATTTTTAAATTATCGTTAGTTTGGAATTTTTTTTTTAAATTGCCCACTAATATTTGTTATTATCACATTTTTTAATATAAAAAATTAAATTTTTTGGTAATTATGAAAAATAATTTATGCTAAATCACATGCTCAGTTATTAGTGCTCTTGGTATAAAAATCTTGCCAAATGTATTAAAGAAATAAATAAATAGTTTCGGCCTGTGGAAAAGGATGACATTAAGGAGAAGGAAGAAGAAAAATGGCAAAGTGATTACTAGTATTATCAAGACCTACTACTAATAATTCATTAAGAGAAGACTGGTAGCTAGATTCCGATCGTTTAGGAAACATTTTAACTGGGTTTTATCCAATTACAAATTAGAGAAAGAATTTAGTTGATTACTTTAAGCTAAGTCTTTCAACTACAGAGATGAGAAATTATTTCCTCAGATTAGATTTACAAAATAATTATAAACATGAGGATATTGGTAATGAAGAAAAAAATGTATACAGGCTGAATCAATATTGTTAAGAGACTTATTTCTCCTAAAATAATTGCAATTTTGCAGTTTTTTTTTATTAATTGTTTATTTTTCAATATTAGAAAATTAGTAAATATTTACCTTTTTTAGTATTTTTCAGTGCTCTATCAACTTTTGAAACTTCAACGGTAACGGAAAACGTTCAATGTAATTAAAATATAGGAAAAATTAAAAAAAAATTGTGTTCAGCAAGTGGGATTACAATTTATTATATAAATATAATAGAATACAGATTCACGTTCACTTTTGGGACTTATACGTTCAGCGTAACTGATTGGACTTAGGCCTGTCGCCTGTACATAATACCGATGGGTATAACTTCGTTTTTTTGTCTCTGCTCTGATGGGCGTTTTGAAAACTATTCTATACCAGGTTTTAAATATACCCATGACAGGTTATTGAAACACTGAATTAAAAAAAAATCCTAATATATAACTTTTTACTTTATAACTAGGTTTTTTAAATTTACGACTTTAATGTCCAAGTGCTACCAAAGTTGTATGATCACTATAGTCAAAGTAAGAAAGTTAATTTATTTGACCGATATAATTGAGAAGAATATTGGAAATATACGGTATTATATACTAAATAAAAACTTGATTTAGACAAAAGTTGCCTATACCAGGAAATTAAAAATGGTTAAGGGGTTTCATATAGGTAATTTTTTTATCCGATTACAAAATCACTGTCAAGGATACTGTAATAGTCCGAAAAATAAATTAACTACTAAGAAAGAATTCTAAGAGCTAATAATCATACATCACAGTTTAACCTTTAAATTAAGCATTTTCAAAAAATTACCTAACTCCTTATTAAATAGGGTGTGTCTCATGTAAGTGTAATATTGCCTATACAATGCGCCTTAATAAATGCTTGTGAAGAGGTTCTTTGAACAATATTCATATATTTTCTTGTATTGAAAATAAAGCGGTGAAATAAATATGATTGCTTTTGAAATTCTCCTAGCTGGGCCGAGTTTGATAAGACTTATTTTTTTTAATTTAATTGATTGGCGACGTTCAGATTTGATATCAGACTATGTAACAGTTGTCTAACCATCCCATCATACAAGATAGCCGATAGGTGATTTCCACAAGTTAGGACATAATTTCAATACGACACAGGGGCATCATGAAATCCCTATCACCACATTACTGCATTCATAGAATTATTAAGGATGGACAACCTCGATTTACACACTGTGTTAAGATCTTTTCACACACGTCCGTTCCGACTCGCATCCGATTAGTTTCAGGGCACTGAATTCATACTCATCCGGGCCGATACTTCAATATTTAGTGCACAATACACATTCTTGTTTCTACTTGGTAATTTCAGACGAACGTGTTGTGATTTTCAATATTTGAAATGGCTGGATTTAACGATGAAGTATTATTTAAGATAGCCGTGATTTCCGACGGAGGAGAAAAAAAAATTTTAATAATGTGTAAAAATAAGAACAGTGATGGTACTGGAAATTCGAAAATCCGGATTAAAAAAAAATAAAAATCCTATTTAAGCCACTTAGAAATAACCACACTAGAAATATTAAAAATCATTACAATAAAAAGCTGTGTACTTAAGTAAAATGTTTTGATGAAAATTTGAAAAAAAAAACGCTTAACTATGATTATAAATTGCTTTCGGATTTCAACAAATCCGAAATGCAAAAGTAGTTTTTCTTTTTGTTGTGTTTTATTTTTACATTTTCATCAAAAATATTTTACTTGGATACACTGCTTCATACTGTTAATTTTTTTTAACTTGTTCGATTTTTAAGTGGCTTAAATACCGTTTTTTTTGTGAAAATCCGGATTTTCGGATTCCCATCACTAGTGGGTACACGATCTGTGGAAAAACGGAAGGTGAATTTTTGAATGTTTTGTACAATGGACTGGTGGACAAAAATGTTATGAATATTTTTGCATGTCGCAGTATTCATTAAATATTCTACTCGGTAAAATAGAAAATGTAGTAAAAAATGAAGAAGAATATGACCGTAGAACACCCATTTTACCGAATGAAAGATAACCTGTACGCTGCGACTTCGGTGATTATTTTTTAAACCGCTGTCCGTCTATACTCTATAATAGTATGTTGAATCAGGGTTCTACGGAAAAATAATGATATCAAGGCGCTCAGGCAAAAATGTATCCCCGGTTTTACGTTGATTGTTACCGCTTATCAGCTGCTGGTTTCGCATTCGCCACGGAGATTGTTATCTGGGTAGTGGGTACGCGGTGCCGCGTCGTGTTCATGCCGGACGCAACGTAGCGACTACGCTGCCCTCTTGTTGAGTAAAAATTGGAAAAAAAAAAATTAGCGTTTGCGTCGCGGTGGGGCGACGGCGGTACATCTGCGCGTACGCTTGTGCTGCTGCTGTTGCCGGTTACGCATTGTGTAGAACACATTTTGTATGCTTTGGTAGCTCAGAACGGAGTGCCGCAACGTCCACCAGGCCCCAATAATAACCGTTTATAAAGTGAATCCGACCGACGGCCGGGTTCCAGTCTGCCAAAAGTATACGTGGTGCGTGTACATAAAATTAATATAAGAATAAAATAGTTGCAAAAAACAAAAAAAACAGAAGAAACCGATTTGTTCGTGTGGCGTACACGGCCCAACAGAGAGAAGGATTTACACGTCGAACTACCTTCGAAGTGAGTACACTCTTGTAATTACTACTATATAATAGAATAATATACATTATGTATACGTTTTGTAAATTACAATAGTCGGCGGCGGTAGATTTTTTTAAGGTTAAATTCCTCGCTCATATTTTTGGTTATGTTCGATTATAGCCGTTGGAAAGAACCGCTGCCGTCGCCGCCGCCGTCGTCGTGGCCACCCCTCCCCGAGCATGTGTCATTTTGAAAATCAATAGCACCACGCCGCTTCTTACTAGATACTACGCCTTTGCCCTTGCACACTATGTGTTAAATAAAAAACGTTAACCTAAAGATTCCACCACCCGTTTTTGTATTCTCGTCGGTTTTTTCGAATATTTTGTCAGAAAATTTGCAAATACAGTTTTTTTAAACCAGCGTCTACGTACGCGTAACGGACGGGTTCTTTTTTATTTAAACGTCTCCCCTTCCCATTTTAACTAGGTTTTTTTAATCGTCGTGTACTCCACCCGTCCGTTAGTGGCATTGACCTCTGCTATTAACACGAAAGACAGTAGACACACTATATATATATATTATATGTGTGCATACTGCATAGATACATCACATGATGCGGCACACGAGCTGCAAAGTATCGGCCAGTACGCACATTTGAAATTATTATTGCTAGTTGTTTGCTCTGCTAAACGGGTTTCGTTCGGCCGCGAAATTCTAAAATGTTTTCTTCTTTTTACCTTTTATTACCTTTTTACCTTTTTATCTCTCTCATTTTTTCTGCTTCGCCGTAATCTACCGCTGTACACTGTTCCGTCATTATATTTGTATACATATATTTATAGACAATCGATGAACAATGAACCGTTGCATAGCTGCGCGGTAATGTTTTTTTCCTAATATATTTTGTTATACCTATCTACGTACCTACTATATATTTACTATATATTTTGTAATTATGTGTAACGAAAACCTGTTGTGTATTATTGCCGTTGTCCGTCGCGTTCCGTTGAAACGTGTACGACAGACAATTGCCCAGTAGGTGGTAGTTGTGGTGTGGACATGGATTTTTACAGACAACTTTTTTTTATCCCCTTGAAAATTTAATTCGCAGGTCGAATTAAGCGTTTAATTGCCCCATTCACCCACTACATGACTAAATTGATGATCACTTAAATTGTAATATTGAACCTTTTAGTTTAAATTTTAATCTCGAAAATGATTAATTATTAAATTGAATATTGCTGTATGGTATAATATTCTAAATTATTATATTAGCATACGAGATAGATGGTACATAATAATGTCATGACGGCCGATAATTACATTTTACCAGGTCCAGGACAAAGTTTTAGGATTTCATGCGTGGCGGGAGGGGGGAGTATATAACAAAAATCATGAATGATCTCGTTTGTAATTAGGTGAATTATTGTTTGTATGGAAATGCGGTAACCAAATCGCTCGGTCGGTTTTCCATCACATTTTGATAAGGTTAATGCTTGATATTGTACATTTTGTATTCTAATTTTCGGCGATTCGACGGATAGTCGCTAGGCACAGACCAGTCAGGGTCAATGCCAGTGTGGAATAACCGTGCAAAATCTGTTCCGCCGGTCGATTTTTAGATTCAATTTTATTTCCATTAGTTTTTATTGTTCAAGCACTAAGCGAAAGTATAATTTTTAACACATCCTGAAAAATGTTCAGTGTGCAAAAAAAATAAAAAATTGTTCTCGTACGATAAAAACGTTGTTTGGTCTAATTTATTACTGATTTCACTAAAAACCAAAAGCTTTGATTAAAATATTCGAATTAAAATTATGACTGGGCAATGTATAATTAATTGAAATAAAAATTACATTGCTTTGACCCTCCCCCTCACTTTTGGGGTTTTATAAGTTTTAATACTGAAACCTAGAAATTAAATCAATCAATGTCTTAATAAAATTAGAAGTATTTTTTATCACATCGGATGCCTAAGGATAGTAGATTGGTAGTCGGTTTATTCTTATATTCGGTTGTCAAGTATATGGAAACACGATTTTATCCGTAATTATGAAAAAAAAATATTAAAATTTCATGTACGTGCTAATTTTTATTCTTATGTGACTTATGTGTTATTAAGATTAACTGTGTCGCGATGAATGTTTGTAATAATAATAGATAATCGCTAACAAATTATTTTTGTATTGATTTAAATACATGGTTGCCAATAGGCGGAATTTCCGCTTTAACAGAAAATATGAGAAAGAAGGAGGGCAGAAAAAAAGTAAAAGAGATCAGAGGTAAGGGATAAAGGAATAGGTATATCTGAAATGAATGATAAGTGGCAGAAAGAAAATGTAAAAATTAGAAATCTGTAAGAGAAAGGAGGAGAAAATGATTCAAATTTTAAAAACAATTATGCCTTTACACTCAATAGTATTAAGTACCGTTATATTATGAATTTTAATCAAATGTAATCAAAATTTGATGTATACAATTAATGCATTTTCTGTATGTTGATGATTCACATACCAGTGCATGTCCACATACATCGGTGGTTGTTGACATTAATTATGAATAAATAAAAGAGCACCTTGTTGCATGGATGAAATATTATGATGAAACATTTTTTCGTTGGATTAAAAAATGCAATAGAACTGTGGTTGTACGTTATAACCGCTAATTGTATTGCCGTTCTTAATTTGCTTTGTAGCTATGACCTTCAATTACGATAACCTTCGATTTGCAATAAGGTTATTTTAATTTTATTTTAATACATATTAGTATTCTGTGATGTTGATGGTACATGACAGAACACAAATGTGAACTATTTAAACATTATTTTTTCTAAAATTAAAAGTTAACGTTTTCAATAAAAAAAAATTATCACTTAATTTAAAAATAAAAAATAAAAATCTAAAAAAATTTGCTCGACTTTATATTTGCTGAGTAAATTATTCATTTTTGAATCAATCATGTGATGTATACGTAGGTTTAATTATTGGTTTCTGAACTTTGCACTTTTTTAGTTTTAAAATGATAATATTGGCAGTTAGGTAATTATTTCACTCTTCTTTATAGTTATTTAGAGATAGAAAGACAAAAGAAGCTATAATATAAATAAATAAAACCTAACTATGTGTATTTATTAATTTTTTAATTATTAATTATTATTGTATTATAAATCAATACAATATAATCATTATTGTAGTTAGAGGTATGTTAGATATTATTACATAATATCTAGCAATATTTTTAACCTATCAATATCATTCATCAATAAGCCAATTATTTTAGTTTTTCCGTTTTATACTAATATTATCGTACAACTAATTATCATTATTGATTATAAGTAAACGAGGTTAACAAATAGCAAATTTAAATAGGTCGACAAAAAAAAGTTGTAACAGCTTTATTAATATATATGATAAATAAATACACCAAGAAGAGTATCGTAGAATTTGATCAAATTTTAACAAATTTACTTAAGCTGTAATGTGTTATAAATATATTTCTAATTTTGTGCTGGTCCTTACTGGAAACGATTTTTTGTTATTTTTCGACTAGTTTGGAAATTTTTGACGGTCTATATTAGTGTGTTATCTTATAAGAAGCGGTTATGATTGTGGTTGAAATGTTGTCTAGGTATTAACTATTAACCAGTACTGTTGTATCACAATTTTTTTTTATAATGTTAGGATTGTAATATCTGTATATTTTATTATCCAAGATTATATCTAGTTATTACAAATTATATTATATTGTAGTAATTTTAAAAACGCGTTTGAATTACTTGTCATTGAACGAACATTTTACTATTCCACGTAACAAGTTTGAATATGAAAAGAACGATAGTTACTTCAAGTTTGTCGTTCAGTGTCATGAGACGTAATACAGATTTTTTTTAAAAATAATAGTGTGTTAAGATCTCTTGTAATTTTGTTCAGCCCTTAATGCTATAATGTAATGAAATGGGAGAGAGATCTTATCATAGTCAGTAATAGGTTAGGTTTAATTTCTCTGTCGAGATTATGGTTTCTAAAAACAATCAAATTAGTTAAATTCGTCGTGCCTTGTATCGCCTCACACTGGTCTAGAATCCAAAAAAAGCGAACGAAAATAATATCTACTAAGTTTTTTATTAAACCCGTCAAAATAGATCGAATTATATGTTTTTGTGGTTGCTGAATTAAAGTTGTAAATCATTTTTTTAATCATCCCCTACTTAAGGAAGGTTAGGATCAATTTATTTCAGTGTAAGGTATATATTATAATAAAGGTATATTTTCAGTATAGGTACCTTATTTTATAACGTACACTCTCTGAAAATAGACCAATAATGACTATTAAGCACAATAGTGGTCTAACGAACCAATTAAAACAACATTTAAAATTGGTAAATTTATTTTATTAGAATAATAAAAATATTTCTAATTTAATTTAATTTTACTAAAAATTAATTATTTAATAAGTCAAAAAAATAAATTAGTAATTAAATCAATGAAAATAAATGTAATTAAGTTCATTTTAATATTTAACTTTAAATTCATATTTTTTATTTGTTGGTTAGGTAACTATTGTGATCAACGCTGTGCGCCTCATTACAGCAATTATTTAGTAATAAACTATAACACCATAACTTTAATTGCAGGAATTGGCAACTAAAATATAATACTATATCATCCTATACCAGTTATTCGTGTGATTAGATAACATGAAATAAATGTTCAAGGCTTGTGTTAATGTTAACTATAAATGTATTGTTTAATTTATAGAATAATTAACCACACAAAACTTACATTTTCCTGTATCAAAACTCTGCGAAAAAATAATTAAACTCGACGAGATATTAAGTGGATATTAAGTGGATCACTTCAAGTTGATCATCTTGTATTAAATATTACATGAAAAAATATATATTTTTTTATGTGAACATAATAATGGTTATAATGTCGTCACCAAATTGGTCTGGACGCGTGATGCGCAAAATATTGATTTTTATTTCTAAAGTAATAAAATGTACCTATGACGGTTATAATGTACCACCGAGGTCA